CGAGTTTTTCCACGAGGTATTGTTTAAGCTGCTCCGCGTCTGCCACTAGATATCTTCTGCTCTCTTTATGTTTTTGAGGGTGCAATGATGGCACTGTCTTCGTCTCGTTGGACGGATGTTTAGAAAAGAGAGCTCGACTCTGTCCATCCAGCTTTGGCATCTAGTTTGAACTATTTAGACTTGGGCTTTTCTGTGAGTCAACAGCAGATAGAGGTGCTAAAGTCCTTTATTTAGAAAAATAATGTGTTTGCGTCTTCTTCAACAGTGTGTGGCTGACTGCCTCGTTGACTGACATCTGTAGCGATGAGTATGTCACATTGTTTGTTGTCCAATAGCATATGTAGACAGTTTGAAAGACAACCACAGATCCCGCCCTACGACTGAGATCTCTTTATGGGTTGTGGCCAGACTATATTTTCACATCATAAGAATGGCATGCCAGACTAGAGGAAGAGGACAAATATGATGCAGTTGTGGATTAGTTTCAATCATACTGCACCCTAAGAAAGAATGAAACATATGAAAGGTATGTGTTAAGGAACTGAACACAAAAAGAATTGGAATCCATTTCGCAGAATGCTACAGAGCTATGCCTTAAAAAGTCAGACATGTGACTTTGGATAGCCATGTGACTTGATGATTAGAGATCCTATGGTGATCAGACGACTTCATAAAAAAGTGACGCTGTGTTTACAACAAACAGACCTTACTTCAGAAACAGCTGTCAAATCTGCCAAGCAACTGAAATCCCACAGGTGCAAATGGAATGATGGAAGTGAATGCTGTACAGAAAACAAACCCAAAGAAGAACCACAAAAGCAAAAAGACCAGACACAAAAAGCATTGTGAAACAATTTGCTTCAGCAATGCCCAGAATGCCAAAAATGTGAAGGAAAAAAATAATTTGCAGGTTCCATTTTTCGTGGATGTCAAAGAGAAGGACCTGAGCACAAATATAGAGGAATGGATTTCTTGCCTTGATGTAAGTGGAATAAATGTATCGCTAAAGCTAGATTCCAGAGCACCAGTTCATTACTGCCAATGAAAGACTATAAAATACTGACAATAAAGCCAAAGGTAAGAGAAAAATTGAAACCTCAGAACATATGATGATAAACCAGTACCCACAAAAGGGGTTTGTAGAGCTCTGGCCCACAAAGGAAAGAAAGCTTTTGCATTAGTCTACGGAAACAGACAAGCAATTAGGACCAAAAACCTGTGAGCAGCTTGGTCTGATTCAGTGGCAGCGCCAGGGGGCGCTATAGCTACCCCTGGATTAGAAGAAGAAGAAGAAGAAAATATCATTTCTATAGCGCCTCTCAAGATAAAAATCACGAGGCGCTTCACAAAAACAAAAACAAAAAATATAAAAATTGTAAAAATAGAAAAAAAAGCATTTTGAAAATGTTTAAAAATATATTTAAAATGAGCAAGAATAAGCAATTGCAATTTAAAAGAAAAAATGTTAAGAAAGAGAGAGAGTGAATAGGAAAGATGGAAATCAGTGGATCCTGAGGAAGGTGGAATAGGTGGGGAGAGCCGAATAAAGAGAGAGTGGTGAAGAAGTTCATACAAAAGCCAGCTTGAACAAGTGAGTCTTCAGCTGCTTTTTAAAGGAGACCACTGAGTCCACTGATCTCAGGCTCAGGGGGAGAGAGTTCCAGAGTCTGGGGGCCACAGCAGCAGATGATCTGTCACCTTTGGTCTTTAGCCTGGTGCTGCACAACCAGTAGGCTTTGATCACTGGACCTCAGGGACCTGCTGGGGGTGTAGGGACTAAGAAGATCACCAATGTAAGATGGTGCTTGTCCATGTAAGGCCCTATAGACCAGAACCAGGATCTTGAAATGAACCCTGAAGTTGACTGGCAGCCAGTGAAGCTGGAGGAGAAGCGGGGTGATGTGGGTGTGTTTGGAGGACTTGGTCAGAAGCCGAGCACAGGCCTTCTGAACCACCTGTAGACGGTTCAGGGAGGTTCTGCTCAGACACGTGAAAAGAGAGTTACAGTAGTCTAAGAATGAGGAGATGAAGGAGTGGAGAACTGTCTCAAGTTCAGAGCGGGACAGAATGGGACTCAGCTTAGCAATGTTCCTGAGATGGAAGAAGGAAGAGCCAACAAGAGAAATGACATGAGAATCCAGGGTGAGAGCTGGGTCAAAGGTCATGCCAAGATTCCTGACAGAAGGTTTAGTGTGAGAAGCAAGCTGACCAAGAGAGTCTCTGACTTTGGGAACCAGCTTGTCTGGGGCACAGATGATGATCTCAGTCTTATCTTCATTCAGCTGAAGAAAGCTCCCAGCCATCCAGGTTTTGATAGAGTCTAAGCAGGTGTGTAACAGCTGCAGCTTAGACGTCTCGTGGGGCTTAAAGGAGATGTACAGTTGGATGTCATCTGCATAAAGATGGTAGGAGATTCCTTTGAAGGAGCTCAGGATGTGCTGAAGAGGAAGCAGATAGAGGAGGAAGAGTAGAGGCCCCAGCACAGAACCTTGTGGGACACCATGGGTAAGGGAGGTGGTGGAGGACCTAAACTTGGAGACGGCCACAGACAAGGAACAGTCAGACAGAGAAGAGAAGAACCACTCCAGAGCAGTTCCTGATAGGCCTACCCAGGCTCTCAGCCTCTCCAGTAGCAGGTGATGGTCAACAGTGTCAAAGGCTGCAGTCAGGTCCAGCAGGACCAGAACAGAACCGTCCCCTGCATCACTGTGAGTCAGAAGGTCATTAGAGACCCTAAGAAGAGCTGTTTCAGTAGAATGAGCTCTACGAAAACCTGACTGGAAGCTATCATAGATGTTATGTTCATCAAGAGCAGCTGTGAGTTGTTTAGCCACAACCTTTTCCAAGATCTTGGAGATGAACGGAAGTTTAGAGATGGGTCTGAAGCTGCTATGGAGAGAGGGGTCAAGACTCGGTTTTTTAAGAAGCGGGTGGATTAGTCATTGCACCCCCATAGCACCCCCAAGTAAATATTAGATTTATTTTTTTACAATTTAATTTTAATTTAACGTGTGGATGTGATAATATTTAACGTACAAAACAAAAATAATCAGTAAATTATCATATAGATAGTAAAAACTTAAACCAAAACAGGAAATTGATGTTAACCTTTGACCTCATTTTCCACCTGCGTACGAGTGAAAGGTAGAGCTAGTGGTAAGATGGATCGGTTTTTGTTGCCCACATTTCCACGGGTTCAGTCAGAAACGAATGAATGTTTGGAAGTGATCTCAGACCCACAAAACCTACGGATCGGGATGAAGAGAGTCAACCCTCAGCCGCCGCAGCAGTCGAGAGTTTGGCTGCTGGAAATGCTAACACTAACGTTAGCTAACCTTGCAACACTATAGATGGTTTTCTGTGTGGCTGTATGTGTTTAGGATTTCATGGAAAAGTCAGCGATTGTTCATATGTTTATGATGTTTATTACAGTTTTTCTCAGTCGCTTTGGTGCGTTTCTCAGAACACTATTTGGTGACACCTGAAAATGCTCAAGACAGCACTATGCCCTACTTGTACAGCCATTTGAAATGTGCAGTAAAGTAACTGTAGATGTTATGGGAGTTTTGGGAGTAACTGAGACACTGAATACGTACGTTTTACATTTTTACTGTATAGAAGTGTTTGTAATTCTACAGCATTGTGCAAAAGAAAAATATGCTACAGTCACTTGTTTACTGTAGAATACACGTAAACATAAAATCACCCTTTTGGTAGAGCTGTGCACAAATGAGAACAATATACAGTACATGTAACAGTACATACAGTATTGCACAGTACTGTAACATACAGGTACAGTAAATCATTCTGGCACATCCAGACGTTCCTGTCTGTCTGGCCACATATTTTCATCTACATCACAGCGGATGTCATCCCTCGCAATGCAGCGAGGAAAGTATCTCCTGGAGTGGCGAATCCGTCCTCTGCAGGACTCTGATGTGATGTCATCACAAGCTGCATCCATAGCTGCTAGCAGGGTCATTTGGGAATGCGGATGCCTGTCATATACCTTCCACCTCCAGGAAGAGAAAAACTCCTCAGTTGGATTTAGGAATGAAGTGAGGAAGAAACTCCATAAGCATCCTGTCGTGTGCTGCAAACCACTGCCTGACTACAGCAGAGTCATGGAAGCTAACCTTATCCCAAACCATTACACACATTGTCCGATGTCACCAGGACACACACCAATTTTCATTAGTGTGAGATAAGGTTCACCTGAGAACAGTAATTTATGGAGATTTCCATGGAAACTCCTTAAAAATAGGGTTTTCAAAATGGGTGTACAAATTGTTTGACAAGATGTTCAACAGTTTTGAGTGCAAGGACACGAGCAATGAAATGAAGACTATTAGTTGTAAGGACCATGACTATTCAGCCGGTACAAGTATCAATAATTGTGACATTCATGATAAAAGCAAGGAGATAGTGATGAATAGCAAGTCAAAAGTGACCATTCTTTAGACATTTGTACTTACTCAACTGCTTCATGTCCAACTGCATTTGCCTTTGGACGAAATGAATGTGAAACCGCCACTAGGTTGTGCCAAAACGACTACTTGTTGTGGAGGTTGAACTAACTGTTGTGCAAAGTTTAATTCTGTTGTGAGAAATGCACCAAAGCAACTGAGAAAAACTGTCATTTACAGAAAATATTAAAACAAAAAAATAAATACACAGAAGCATGAAACAAAATTTAAAGTTAAAACACCCAGTCCAAAAAACAAAACAACTCTAGAACCTCAATGACTGAGAAAATATTTTATAAAAGGACAAATGAAGATATACTGAATATATTTTATTTACTTTGACTTTAATATTTGCAAGTAATGTGAACCTAATATGTACTTGCTTTGGCAAGTTATTGTAATAATTTAGATTTATTTCCACTTTCAGTCTGCAACCCATTTAGAATGAAAGTTTGAGTAGAGGAAACTGGGATAATTGTGAGTTAAAGGGCTAAATAAACACTTCAAAAATGAAAGAGTAAATGAATGACAGACTGACAGTTACGAAAAACTTGTTTATTACAGATTATACATGTTTTTGATTATAAAAATAACAGATCTAAGACAGATGCTAAAGCACATTGTGGTTCCCTAGTGACCTTTGAAAAGGACAGCTTTTGTGAGCTTCTGTCTCACGCTGTCACACTGAAAGCTAAGAGTTGCTAATCTTGCAATGTGGTGCATCCTCAGCTTGAACAGGGAGACAACAGATGTCAACAGTTAATGGGAGTGAGACTCAATTCTGCACTGTGTCTCACTGATGTGCTCCCCGAGCAAAAAGACGTCCTCTGACCCGATCCTCTTGCTCACGATGTAGACGACCTCCAGTGGTTTGATGGGCTGTGATCGTCTGCCCACTGATGCCTGGCGAATTGCCCAAGCTACTGCTCTGATGACCCTCACAGTACCTTCAGATAGGACCACAAGACCCCCGTTGGTAGCTGTGGTCATCACAGGCAGATGCAGCATCCATCACCCGGCTGGCACGGCAGACATCACAGGACAGCTTGGTCATGGCTCGCCGCACAACAAATCCTGAGATTACAATTACCAATGTAACTGGACAGTGTGGTTGCCTTTACACTTTACATAGGCCTATAGAACAACATGATGTCAGGTGAGAAATCAGACAAGAACTATAGTTTGACTACCTAAAGGGAAACAAGTAATCATGATTAGTAAGTGTGGCATTTATTTATCAGGGGGATTTGATAAGCCAGCAGTTTTTCTAAAGACTACAAACATCTTTTGTGTTTTTCTTCTGACTGCTTTTTTAGGCTCTTTTTGAAACACAGGGAAGGTTTTTTACCTTGCTGACTGTTTTGATCATGACGCCACCGAGCGTCAGCTCTGAGGAAGATCGCAGACACGTCTCAGGGCAACTTCCCACTGCCTCCTCCTTTCTCCATCCTTGGGAAATCTTAAACAAGTGACAAAATGTAGGCAGCTTTATAAATCATTGTAAACAGTTTACAGCCTTTTCCTTTAACATGAACATAAGACAAACAAACAACAGGTGTCAAGACAGAAACATGCAATGATTGAATAGCCAAGAAATCTTGAATTCAAGCAATGAAACTTTTTTAAATCACAGTTAGCTGATAGATGTTAAACTTTGACATCACTGACACTGTTATTTCTAAAAAGCAGTTAAAAGCAAAGCAGATGATAGAGACTTATCAGCCTAACACAGTTGAATGTTTGTTATTGTTAAATCATACTAATGAAGGTGATCCCGCGTTGTCGTGATTGAAGACATCCATAGGCAGCGCAAAAGTCAGGCATGCTTGTTGGGTTTCACGTGTATTTCTGTAAAAACAAAGCCAGCAATTTCCGCTATTTTATTTTACTTCAGTCTAAGTTTATTTTTTACATTTTTTAACAAAGTAAGCCGCCTGGAAAACAAAGGTAATTTTACCCTCCGCTTCCACTGAGGTAAAACACTGTAGGTCAGCAGCTCAGCCACGGCAGCCTCGTCTTCTCTAAGCCAAGTTAGGCAGCTAATAAACACTAAAACATCCACCAAGACAGCCATTTAGACAAACATTAGGTTGACGTACACTTCTTAGTTTCATTGAACCGTACGAACCCTCAGAGGCGGTTTTACCATTAGGCATAGGTAGGCGGCCGTCTGGGGCCCCCTTGTGTTGGGGGGCCCCCTAGCCCTGACCGCCGGCACCCCTCTGTTAATGCCACAAAATTCTTATTACCAACCTGCGGCCGCAGACGAGATTGGACATGCGCACTTCTCATTGCCATAATTCCTGAACCGTTCAAGATATCATTAAAATTCCAAAAGTGCTGAAAAGATTAAAAATGGGGCTTTTCATGCATATACAAGACATTACGGTAGCCACCGGGATTCCCTGTCTTGAGCGCAACGAATCACAACACAGATTCAGAGACGTGCTGAGTTTGTCATCCAAAATGCTCCGTTTTATAACTTTTGGATGGCTGATCAGATCCAGGAAATTCCAACGGTTCCTAAAAGTACATAAAAGCAGCGTTCCAACGATCTATAGCATGAAGCAATCAGAGTTAGGGAAAATATCGCTACGAGGGGAAATCCTGCTGTACAGCCTGATTGAAACGGAGCGCAGTGACGCGGTGAAAGCAGATAACGGAACAGGGAAGCTAATCAGCATAAAAACCAGCATGAAATTATGGAAATGCCTCAAAGAAAATCAACACGATCTATTAGGTGTCCCAGAAGGCTTATATCTGAAGACAGTGACCATGAAGAAGGACAGATCTCCAGTGAACCAGGATATGAACGTTTGTTCAGTCTTTATTTTTTATTTTTTTATTTGAACAACCCTCAACTATTTGCTCATTGTAAGATTCAGCATCATTCCAGCATTATTTATCTTTTTACAATAAATAATTATTTTTGCTAAAACAAAAGTTTTTGGTATAGCAGTGCACGGTGTGCAAGAGAAGCCCCCCATAGCAGTGTGAGGTGTGCAGGACTCTGCCTGCAGCTGGAGAGAAACTGCTTCAAGGTCTACCACATCAAATAAAAACGTCTGAAAGTTTACAAAAATAAATGGTCTTAAAAACAGTTAAAAATGATACCAAGGTTCACACTGTTTTAAGAATAGATGCATTTCAGTTCAAAGTTTAAATTGTTTGCCCAGTAATTTTGAAGTTCCTGTTCGGTAATAAATGTAAAAAATTCAAATCCATTTTTTTTGCCTTTTTCACTTTTAAGCTGATTTTTTAAAGGCTTTAATAGAAATAAATTCTAAATACAAACCATACACTAAAAGCTGAGGTTGTTCTGAAAAAAGGAGAAGAGTTACACACACTTTGCGCTTTTTATTACAAGTTTACAGCCATAAGATTAAAACAATACCAGGCGGCCCTGTTATAATTATGGTCATAAGAGGGTTATTAAGATGGCGATGCACAAACTGGAAGTGATTGGTAGTCATTCCACTCCAATCCAGTTGGTGGCGGTAATGCACCAAATTGTTGTTTGCCAAGTACCATAAGACCACAAATATGAAGAAGAAGAGAGGCGGCAAAGTTCGTAACAAACCCAAAGCAATAGTCAAAACATTAAGCATGAAATGGAGTTATCCTAGTGGCTCGAATATGAGAAATTTATTTTCACTTCTGAAAGTGACGTAGTTTTTCGATGTAAACATCAAAGGGAGGCAGAAAGGAAAGACAATGGAAAATGTTTAAAGGGAGGCAAACATAGACCAAAATGGAAAATGGAGAAAAAAAAATAACTAAGGCAAAAGCACAGGAACACTGACAGGATGAAGAAAGCAGAGCAAATATTCAAGGCACTCAAAGGGAGGGAAAGACAGGAAAAAAGAGGAGGACTAATAAAAAGGGAAAATAACTCATGTCAGAAGAGGGGAGAGTTTCGCAAATCCAGTTAAAGGTAAGATTGTTGAAAATTCAGTGTAAGGGGCCCCATGTCTGTGTTCGCCTTGGGCCCCCAGATTGCTAAATCCGCCCCTGCGAACCCTATACAAATATTGTGGTCTCTCTCTCTCAACCTAACGCGCAAAATAGCTTAGCCGGGACACAATGTTCACAATTATGCCGTGTTTCAAAAGTAATAGCGGTAATTTCAACATGTAGTCTCTGTATCATACGATTTGTAATAATGTAAAATGTTTGTAAATCCGTTAATATTTCATCGAGTTATAAGTATTTTTGTTTGAGCCGTGCACTCACCCTCTGCTAGAGAACGGTAGATGGCCGCCGTATACCGATGAACGTCAACCTTCTGCTGGACTAGTGCCGCCCTCTTGTGTCTGTTTGCTGGTACTACAGTTGGTAAGATAAATTTTCACGGATTCCTTGACACTATCTTTTAAAAACACATGAAACTCATTGCAAACACAATCAAATTCAACGTACATAACTTCAAACCAATGAGATCATCATCAAAGACTCGTAACTCAGCTAAAAGGTTCCACTCGATGACATTTTCTCTCATAGATCAGTGCATTATATCCTGGTCACTCACTGGAGACACTAGAACTGTTCTTCAAAAAGTTTATAAAATCCTGGATCAAAAGCCTTTGTCATTTCACCACTGTAGTATTTTAGAAAAACATTATATGGTTAACTTAGAAAATGTCATTAAAAATATTTGTTTAATCTACAGAGTTCTGCATGGACTAGCCCCACCTCCACTCCTTCTTAGTTGCATTAAACTAAGAAGTGATAAAGGCTTTGGCACCAGAGCCTCCTCTAGAGGAGACCTTCAGACTGCCTACAGAAAAACAGCCTTTGGACAAACTGTTCTGTCTGTTAGTGGGAGTCACTTTGGGAACAAATATTAGAGAATGCCCCACCTATAAAACCTTCAAAAGCACATCAAACAGTACCTTAAACCAGTGGGGGTTTTACTATTAAGGTTGGTTTATGCTTGACGCGTCCACGAGGTAGTGATATGACGTTCACGAACGAATCAAATCTTTTGAACGGGTTTTCAAAGTGAATGATGAGAGCCGAGTCCCTGTAGAAAGCCGTTCATCTTAACAAACCTCCCCGGAAGTCGGTCAAAGTCACCCACTCAAACCCCAACCACCGCTGTGACGGCCGTAGGAGGAACCATAGAAACACGTGTTTGTATACATATCTCGGGAAGAAAGCTGAGCCAGTCTTTTGAACGGCTCTTTGAGGTAAACGACCGACCAATGAACGGCTCCCATGAAAGAGCCATAAACCCCATCACTACCACGAAGTTCGCACGGCTCCGTGCAGCAAACTTGCGTCATTTTAACGTCCACGGCCCTCCACCGCACCTCCGCAAGGCTCAAACTTTCCGCTCCGCGAACCTAGGAAATTTTCTAACCACGTGGACGGTCGAACACGGAAAAACATGGCGGACCGGCAAGAACTAGTATGGCAGAGGTTCGTAAATACAGACATTTCTATGATTCAGCTCTCAAAGATCACCGTGATCAACATGTTGTTAATAATTCTTGGAGAGAAATAGCTCACACTGTCGGAAAATACGAGGAAGCTGTTAAAAAATGCTGGAATGCCATGTTGTAAACAACAGTAATTTCTACTTCTACTATGGTGTAGTGTTGGATGCATGCCGTAGAGCTCCATGTTGCCCCCTACAGTTTGGGAGAATATTGGCTCACCGCAGAGACAAGCCGCATGAACCATAAACGCTGCGAGTTGTGAAGCGCGTTCCATCCACAAGCCGCATCACCAAGCATTAAGTAAATGCGTTAAGCATCAACCAAGAATTAAGCCTAGGTCTACAGCTGCTTGGGGCCCCCTTATGTTGGTGGGCCCCGTAGCCCTGACCTTCAGCACCCCTCTGTTAATGTCACAATGGACTATTCCTTTAAGATGCTGATGCACAAACAGGAAGTGATTGGTAGTCATTCCAGTCCAGTCCAGTTGGTGGCAGTGATGCAACAAATTGTTGTTTGCCAAGTGCCACAAGACCACAAATAAGAAGAGAGGCACGAGCATTTGTAACAAACTCGAAGCGGTAGTCAAAACATGAAGCATGAAATGGAGTTATCCTAGTGGCTCCAATAAGAGAAAGAAGCATCTTGCTTCAAAAAAGCTTTTATCTTCACTTCCGAAAGTGACGTCGTTTTTCTGTGTAAACATCAACAGGAAGCAGAAAAGGAAAGAATGGAAAATGTTTAAAGAGAGGAAAACATGGACCAAAATGGAAAATAGAAAAATAAAGAAAGGCAAAAGCACAGGAGCACTGACAGGAAGAAGAAAGCACTCAAAGGGAGAGAAAGACAGGAAAAAAGAGGAGGACTAATAAAAAGTGAAAATAACTCATGTCAGAAGAGGGGAGAGTTTCACAAATCCAGTTAACTCATTTGCTGCCAGCGTTTCTCACAGTTTTTACAGTTTTTTTAAGACTCACAGAACGTTGTGCGCTAGGATGATGTCGACGCCAAAACAACCAAAACAAATCGGAGACTCACCTCTTACATCAGGAAGAATCAGCGCGTTTTGAGCTTTATCCTTTCTTTCATAATCTGTTGTTGAATTGTGATCAGCAGAAGCTTTTCCGGTTCCCACCTCACTTGTTTTACAGCACCGGCCCAAAATGATCTCCTAACACATGGATGTTCTGCTTCCTGATCACGTGACGTGTGACGTATGCGGATGAAGATTGGCTTCAGAGCTGAGATGTTTGTTCTCACGGTGCGGGGTCTCGTCCGACGCCCACACAGTAAAAAAAATGCAAATGACGACTTTGGCAGTGAACGAGTTAAAGATAAGATTGTCGAAAATTTAGTGTAAGGGGGCGAATCGGGTGGCAGACCAAGGCGGGAGCCTTGGCGGTCCAATCCCCGGACAAGAAAACTAGTTTTTGGGACATGGAACGTCACCTCGCTGGCGGGGAAGGAGCCGGAGCTTGTGGCAGAGGTTGAGCGGTACCGGCTAGATATAGTCGGACTCACCTCGACACATTGCATTGGCTCTGGAACCCGAGACCTGGAGAGGGGTTGGACACTCTACTTTGCTGGAGTTGCTCCGGGTGAGAGGCGGAGGGCTGGGGTTGGCTTTTTGTTAGCCCCGAGACTCTCTGCCTGTGTGTTGGGGTTTACCCCGGGGGACAAGAGGGTAGCTTCCTTGCGCCTTCGGGTCGGGGAACGGGTCCTGACTGTTGTTTGTGCTTATGGGCCAAATATCAGTTCAGAGTACCCACCCTTTTTGGAGTCCCTGGGACGAGTGCTAGATAGTGCTCCATCAGGGGACTCCATTGTCCTGCTGGGGGACTTCAATGCTCACGTGGGCAATGACAGCTTGACCTGGAGGGGTGTGATTGGGAGGAACGGCCCACCTGATCAGAACTCGAGCGGTGTTTTGTTATTGGACTTCTGTGCAAGCCGCAGTTTGGCCATAACGAACACCATGTTCGAACATAAGGATGCCCACCGGTACACTTGGTACCAGGGCAGCCTAGGTCACAGGTCGATGATAGATTTTGTAGTCGTATCATCTGACCTGCGGCCGTATGTTTTGGACACCCGAGTGAAGAGAGGGGCGGAGCTGTCAACTGATCACCACCTGGTGGTGAGTTGGATCAGATGGCAAGGGAACATGCCGCGTAGACCTGGCAGACCCAAACGCATAGTGAGGGTCTGCTGGGAACGCCTGGCAGAAGAACCTGTCAAGACGGTCTTCAACTCCCACCTCCGGCAGAGCTTTGACCACGTCCCGAGAGCAGTGGGGGACATTGAGTCCGAGTGGGCCTTGTTCCGCTCTGCGATTGTCGAGGCGGCTGTTGCTAGCTGTGGTCGTAAGGTGGCCGGTGCCAGTCGTGGTGGCAACCCCCGTACCCGCTGGTGGACACCAGAGGTTCGGGGAGCCGTCAGGCTGAAGAAGGAGGCCTACAGGGCGTGGCTGGTCTGTGGGTCTCCGGAGGCAGCAGACAGGTACCGGATAGCCAAGCGGGGTGCAGCAGTGGCAGTTGCCGAGGCAAAATCTCGGGCGTGGGAGGAGTTTGGTGAGGCCATGGAGAAAGACTATCGATCGGCTACAAAGAGGTTCTGGCAAACTGTCCGGCGCCTCAGGAGAGGAAGGCAGCAACTCGCTCACACTGTTTACAGTGGGGATGGGGAGCTGCTGACGTCAACTGGGGCTATAGTCGGACGGTGGAAGGAATATTTTGAGGAGCTCCTCAATCCCACCAATGCGCATTCCGAGGAGGAACCAGAGCTGGGAGGCCTGGGGATGGACTGTCCGATCTCGGGGGCAGAAGTTGCTGAGGTAGTCAAACAACTACACAGCGGCGGAGCCCCGGGGGCGGATGAGGTTCGTCCTGGGTATCTCAAGGCTATGGATGTTGTAGGGCTGTCATGGTTGACACGTCTCTACAACATTGCGTGGTCATCGGGGGCAGTTCCTAGGGAGTGGCAGACCGGGGTGGTGGTCCCCATCTTTAAGAAGGGTGACCTGAGGGTGTGTTCCAACTATAGGGGGATCACACTCCTCAGCCTCCCTGGAAAGGTCTACTCCAAGGTACTGGAGAGGAGGGTCCGATCGATAGTTGAATCTCAGATAGAGGAGGAGCAATGTGGTTTTCGTCCTGGCCGTGGAACTGTGGACCAGCTCTATACCCTTGCAAGGGTGATGGAGGGGGCATGGGAGTTTGCCCAACCAATCCACATGTGCTTTGTGGATTTGGAGAAGGCTTATGACCGTGTCCCCAGGGGCACCCTGTGGGGGACGCTCCAGGAGTATGGGGTGGGTGGCTCTCTGTTAAGGGCCATTCAGTCCCTTTACCAGAGGAGCGTGAGTTTGGTCCGCATAGCCGGTAGTAAGTCGGACCTGTTCCCAGTGAGGGTTGGACTCCGCCAGGGCTGCCCTTTGTCACCGGTTCTGTTCATCACTTTTATGGACAGAATTTCTAGACGCAGCCGTGGTGTGGAGTGTGTCGAGTTTGGTGGCAGGAGAATCTCGTCTCTGCTTTTTGCGGATGATGTGGTCCTCCTAGCTTCATCCAGCTCTGACCTTCAGCTCTTGCTGGGTAGGTTCGCGGCCGAATGTGAAGCGGCTGGGATGAGGATCAGCACCTCCAAATCTGAGACCATGGTTCTCGACCGGAAAAGGGTGGCTTGCCACCTCCGGGTCGGGGGAGAGGTCCTACCTCAAGTGGAGGAGTTTAAGTATCTCGGGGTCTTGTTCACGAGTGAGGGTAGGAGGGATCGGGAGATCGACAGGCGGATTGGTTCGGCGTCTGCAGTGATGCGGACGCTGAGCCGATCTGTCGTGGGGAAGAGGGAGCTGAGCCAGAAAGCCAGGCTCTCGATTTACCGGTCGATCTACGTCCCAATCCTCACCTATGGTCATGAGCTTTGGGTAATGACCGAAAGAACGAGATCGCGGATACAAGCGGCCGAAATGAGTTTCCTCCGTAGGGTGGCCGGGCTCAGCCTTAGAGATAGGGTGAGGAGCTCGGACATTCGGGAGGGACTCGGAGTAGAACCGCTGCTCCTCCGGATCGAAAGGAGCCAGTTGAGGTGGTTTGGGCATCTGGTCAGGATGCCTCCTGGACGCCTCCCCGGGGAGGTGTTTCGGGCATGTCCTGCCGGCAGAAGGCCCCCGGGTCGACCCAGGACACGTTGGAGAGGTTACATCTCCAATCTGGTCCGGGAACGCCTTGGGGTCCTGCCGGAGGAGCTGGTGGACAAGGCCGGGGAGAGGACGGCCTGGAGCTCCCTAGTTGGGATGCTGCCCCCGCGACCCGGACCCGGATAAGCGGAGGAAGACGAGACGAGAGACGAGGGGGCCCCATGTCTGTGTTCGCCTTGGGCCCCCAAATAGCTAAATCCGCCACTGCCTTAAACGTTGCCAGTCATGTTATTTGTTTGAATGTTGTTAATGTGAATAATTGCTTGATAATTGTATTTTGTCATCATGTTTTGTGTTTAGTCTTCCTGCCTAGGGACTACAGAAGAAAATTAGCAATTATTCTATCATCTGGCTCATTTAAGTAATCGTTAAGTTTTTCTTGTACAAGCTCGCTCAAATCTCTTATAACCCTCCCACTGTCTTCATGGGTGACCCCGCGAGTAAAGTTGACCATTGAGCAGGATTGATTGTTTATTCCTCGAGGTCCATGTGGCAGGAGTGAGGAGTGAGCACCACCTCACCCCTGCCACATGGACCTCAATGGATAAACCATCAATCCTGCTCAATGGTCAACTTTACTCACGGGGTCACCTGTAAAGACAGTGGGAGGGTTATAAGGTCAACATTAATAAGATATTATGGACTTTTGTGGAATGCAGAGGAGTTGCTAAATTGTAAAACCAAGTGTTCAGAGCAACTAAAAGTGATTAGCATGAAACCGTATAAAATATTTGACTGTGTGAATGTTTTTGAGTCTTTCAGGCAAAGCTCTGCTGCAGGGAATCAGTTTATGCCCCCAAATGAAATGTCTGTTAAATGAAGTGTTTTTCCTGTCTTTCACTCTAAGGAATACTGAAATACTAGCCAGTGAGCTAGTTCTCAGCAGTAATAGTTAAAATCAGTTGTAATGAGTGACAATTATACACATGTGGGACAGTGTTAGGGCTATTTAGAGACACGTTTTTGATGCAGGTAAGGGAACAGGAGAGCTGCTGAAATGTTGGTTGTCACTGTTGCCTCAATGAGTCCAGTCCCCTAACACTTGGTGTTGTTCAAAACCGCCTCTTACATACAGCTCACTCTTTGGTTGTAATTGGGCATAACAATAAAACTGATATTCAGCAAGAAGTATTTTGTACACACATCTTGGAAAGTGCAATGTTTAATGTTGCTCATTTTTTACATGTATAGTTTAATTTGACTCCATCCATCCATTGTCCTCTGCTTATCCGGAGTTTTGTCACAGGAGCAGCAGCCTAAGCAGGGAGGTCCAGACTTCCCAGCCACTTGGGCCAGCTCCTCCGAGGGAATCCTGAGGGTTTCCGTGACCAGCCGAGAAACTATAGTCCCTCCCGCGTGTCCTGTTGGGTGTGCCCAGAAAACCTCACCAGGGAGCATCTAGAAGGTATCTTAACCAGATATGTAGGATATATATATCTCCTTAGTTTTTGGTTAATCTATTTAACCCTAACCCCCCCCCCCCCCCCCCCCAACTGGGGGCCTCTACAGTTTCATGTCCCAAGCATCTACAACTGTCCACATTCTCCAAACACGACTAAAACCACAACCAAACAGCCCAATTGGGAAACAAGGCAGTTTTAAATTGTAATAAATTAAGATACAATGATGATTGAACTTTATTTTAGAAGACCTTCTCTGGTGTCTGCTGGGAAAAAAAAACCTTGAACAAATGTAGTTGAGGACCCCTGGAATAAATAAAACAATTGACTAATAAATTTCCTAAATGGAATTTGAACTCACAACCTCCATCCTGTCAGCACTTTCACACAGGGCAGCTCTTCTAAAATAAAGTTCAAGTTTTATTTTATCTTAATGTATCAAAAACCAAAACTTGCTTTGTTTACAATCTAAACTGGTTTGATTATAGCTGTGCTCGGGGAACGCAGACAATCACTGACACTTGGGACATGAAACTCCAAAGGCCTCCGATTGGGAGCCCAAAGGGCCCAAAGAAAAAAGGCCTAGGGCCTAAATTAAGATATCTTCTAGATGCCTCCCTGGTGAGGTCTGTGGACTACAACATCCTTCTTGATAGACTCATAGACATCAGTCACAGTCCATAGTTGGCTCCAATCTTGTCTTGAAGACAGGGGGTTCTGTTGTTTCTATAAGTGATCACATATCAAAGCAGATCGCCATGACATGTGGGGTCCCCCAAGGCTCAATTGTTGGACCACTGCTCTTCAAACTCTACATGCTCCCCTGGGTCAGGTTATGAATAATAACAGCTTTGCCGATCATAGTTATAGATGACACCCAACTACCTAGATATTTCACCTAGTGCAGTGGTCCTCAATAGGCAGCTGCAAGTGTCCTCTTTTGGGATCATCGAGTAGACCTATGGAGGCATCATCTTTTCTGGACGTGCTGCTGAGGTGTGTAGAGATTTGTCCAACTACCCAGGGACGGACTGGATGTGTTGGAACATGCCATCTCATATATATTTGAGTAGATGTATGGAGGTAAGTGAAGAGAGACTTGAGCTCTCCTCTGGATCCTTTCTGCTCAGTTCGTTGTGTCATGATGATGTTGGTGGTGATGGTGGACCCAAATGCAGGTGAGCAGATCACAGAGCATGAACAGGCTGGCAGGTAAACTGAGTGATTTATTAATAAAAGGCAAGAACAGGTTTGGACATGACAACTAACTGGCAAGAGAGGGCTTAAATGCACGTGTGATCAGGGACAGGTGAGAGGGAAACAATCAGGCAGGTTTAATTAACAAGGACCGGGAGAGACAAACACAGAAGGGCGGAGCTGCTGACGGAGACAGTAAGCCAAAACTTCAAAAACTGAAGAGAGAGAGAGAGGGAGGGACAGAAAAAAGGAGGGAGAGAGATGATTGGCTGTGTGTTCTCTCCTGGCGGCACGCCGGTGTCCAGTATTTTCAGCAGATCATGACTTTCTGACACATCACCAGCCCTCCGCCTCAGTCTCCAGTCTCTGAACTCAGACATGTCAAACAACAGCGCCACCAACAGCAGCTTAGTCATCGCCCAGAAGGCAGTGAAGCAGCTCCGTCTGGAAGCCAGTGTCCGCAGAGTAAAGGTAAGAACTCCATCAGAACCACACCAGATCTGGATCAGAACCTGACGGTGTGAACGTGCATCCATCAGACGAGATGCTGCGGATTAGTTTGACTGTTTTTAGTCACCTCACGGTCATCTCTAATCTTACAGCTTTGAGGCTATTTGACATCTTTAAATATATTTTTATTTTAGTATGTTTCATCCAGCAACGTCAGCTATAGAGAAATGTGTTTTTGTGTAACAGGTACGCTGTAAACACGAGAAGGAAGGTGTTAGACTAAACTAGTCCTGCTGTTTACATCTGGCTCACATTTCCCGGAAAAGGCTGGGAAGCAGAACTTTTGCCGCAGCACAGGGACATCTTTGTTGTGAGTTCTGCTGTTTGACTCGTCCGATTGTTTGGAGGAAACTTATTTTAGCACAGGCTGGTAGGCCTGGGGGGGGGCTTCCAGAAATTAGAAATCACGAGTTTTATTCTGTAACAAAGTTCAGACAGATGATAGGTTTGCTGTGGCTGCTGCCTTTTGCAGCCAGTTATTGTGTGAGCTGCTCTCAGTGGTTCTTTACCAGGTTTGTCAACAACAACAAAGTAAACAAATAAAAACTGACAACCAGCAGAGGGATGTTCCATGAAAACTGAGGCTCATTTTGATAATTCCTGGCTTGAATCTGCGTGACTCCGGGCTTATTTGGTGCCACGAACGAAGCTCGGGTGGATTCAATCTTCGCTGATTCAAGCGGGCAGTGACGAGCGGCCCCTGTCAGTCGATTCTGCTGTTCACCACTTTGATGCTGCCAACTGCCGATAAGAAAAAGCAACGTAATAAATGACATCGCATGCCTCGTCCAATCATATTCAGCTTAAGCAAGCCTCTCAGCTTGACATGGAGCAGGTGTGTCTTCAGAATCCGTCCCTGTGCTCCCCTCCCCCCATCAGGACGGCTCCGCCAGCTTATGTTCGATAAAGATGAGGATCTTTATAATCAACACATGGGGCCAGCCTTTGGCCACTTCTCAATCAATCAATCAAACTTTATTTATAAAGTGCTTTTCATACAAAAGATGTAACTAGAAATGCTTTACTGATTAAATAGACCCCACATATCCCACAAATGTCATTGGCAAATAAAAAGAACCCTCCCCCTAACCCAGTGACACACACACACACACACACACACACACACACACACACACACACACACACACACACACACACACACACACACTTGAGGACATAAGTAAACACCGGGCTGAGGAAACGTAAGGAAACTCCATCAGGGAGTCGTCTGCCCCTACAGCAGCAGATCCACGGCAGCAGCCAGGACATCAACACAGGGTGCCCAGAGGAGGGAGGGCGAGGGCCCCCACCTACACCCACGCACCACCTGGAGAGCACCCAGGCCGCTGCCGCCGACCACCGGCCCTGAGGCAGAGGGCTCCCGCAGAGGAAATGTTGTAAAGTATTAGAATAGGTAAAAGAATGAAATAACGAGAGGAAATATAAAAATAAATAAATAGTGATCAATTTAATTGTAGAAATAGTAAAACAATTTAAAAACTTAAATATGTAGCAGCTGTCTCAAAATATAAGCAAGTAAATCATAAATACTAGTCAGTATAAAGCTAAGCCAAAAAGGTGAGTCTTAATGAAGTTCTGGCTAAACAAGCCCTCAGGTGCGACAGTTGTCACCAGAATAGTGATGGTGTGTGATGGAGCTCAGGCTGACCCTACACCAGTTTGGGTGTAGTTACATTCATGATTCGTGGCTCAGTGGGACTGAACTGAACTGAACTTGTTCTCTGTGTAATTTCAGGTCTCTCAGGCTGCCGCAGAACTGAAAACCTTCTGTTTGCAAAATGCTCACAAAGACCCCCTCCTAACGGGGGTGCCCTCCAGCGATAACCCCTTCAGGCCTCCTAAGTCATGTGTCCTCCTCTAAGGTGTGAACAGATCCTCCTTTTGTGTGATCAGTACCTGAAGCAGATGAACCATCTGAGCTTCTGTGTTTCAGAGCAGATCCTTCCATCTGCACAAACACAACAGTTAAATGTTGACAGCTGATGCTAACCACTTTCTCCGACAGATGTGTACAGATCTGTTTGTTTATTTGAGGATCTCCAACTTCAAAGTAAAAAGTGTTCTCCCTGTGGTCCCCTGCTTACAAACACAGTATTTTCTATGCCGACGTGTGATGTCTGGAGTCTGTTTAAGGACGTGGGTACATGTGGTGTGACAGCAATCTCCCCACACAGGCTAAAGGGATTAGGACAACTGCAAATATCTTTGAATTCATTCATGAACAATCTGTTCTCAATCAATCAATTCAAAGATACTTTATTAATCCCAGAGAGAAATTAGAGTTTCAGTACACACAATTCAGAGATCAGACATACATGGGCAAGACACATGACAAGAATTGGTGACTGTGGTCATTCGCAACCCGAGTCGCGCTACCTTAATAGAGATAAGAGGGTTACATGAGGGTTGGCTCAGGTGGAGGGAAAAAAGGCACTACAGAGCTACCCTCCACTGGGAGGGCAGCTTTGCTCTGCAAAAAAAACACCTCCGACAGATATGCAACAGACTTCAGACATCACACAACATAAGTGTCCACAAGGTGGGGTGGTGGGTTGGGACTATCCCCACTTCAGTTCCTGCAGCCACGATAAGCAGCGCATGTAACCTCAGTGTGGATAGGGGGAGGAGCATTGAGGGTTGGAGGGTTGCAGTGACCCTGGAACGTTTCATCGGCCTTCCCGCAGTCCCGCCCAGGCTGGGAAAGGAGACAGAGTTAAGTTGCCATAGCGACGGCACATTCCACATATCTTCTGAGGGGGGAGTTTTCGATGGAGCCTTGCAGGCTCAAGGGCGCCAGATTGCGATTAGAAATTGTTTTGGGGCCAGACAGAGATAATTGTCTCTCTGTCTTACAGTTTGTTGGTCCTCAACCTCTCAGAATCCCAATAATGGACATTAATCTATCCCAATCCGTGCTGATTCGTCCACTGTATCCTTGATGGCATCCATCTTTTGTGCCAATAATGAATCTCGACCAAAGTTCCAAGCTTACGATTCATCTCGACAATTATGTGAGTCTGTGAATTCACAGCGTGGTGCAACCATCTCTGAGCTCCGGGATCAGGCCAATATTCCTCGACAGCTCGTTAATTTTCCGGTAAGCCAGGTAACCTCCAAGGCCAGTGAGCAGGAAACCCGACACCAACACCACGAATATCAAGACAAGACATATGGGGTGCCATTGGTCAAGTCAGAGTCCTATTGAAATCAGTATTCTGGGTTATTTAGTGCATCATCATAGAAAAAAATGACAATGAAAAGTGAACTCCCACTGTCATGATAGGCTACATAACCCAAAGTATTGCTGTCATGACCCCCATGACCCCATAAAGACTGGTCTCAGTTTTCTGTTATAATTTGTTAGGTTTTAAGAAGAACCCTAAATGAAGTGTTTTTCCACGTGGTTAGCACGTGCACTGGTTTGTGTTGAGTTGTGTGAACCTCTAGCAAGGCAGTGACTGTACGAGCTCCAGAGTCCGAGACAAGTGTCCATACGGGGACAATGACGCAAGATTAGGTTTTTATATGTAGAGCTGAAAAAGAGTCAAATCTAAAACACCACTCGTTCTGTGTGTACACACGTCCCCCCACAAACCAAACCTGGGGGTGGTCCTACGTAGGTCACCGTAGCCCTGATGGATGTAGATGTGGATCAGCTGCTAGAGCATTCCTCCTCAGAGCTGACCACATGCTACATAAACGTGCGCACGTCGCTCACTCTGAGAGCGTTTGTCTAAAACAACAAGGCTCCCAGGATGACAGTCAGTGTGTTAACATTTCTCTCATGTCCAGGACTGTGGAGGACGGCCCAGCCATCAGACGCCGGAGGGGTTTCCCTCCGTGAATTATCTCTGCTGAAGATAAACAAGAAGACCAGATACGTGCCCTGCAGCTGACAATCGCTACAGAAAAAAATATGACAATTCATCAACAGATTTATAGTCATTGTTTTCCAAAATGTACTTTAATACTAAATATTATTTTCCGTATCTGCTGCCTTGGTTTGCTATTTGTTTATGTAAACAGTATTTTTGTATTTGTGAACGACCAACATTCAGCTCCTAACCTTTAAAAGTGAGCATGAATTTGTCACTATTACCACTCACCTGGTATGAGTGGATCTTGTCCCCTTTTATTTTTTATACTCAAAGACTTGATTGAACTGAAATCTGATTAGGACTGATTTTTGAACTACTAGTCAAAAAAGATTTGTGCTTCAGATTGATTTCCATTGTTATTTTAATTACTATTGCACATCAGTGCCCATGTGTCACCATCACTCTGTGCTACATGTGCTATATAAATAAAGCTGCCTTGCTGTGCCTGTTATTTGCAACTGTAACCAACTTCATGATAGGAGCACCCTGGAACAAAGAATGACTATCAAATAAAATAAGTTTAAAAAGCGGTGAGGATGTAAGGAAAACCTTGTATCCTTGGGAAACCTGGAGGACCGATAATTAGAACTACTTAGCCCTCTCAGGCTCAAAATAAGTTTTGATAAAAGGATGAACAACTAAGTCCTTCAGGGGTACTTCTGAGTTAAAAAATGCCCATGAAATACGTATGTGGAGTAACCAGGTTGGTAGGTTTTAACGTTGCACATCTGCAATGCCTCCCTCCAGAGGGTTTTAAGCTAAAACGTAAGAAACTGTGATATGGGCCTTTTGTACGGTTCCGGATGATACTCTGTAATATATTTTTATTTGAATAGTTTTAAAAACCCACCAGATGACCTCTGGCGACTGTTTTCCTTGATCTTTCCTCGGATTGTTGGACAGGGATATTTTCGCAGGAGCGGGTTGGCTCCGCTAGAGGGTGCTGTTGGGCCGAGCCCGTGTCGGTCCCACAGCGAGGGGCGCGTGGTTGGACCGACGTTAGCGCCATCAATCTGCCTGCCTCTGCTTCCATATTGAAGATGGCGGTCTCTGTGTTCCGCGGCGTGCGGCTGCTCACAATTGGAGACGCGAATGGAGACATACAGCGACATTCAGAGCAGCAGCCGCTGCGGTTAGACGTCAAAACTTCACAAGACGCTGCTTTCATCAATCTCTCCAATGGTGAGTAGTTCCGTTGTTGTTGTTTTCAGCGCCGCTCTAAATAGTCGGCCTGTCTGAGCATGCTAATGTAGCCGGCGCTAGCCTTAGCCATGGGGATCGCTTCACCCTGTTGTAAATCCTATGCCGGTCGTTAGGCTCTCTATCTGGGCTTTAATGGCCTAAACATTAACCGGTTTGGGCTAATAACACACAGCGTACTTAAATGACTGAGCTGTGCGGGTGAACGTGTACCTAGATGCTAGTTGAACAATACCAGATTAGCCCGGAGCCGTCCATGATGCGCTAACACACGACAGTGCATTGTTTTAGTTCTTCTGCTCAGACAAGTTCGAGCTTTTGATTAGTTAGAATATTCTAGTGTGTCCTCAGACTGCTTGGCTGTAGTTGAAGACGCTTGAGTTGATTCGGGGTGAGTCGGTACATCACACTCCCAACCAGCCGCTGTGAATTGCGCCACGGAGGCAGCGATCCGTTTTAAATGTGCATATGTAGATATTTGAAAGAACCGAACCCTTAACTGAAGCCACTTTCTGTAAAGGGATGAATGTGGCGGGGCAGCGTGAGACCAGGCCCTCATTACTTATGCATTCATCTTTGTTCTCATTGGAACAATAGCTGGGTCCCCTCCCCGCCTCCAGCGAGGAGGCAGCAGCAGCTTGGTACCTAACGGGATTTCAGGGAAACATCAGCGGTGCTGCTGGGACGCCCGTCGGGGATGATGTGTGACAGAAACAGGTGTAAGGTGTAGTCCCCTCCTGGACCAATATCATCATCTCAGAACTTTGGTCAGAACGCTGAGGGTTGGAAGATATTATAGAATAATTACTAGAAGACCAAAATAAATTTTAAAGTTTCACAGGTATACACACAGTAAGTGACGTTTATTTATAGAGCACTTATCACAGAAAGAAAAATCACAAAGTGCTTCACAAGGATCAACAAAACGAATCATAAAGTCATGAAATGGTCTAAAAAGGCTAAGTGCAACAGTCTGCAAGGAGCGATCACCCTGACTTTTGTATCTGGTCTTTGGAACTTCTAGAAGGTTCTGGTGGATGGACCTGAGGGCTCGGGTTGGAGCATAAGGCTTTAACAGTTCAGTAATATAGGGAGGAGCTTGACCATGTAGAGCCCTGAAAGTTATAGTCAGGACTCTAAAATGACTCTAAAGTTAACGGGTAACCAGTGCAGAGACATCAGAATAGGAGTGATGTGAGCTCTTCTGTTTGTTCCAGTTAGGAGCCTCCCTGCAGAGTTCTGGACCAACTGAAGGTGGTCAAGGGCTTTTTTGTTAAAACATGTGAAAAATGTGTTACGGTGATCTAGATGGAAGGAGATAAAGGCATGGAGAACCATTTCAAGTTCCATGTTTTGACACCAGACTTTACAGTTTGGAGATGTTTCTCAAATGACCGCTTCAGAGTTCATTTTTGAATGGCCTTCAAGAGACATTGATTGGTCAATGTGCAGCACAGCTCCAGCTTTGTCACTGATTCCTGGACATTGGTCTTCAGAATCTGCTGATATTGAGTGGAATCCATGCGTTCCTTAACTTTAACAAGATTCCCAGTCCCTGCACTGGCCACACAGCCCACAGCATGATGGCACCGCCACTAGGGCTGCGGCTATCGAATATTTTTGTAATCGAGTACTCTATCGAATATTTTATCGATTAATCGAGTACTCTAATAAATTACTCTTTTGCGTTTTTAAACCATTATATCAAATAACATGTTATAAAATATGAAATACCTCTTAAAATGAGGAAGCATTTGCCAGTTATTCTTCAAGTTTTATTCAACATTAGTTTTCAAAACTTCAGCACTTCAACTTTACTTTACAGTAAACAAATGCGAGCGGCTGCAGCCCAAACAGCACCAGAAACGCTCACGGCGCATGCGCAAACATGACTCGCCAGCTATCTCCCTATTAACACACGTCCGTTTAAATTTCTACTTTTTTTTTGTTTCACACTAACAAGGATTGTCAAGAAAGCATGTTTGCCGTGGTTATGTCAAATTATACTGATCACAAAACATTTATTTACTTTCTTTTGTTTTCCTCCATCACTCATAAATACTTGTGTCCTCTTGCAGCAATCCAGAGGGACAACGGACATCAATAATAACACAATAAAAAGTCTGACGTGTTGTAAAAACTGCTATTTTTAGCACATTTTAAATCAGATGTGTTGCTACCAGACGTACGGTGTGAGCTGAAACTGAGTGCTACAAATGAAAAAGTTGCACAGTGCCTGCAGAATATAGAGAAATACAGGCTAAAATGCATTATCTTGTAGAGGCTCCGAGTCCGCTTGCAGAAGGGACATTTACATGTGCATGTTTCCTGGTCAGGTTGCAGCATGGAGGATGTGGTGTTGTGGTAGGCTAAATCCATTTTACAGTATTTACACTGACTGGACTACGTTTTCCGCCTTACGACGTGAAAAATGGTCCCACACCTTTGACATTTTGTGTCTTTTTTGCACTCCACCGGGGTCCACGTTGTCCGCCATGGCTTAAGAGAAAGTTACGTTGCGTTCGCTACTCGCGTGTGCATTCAGTGCAGTGTGTATGTGCGTCACTTATTTCGGTCCGGGTGAAACGTGACCCCGGGCGATTGCAAAGCCATGAATTAATTAAACATGAATTAAACGAAGCCTCGAGGCAGAGAATTTGACTCGAGGATTTTTTTGTACTCGAATTATTCGAGGTACTCAAGGAATCGTTTCAGCCTTAACCGCAACCATGTTTTACTGTAGGTAGCAGGTGTTTTTCTGGGAATGCTGTGTTCTTTCTCCTCCATGCATAACGCCCTTGTTATGCCCAAATAACCCAGTTTTAGTTTCATCAGTCCACAGCACCTTGTTCCAGAATGAAGCTGCTTTAGAGCTGGTTTTTGAACGCCACTACTCAGAGTAACTCATCCTGAGCAGTGTGTCCAACAACACCACGGTTTTGCTGCTGAGTTGTTTCTGTGTAGCATACAGATCAACTCGCCGTTTACTGATCACCTCGGGCTATTTTTGTGTTGAGTAAAGTGGGTTAGGGTTGTGCCCCCCCTGAACCCCGCGTGCACAACCCCAACGCCCTAAATCTTTTGCTTTATTTCTATAAAGTGGAATTTGCAACATTTTACTATACACACACACCACACACATTAATGCTTCTGAGATGATTACCATCACTGTCACAACACTAAAGGATTACTCATCAACGTCCCCCTCACCTCTGAAACAGATTAACGGAAACAAGATGGGGGGGGGGGGGGGGGGGGGAATTATCAGTTGTTAAAATTGGCCCAGTTTTACTTATTGGACCAATACCGACATGTTGAAAATGACTATTAATGCAGATACGTCGTACATCCATAGTTTTAACAGCAGCGTTTTGTCCCAAATGCAGAAATCATTGGTCAGAATATCCAGGTTTCAGAACGGAGGCAAGAGAAAAAAATGCCAGATGATGTAAATAGCTTTCATTCATGCCTTTTCAGATTATTCAAAGTAAAACTCAAACAGAAACGGGTTTGGGGGTATTTTCATGAGGAAATAAAAATATCACATGGCTGAAAGCTTCAAAAAGTGTATTTTCCTTGATATGGCCTCATCAATGACTGGATGTGGTCAAACTTCCTCCAGTTAAACAAAGAAGAGACAGAAGTTACTGTCTTTGAAGATAAGAAGGATAGGATAGAGGTTATTGCTCAGCTCGACTCCAGAGGAATAGAAACGAGGACCTAGGTTAGAAATCTTGGTGTCATAATTGATTCAGACCTGAGCTTCACTGGTCACATTAAGGCTGTAACTAGATCAGCGTCTTATCGTCTATTTTATTTATTTATTAACTTATGCTTCAGGAGGATAATACCACATGAGATGAAACATCTCATTTACGAGCGGTCCTCCAGGAAGACAGAGGCAGTGCACTATAGAATGAAACAAACTCAATCCAAAAATAATTAAAAAAAGACAACTGAGAAGCTTAACGATCATCTGCATCTAATAGCATGACTTGGAGGTCTCATGTCCAGACAGGACCTAGAGAAACTCATTCATGCGTTCATCTCCAGCAGGCTGGACTACTGCAGTGGTCTCCTAACTGGTCTTCCTACAAAAGCTGTGAAGCAACTGCAGCTTGCTCAGAACGCTGCTGCTGGAGTCTTAACAAGAACTAGGAGAACCGAGCACATCACTCCTGTTCTTAGATCCCTACACTGGTTACCAGTAAACTACACAATCCGTTTCAAAGTACTTCTACTAGTGTATAAATCACTCATTGGCATGGGGCCAGAATACATGTTGGATCTCCTTCAGGTATCTACGCCCAGCGGGGCTCTGAGATGCTTAGGAAACAGTCAGCTGGTAGAACCGGGTCAGAACCAAACAGGATGAACCTGCTTTTAGCTACTATGCTGCTCACAGATGGAATCAGCTTCCTAGTGACCTCAGATGTGCCCCAATGTAAACTGAAAACTTTCATGTAGTCATCAGCCTTTGAAAGATTGTTTCTTATGCTGCACCTGCTGCACTGTAACTGCTCACCTTTTAACACCTGAAAGGAATTTGTGTGTTTAATTTGGCCTAAATGTATTCGTGCATTCAAACAGTGCTTTCATGTTGGTTTTAAAGTTGATGTCGTTCTTGCTAGTGGACAGCACGCTGAATTATCTCCGTGTAAGAACCGTTTCATACAAACAAAGCTGCCTTGCCTTTGTCACAGTTTAGAGAAAGCTGAACACGAACCTGTCCTAATTGTGTCCATTGCTGTCTGCGTAGGAGAGGAAACAAGTGTGTTTAAGTGTTCCGTTTCCCGGGAGACGGAGTGCAGCCGAGTTGGGAAGCAGTCGTTCATCATCACTTTGGGCTGCAACAGTGTTCTCCTGCAGTTCTCCTCACCCGCAGGTACTGATGATCAAAGTCTGAGTTTAACTATGTCCACTTCCACTGAGTGTAAACACAACTTCAATGCTTTCCATTCAAGACGAGATGTACTGAGTCCTGGGAAACACGTGCATGTTTCTGCTTCAGACTTTCAGTCCTTTTACAACCTTCTGAAGAACTGTCGGGGGCATGCTGGTGAGAACTCGGTCTTCAGTGACAGAACAGAGGAGTCGTCAGCTGTACAGTATTTCCAGGTGAGAGAAGTATCTCCAAGCAGCTTTTCACAAATGGTACAGGCGTGATCAGAAGTCTTGTGGGAGAATAAACAAACATAAACCTTTTGCATGTCCGGTTATTATAATCATGTGGTGAAGGTCCAAAACCCACCTGCCTTTTGCAACTCCTCCTTTGTTTCAACTTAAGGGGACCTATTGTGAAAACTCACTGTTTGCGTCATTTTGTGCTGCCACGTGGGTTTCTACTGTAAATACTCCGAATGTCCATTTTGTGTCCGAGTTCTTTTTAGGTATTAAGGTCGGTTCATGAATTTGCTGTAGAGGTCGACCGGTGTTGCTTCTTCTATTGCCGATACCGATGTGAGGTGGTCAAGGTCAGCCAATGGCCGATACATGCTGCTGATTTTTGGGCCGATATCTCGATGTTTGGCACCTTATCAGAATGCTTAATTATCACTAATAACAGCTGTGTATGCACAAGTCTTCTGAACCTAATCTGTGTTTAACACTGAATTTAACCAGCTGTTGCATCTTAATATTGTGCACCGCTCAGTGGTAAAATCAAACTTTATTACAAGATTAATAAAACATACCAGTAAACTGACCACGTATTAAATATACAAAACAGGCAAATAAAGAAATATCAGTTGATGTTTCAGGTAATGTTATTAAGCAGATGTTTTATAGGAATGTACACATTTACATGTAAGTAAAAATAGATGCACCTTTAGAATAGAAAAACAGATTCTACAGAAAAATGCACAACACAGGCCTCGTGGAGCAGACGGAGAAGTATAAAATACACAATAGCAACCTGCTAAACACACCAGCAACATCTGATGTTCATCCAGTTTAACTGACTGTTTCAAAACGTCTTCATGTAAAATATGAATGAAACCCTTCGGTGCTCTTGGCTCAGCAGCAGCTTCTGTGTTAGCCTGGAGATGGGGAACCTTCAGGTTGCGTTTTTACCTTCTTCAGCTCCCAGCTCACCAGCCTCCTGCCATTATCACACCTCCTGTCCTTGATTTGGCTCCATGACTCGCTGCCATGCTGGATGTGACTTTAGTTGAGCCATCAGACAGAAACTAAACAGGAGAAACAGCTGTTAGTGTTTGTGTAGAGCATCCGTCTTCAGTTGAGTCTAGCAGAAAGAGCAGAGGAGAACTCAGCGCATTACAGTCTATATGAGAAATATTAGAGACACACTGATCTATTAATAACCCTAACTATTCACTAGTGTTACTGACTGCTGATGTTAGATTTTACGTACAAATTAAAACTGGTCTTTAGTCAGAGCCCAACACGTCTCTTGTTTCTGATCACAGATTACACGCTAAACAGACGCTGCTGCTGCAGGACTCTCCTCTCCTCTCTAACAAACAGACTCAAACCCTCCGACTCCCACACAGGAAAATAATTAAATGTGTAAAACTGGAGCTAACGTGTTCAGCAAAAAAGCAGCTGAGAGTTTAAGAAGGTCACTAAAGGTGACATCAAGCTAGCGTAGCATTAGCAGCATGCTGCCGGTGTCGGTACAGGATCTGCTCGGGTGCAAGATCGGCTCGGGGTCCGTCGACTGCCGATGACGTCAAAGTAGTTGATTAGCTGAACATGAAGCTTACGGAATTACGTAATCACGTTACGTTGTTATCACGTTACGTTGGTCCAGGCAAATCTTTCTGTTGGAAAGATGGACAACTTTTACAAAGAAATCCATCAGTACCTCTTTGAAAAAACACTTTTAGCATAGAGCTGCATGTATATTAGGGCTGAACGATTAACCGCATGTGCAATTAAATTGCGATGTGACAAAAGGAGATTTTCTAATCGCAAAGGCTGCAATTTGGCAGCGAGTGGTTAGCGCATCGCTAATATACATGGAAAACCCCATAGGAATGCTAATGCTAATATCACAGATTACATTATTACAAATTATGAATTAGAAACGTGCCAAATGATTACATTTGGAGTCTAATAGAAAGTAAAACTACCATCAATCAAATAAGTACAGACAGGTATTTTAGTTAAGCCAGAAAACTTTTAACTCCAGAGTTTTGGCTAGCAGCTATGAGCGTAACTGAACTACGCATGGACAAGACGTCAAAAACTCTAAACACAAAATACTTCAATAAACGGGACACACTTCTTTCCTGCAAATACAATTTCAGAGGTGTTGCTAATACCTATGATCCTTCAAGGGATGTGCTCAAAGAGGAGTTCAACATTATGAATACAATATAGTGTTTTATTTTACAAATACCATTATAAACACAAACGTACGTCGTAAGAAACATTATTTTAATAACAAAAGTTCTAAATTCATTCCAAACAGTATAAAGATGTCTGGTGTATTTTGTCCAAGTGGGTTTGCCGTACTTTGACGTCATTGGCAGTCCAAGGACTCCGAGCCAATCTTGCACCTGAGCAGATCCTGTACCGACACCGGCTACCGGCGGTTCTTACGGCTCGTTTTTTCTTTCACTCACCTAAGTTTTATTTCATGTTTTACTTTAATTCACACTGAATACACAGCTGTAGTGGTTTGAAACGCTAAAGAGAAGCCTCACCTTTTACTCAGACTCCCGGTGTTTTGGATTGGGGTCCTTCACCGGCTTCCAGCAGCAGCAGGCTGCCCGCGGAGGTGCCTGAATCTAAATCGGCTCTACTAAAGAGACTTATCAGCCAATGATGAAAAATGCTAATTATTGGTCCGATTAATCGGCCAACCTAATATCAGGGTTTCCCCCAGCGCTTGATAAGCCTGGCGGGCCGCCAGGCTTTGCTTGCCCACCTGCCGTCATGCCCCGCCCCCCTCCCTGACCCTACCATGTCCTGTCTGAATCAGATCAGTTCCAGCAGTGAACCCTACTCTTTGGTTTAATGACAGCATCTGCAGCCTGGAGCATCACTGCAGAGAAGCTGAGCAATTGCGGAAGAAACTCGCCTCCATGTCCATTTGCTGCATCTAAAGCCTAATTTATACTTCTGCGGACGGACACACGCAGCGCCATTATCCGTCCTTTCGAGGGCTCTCCAACAGGCTCGCAAGGATGGGCTGAGTCGAGCTCTTTTTTTCTATACATCTGTCTGGTGAGATGGAGAATGCAAGCTTGTGATTGGTCAGGATGCCGCTGTCATCTACAGCGCCACCACTGCACCCTCAAAAACATAAAGAGAGCCGAGGATAACTAGCGGCAGACACGGAGCAGCTTGAAGAGTACCTCACGGAAAAACTCTAAAAATATGAACGTTTAATTCCCCGTGACTGGAGGAGTGAAAAGATACGCAGCAAGCGTTTTATTTGTGGACGGAAATGACAGGAAACGTGGGTTTAGAGGTGGGGAGCGCATGAAGAGGTGGAGGAAGACGAGGGGCCAATTTGTCCGTTTTAAAAAGTCGCTTATATACAAAAAAACACAATATAAACACACTGACTTGGACCGGATAAATTACAGGATACCACAGAACAGCGCTACCCCCTCTGCTGTCCTGGCGGGGAATTGCTTTGCAACACTCAGGAGACGGAGAAGTATGAAAGCAAATTGTCTTCATCCGTGCGTGCGTGGCTCTTCCTCGTGGAGCTGACAGAGAATTATAAATTGGGCTTAAAGCCCAATGTCCTGGAGTGGTTCTCCTCTCATCTGTCTGAGCGTTCCTTCTCGGTGGCTGTATCCCAGGTTTCGGTCCTCCACCTCTCTTGCCCATGGTGTGCCACAAAGTTTATCTGCTGTTTCCCCAGCACATTATGAGCCTTTCAAAGGAATCTCCTACCATCTTTATGCAGATGACATCCAACTGTACATCTCCTTTAAGCCCCACGAGATGTCTATGCTGCAGCTGTTACACACCTGCTTAGACTCTATCAGAACCTGGATGGTGGGAGCTTTCTTCAGCTGAATGAAGATAAGACTGAGATCATCATCTGTGCCCCAGACAAGCTGGTTCCCAAAGTCAGAGACTCTCTTGGTCAGCTTGCTTCTCACACCAAACCTTCTGTCAGAAATCTTGGCGTGACCTTTGACCCAGCTCTCACCCTGGATTCTCATGTCAGTTCTCTTGTTCGCTCTTCCTTCTTCCATCTCAGGAACGTTGCTAAGCTGAGTCCCATTCTGTCCCGCTCTGAACTTGAAATAGTCGTCCACACCTTCATCTTGTCACACTTGGATTATTGCAACTCCCCATTCAATTGTCTGAGCAAATCCAGTGTTAATTTTGTTGATGGAAGGCTTTCATTATTTGTTTCATGACAAATAAAATTTAGCACTTGAAAACAAAACAAAAGTCAAAAGGAAACTTGGATAAATGCAAAAAAAAAAAAAAAAAGACTAAAGTCGATCAAGATGCTTGTTAAATAAAAGACTAGAACAAAATTGATGAAGAGTAACCGATCTGAAGACGGAGAGATGTGAGGAGTGGACATAAGAACCAATGGGCAAAAGGAAAATGCAGGACTAGATAAAGGAACCAGAGTCCAGAGCTAGTCGCTGGTTGAACAAGTTCTCAGTAAGGCAGCAGTTGAACAACAAATATCTATGAGAAGGAAATGTCCACGCCTGAGAGGAAACACATCTGATAAGTCTTTGTTTGGTAAGCTCAAATCTGGGGTTTCCCCTGGTTTTAAAGAGTTACGCTGATGGCAGCAACCAAGGGCGGGATTGGGAAGAGGACCGGACTGAACCAACGGAGCTTTTTATGGTGCTGCTATGGCCAGTTTTATGTTTATGTATTTAGCAGACGCTTTTGTCCAAAGCGTCTTACAGGTGATAACCAAGCCAGCAGGTGTCCCTTGAGGCTAACAACAAACACTATTTGTTTTTTTTCATTGACAATGTTCATCTTTCATTGTTGCTCGTTTTCTCTCCGTCTGCTCAGTTCTGTTCATGAGTGTGAGATGGAGAATCACCACGTCCTGCAACGTTTACCGTAACTGCACTACGTGGACTTGAAAGTGCGAAATTCTCTGATGGCACAAATAATTACTGACTTAAGGTGTTTCATAGTAAACATGTACTGCAGTCCTTCCATTATTAGAGTAATAGCTTTTAATGTTTTGATAGCTTGATGTCATTTTTTTTTGTCATGCTTACAAATATTATTGTTCGATGTGAACTTTTGCTGAAGCTTGATTTGAAGAACATCTTGAATGCAAATCACATTTCAGTCGTTTCCAAAAGCGGTTCAGCCCTAATTCATGTGAACAGACTCATAGTTATCTGTTGGAAACATGTCATGTCATGTCTGTGTACGTAGCAAACTAACTTTTTTATAATCATACACATTCATTCTTCATACTTTTTACAATGGGCATGTCATCACCCCTCCCTACCCTCGTGCAATCCTTTTTGTTTATCGCAGAAGGTTTTTGTATACTTAGGAAGTCCTGGCTGGCCACTTTTCTGTTTGTTTTCTAGTTTTTGGCGGCATCAGTTTTAGTTTGTCGCCTCACACTTTTAGCTTCATAAGTGTTTTCACATTTCGTAATTCCTGATTAGTCTTTTTAGCTACTTGGAGTTAGGAATGGGTACCTTTGACATTTGAATCAATTCTGTACTAATTCCCGGTACTTAGGAATCGATACCGGTACTTAACGGTACCAATTTTCGATACTTTTGAGTGTTTATTATTTTAATTCTCTTTTATAATTAAATATATTTTTTCTCAATATATAACAATATTTGATATATATCACGATAACATTCAACTGTTTGTATTTTAACATTGTCCTTGTAGTTTTATAAGCTGATAATTAAACTGAAGCAAACATCTTTACTGTGAACTAAATTTACTGAGTATCTTCATTCCTTTTGCCATCTTTTTTCATTTGATTTTTCCTACTGGGAAGTTAGAATTTCCGAGGAGAAAGTGAACGCACCATTAGCTGATAACAATGGTAGCAATGGAAGCTAACATATCAAGCTAACGATATCTTAAACAGTTTATTTAGCTGCTAGAGCAGATTTAAACGATGATGCCTCACACTTAGATCGTTGTCACTGGTTTCATCTTGACCCAATCACCTGTCGCGTTTAGTAAAGTGAAGCCAAACTTTAGAGCGCGTTCATGTTCTTCTAGTCGGAAATTCGGAGTTCCGAGGAGAAAGCGAACGCACCTTAAGCGGAATGGAAGCTAACATTTCAAGCTAATGTTATCTTAAACATTTTATTTACCTATCGGAGCAGATTAAGATGAGGATGTCTCACTTAGATAGTTGTCGCTGGTTTCATCATCACCCAGTTACCCATCACATTTAGTGAAGTGGACCCAAGCTTTAGCGTGCGTTCTTTCTACCATGCTGCTCTGTTTACAACTAGCTTGCAGCGAGCGACGGCATAACGCTTTTGCGCATGCGCAGCTGTCTTGGCAAGTTCTCGTTATGAAGGACAGGTACCAAAATGAGGCACCGTTTGAAATGATGTGAATCGGTGCTCGGTCGGTACTGTGGAATTCGGTCGGTACCTTAAAAAGTACCGAATTCGGTACCCATCCCTACTTGAAGTATTGAATTTCTGTTAGTTTTCTACTTTAAGTGGTGAATGTTTTCTGTAGTTGAGTGTACCAGTGTCACTGCTTTAGTTTTGGTCCACAAAGTATTGAAATTCTGTTTTCAACAATGTTTTTATTTATTTTTTAGTTCATTGTAGCAGTTTTCACTGCCTTGTTTCAGTCTCCTGACACCTTCAGCTTCATCTTTGTTTTCTCTTACTTACTAATTCCTGGCTGACCACATTTAGTTCTCTTCTCAGAGTTGCATTGCTGTTACATGATTCTTCTAGTTTTAGTACAGTAATTGTACTTGTGTGCCTACAGTTTTATGGCTACCTCTCCCAGCAACAAAACATGATGCAGGACTATGTTCGAACAGGGACGTACCAACGAGCTATTCTTCAGAACCACACTGACTTCAAAGACAAGGTAACCTCCCACCTGATGCCAGGCCGACGTGTTTAGAATGTCAAGTCAAGTTTATTATATCGAAGGTTTAAAAACACCCACAGTTGACCTGAGTTCTGTAAAAGCTGTACACATGTCAGCGTTGGCATGGAGTGTGGACTATCAGAGTGGTAGTGTGATCAAAGGGAGCACACATGAAAACCACCAGACAATGAGATGCATTTGTCTGTCTTTGTGCCTTTTTCATTTTCTTCATAGTGTCAATCGTGAATATTTCAAATAGGGGTTCCAACTCCTTTTCGTCAGTTAGACCAGGTCGTTGTTGGAGGTAACTTGTGTTCTCCTTTCTCCAGGTGGTGCTGGATGTGGGTTGTGGATCAGGGATCCTCTCTTTCTTTGCTGCTCAAGCTGGAGCCAGAAAGGTTTACGCTGTGGAGGCTAGCACTATGGCCCAACATGCAGAGGTGAACAAGAAGCATTTCCTATCTGATGCCACTTTAACCTGGTTTTAATCTGAAATGCTGAGGTGTTAGACCTGGCAACACATGCTAGGGTTTGTTTACTGGGAGCTTTTACCAGCAGCCTTGCCTCTGTCAGTGCACCCCAGGGTAGCTGTGGCTACATCGTAGCTCGTCCCCACCAGCGTGTGTGTGTGTGTGTGTGTGTGTGTACAGATATTAGTTGAATATACCTTTTTTATTTAGTCAACTAAAATATGACAAACAAATTGGATAACTACAATTAGAATAAATTAAAATTATAGTTCCTTGTGAAAGTTAGCACTGGTGTCCTTGTCATTGCAGGTGCTGGTGAATAGTAACCGTCTGAGTGAACGTGTAGTCGTCATCCCAGGGAAAGTGGAGGAAGTGACCCTACCGGAGCAGGTTGACATCATCATCTCAGAGCCCATGGGATACATGCTGTTCAATGAGCGCATGCTGGAGAGCTACCTGCATGCCAAAAAGTTCCTTAAACCCAGTGGTGAGGAGGTTTTTGGACCCCAGAAGATGTAAAACACGCTGAAACCTTAGAACATAAAAATGTGCAACTTGTTCAACACTTGGCTGGTCTCAGTGGGATGTGATGGGGACATGGGTGTTCCTGTTTGCTAATGATTTAGTCTTCAGCTGGAATATTTTGATCTTAGTCAGTGTTGTGGCTGTTTACTGTTCTCTGTGTGGGTTTTCAGGTAAAATGTTCCCGACTATTGGAGATGTGCACCTGGCGCCCTTCACAGATGAGCAGCTCTACATGGAGCAGTTCACCAAAGCTAACTTCTGGTAAGACAGAAAGATGTATAATTGTGGTGAGCTGATTAATCAGTGTGTGGCCATGTGACATGTACCAGTTCAGCAATGCTTGTAAACAATAATATTTATAAAACGACGCCTAAAATAAACTGCTGAGCATTAGCCTGGCAAGCCATCCTATATATGTGAATATCTAGTCTAGCCACAACCCGTAGACAGATCTCAGTGGTGGGTTAGGGTCCACAGTTGTCTTTCAAACATCTCCTGATGTTATTGGACGACAAACAAACGACTCATCGCTACAGATGTCAGTCAGTGGGGCAGTCCGCCATACAGCATAGAAGATGTATAAGACCAGAGCTTGATTTGTAAATCAAACGTTCCGGGAATGCAAATACTGATGTGAGACCAAAGTTCCCAACAGGCAAAGCAGATGCCGGAACAGGCACGCAGGGATGGGGGTTCGCTGGAGTTTTCGACAAGTAATTAAAAATTGTGCCCACATTTTAAAGTAAACACACATCTCTTAACAACGGTAGTTTTTTCATCTTTACTGTTCTCCTGCTTCAGCCCTCTGCCCCTCCCCCTGCAGCCTCCCGTACGGTCCTGCGAGGGACTGAGGTTTCAAGGAGATCTGAATTGTATCAAATAAATAAATATTACATGCTTATAAATTATATCCGTAGATGTTAAAAAGGTGTAGAGGGATAAATCTACCTACGTTTTCCTTTTCAAACACGTTGTTTCTGTCCAGTCCCTGTCTGTTATCCTGCATCTCCTCTCAGTCCTAAAGAAAAACTGCTGCCTGGCTTCATCTATTTTCACCTCATGAGATACCTTTGAACTGCAGTTCAAAAAAATCTACCGACCACCAAAACACCAGTGTGTGTGCCACGCCCCAGTGAGGTGAAGTCACCGGAGGACAAAACAGGTGATGCGGTCCGCTCCGCAGCAGCGAAACGCGTCAGGCACAAATAAAAGACAGAAATCGTAAAAGGATATGAGCCGACATAAACGATCGCGTGTAAACTTTGTTTTTGAGGTGGCGACACTTTGAGAATGTTACTGTGGCCGTGCTCAGGACGCAGATGTCTGGAGCGTGTCAACGATCAGAGCTCTGCGCCTCTCAGCTCCAAATAATCCTGGAGAGTCTGCATAGATAATGTGGTATCAGTAGAACCAGGATCTTTTTCAGGCTCCCCCTGGGTGTGGAGGTTCAGGGCTTCCAGGGGAGCCTGCCACCCTTTCGGATGAGCGGAGCTCCCTTTAGCTCACCCGTAATTCAAGTGCTGCAAATAGCACAAGTTGGTCGCGTGAGTTGCCGGGACCTAGCAGACTGTTGCTGGAACGGTCCTTTCAAACAGTTTTCCGGCCAGATCCGGCTCAAACGAACCCCATACCAGGGAAAATCCACTTTCTGGAGCTTTTTACCATGTGATATTTTCTCATTAAAAAAAAAAAACCCAAACCCATTTTTGGCTGCTTCATGCATGAACGGTGCCCACTGGTTGGGCTCTAATCTTTCTGCTGATCTTTCTGTCTCTTGTTTCTCATTTCTAAGCGTGGCAGGAACATATAAACGTGTGCTGTGGTTTACTCGTCAGGATTAAAGGAAAGTTGTGTAAAACTAAAATAAAATACAACAGCAACACCACCAACATGTGACAGCACGTCACACCCGGGTCAGATGAAGAGACGAAGCCGGTGGTTCCTCCCACCAACCAAATATCAGGGAAGGATTCATAAATCTTGCCCGCAGCTCCTGCCTCGTTGTACGGCGCCCCGTTGTTACAAAGCTGAGCCGGCACCAGGGAGCATTTGGTCATTAAGTGGTCGGTAATGTGGGGCGATCGAGTGTTTTCAATAAGAAATTATGCCGCAACAGCATAAGGTGTGTGTGGGGCTGTCTTCCTTTTAGCTTGAATGTAACTTGTTTTTATACCAATTGAAATCACACTCCTCCCGTTTTTTCTGAGCCGCTCCAAAGGGGGCTGTTCCTCACAGTCCCCTTGAACGGTTTGGTGATCTAAAGACCCGAAGCTCCCGGAGCTCTGCATCGCTCCAGTTTTCCATCGCAGCTGATTCTGCTTACAACGGCTAAAGCTTGGTTTATGCTTGATGCATTCACTTTGCGCGCGGTGATGCGGCTCACGGATGGAACGAGCTTCACAACTTGCAGCGTTTATGGTTCGTGCGGCTTGTCTCTGCGGTGAGCCAATATTCTCCCAAACTGTAGGGGGCAGCATGGAGCTCTACGGCATGCATCCAACACTACACCACAGTAGAAGTAGAAACTACTGTTTACAACATGGCATTCCAGCATTTTTAACAGCGTCCTCGACTTTTCCGACAGTGCGAGCTATTTCTCTCCAAGAATTATTAACATGTTGATCACGGTGATCTGAGAGCTGAATCATACAAATGTCTGTATTTACCAACCTCTGCCATACTAGTTCTTGCCGGTCCGCCATGTTTTTCCGCGTCCGACCGTCCGCGTGGTTAGAAAAGTTCCTAGGTGCGCGTTGCGGAAATTTTGGGCCGTGCGGAGGCGCGGTGGAGGGCCGTGGTTGTTAATGATGCAATGTCGCCGCGCGGAGCCGTGCGGACGCGTCAAGCATAAACCAACCTTAAGCTAACCCCCATGTTTACAAGTTTAGTGACTTGTCAATAATGTGAAGGTAACTAAGGGCCGAACCAGCTGTGTGTTTACTATGTATAGGTTTCATTTATCCATAATCCAGGCAGAACCAGTTGTTGTTTGTGTTTATCCTAGAAGTGCAGAAGGTTTACTTTCGGGGATGCTACATTTAGTTTCAGTACATTCCTCAACACTGAGCAGAAAATAGACGCGTCCGTGAGGTCCGCACGGCAAAATTGCGTCATCTTAACAACCACGCCCCTCCACCGCGCCTCCTCACGGCCCAAAATTTCCGCAATGCGCACCTAGGAAAATTTCTAACCACGCGGACAGTCGGACTCAGAAAAACATGGCGAGCCGGCAAGAACTAGTATGGCAGAGGTTGTTAAATACAGACATTTGTATGATTCAGCTCTCAGAGATCACCGTGATCAACATGTTGTTAATAATTCTTGGAGAGAAATAACTCGCACTGTCTGAAAAGACGAGGACGCTGTTAAAAATGCTGGAATGCCATGTTGTAAACAACAGTAATTTTTACTTCTACTATGGTGTAGTGTTGGATGCATGCTGTAGAGCTCCATGCTGCCCCCTACAGTTTGGGAGAATATTGGCTCACAGAGACAAGCCGCATGAACCATAAACGCTGCAAGTTGTGAAGCGCGTTCCATCCGCGAGCCGCATCACCGCGCGGAAAGTGAATGCGTCAAGCATAAACCAAGTTTTATCCCTCATGTTGCTGCTTGCTACTACAAGGGTCACATCACACAGATGTTGGTTCCACAAAGCTTTTTATTCCCTCACAGGAAATGATCTGGACATTTTCGTGTTCTGTCTGGACTCTACTCTCCCTCCTCTGGCTCCTGCATACACGGAGAGAACACCGATTACTCCCACGGGTCTCGTGTTAGATTTTCTGTCTGTTACCTGCAGAGCTTGACATGTCTCACAGCACAGATAGAGCCTGTCTTCTCTTTAGCAGCACAGCGAGACGTGCTGCTGCCGTAACGGTGTGACTTCGGGATTAGGCCACCAGAACAGATCTCGTCAGCACCTATGTTCACAAGTCCTCATCTGCTTTCAGGTATCAGCCCTCTTTCCATGGTGTAGACCTGTCTGCGCTGCGAGGAGCGGCAGTGGATGAATATTTCCGCCAGCCAATTGTGGTACGTGACAGCGGCCCTCCCCGTGCACACTTGTTTGATTAATCGTTCGCATTCATAAAGACGGGCTTATTGAGGAAGGGTTTGTACTGCACTAAAGCTAAGACCTGATGCTTTTTCTCCAAAGGACACGTTTGATATCCGCATTCTGATGGCCAAGTCGGTCAAATACACAGTGAACTTCTTAGAGGCCAAAGAGGAGGATCTCTACAGGTGTGTGTGTGTGTGTGTGTGTGTGTGTGTGTGTGTGTGTGTGTGTGTGTGTGTGTGTGTGTGTGTGTGTGTGTGTGTGTGTGTTCCACCATGTCCATCATAATCGAGTGTTTTCTTGTTGCTCATAGGATAGAGATTCCCTTTAAGTTCCATATGATGCAGTCAGGTTTGGTGCACGGCCTAGCCTTCTGGTTTGATGTGGCGTTTATGGGATCAGTGTAAGTCATTCTCCCGATACCATGTAAATTGTTACTGTGGTTAATTAGTGACACGCACTTGCCTCATGTGTCCTGTTCCTCCACCACACAGGATGACAGTATGGCTCTCTACAGCACCCACAGAGCCCCTCACCCACTGGTACCAGGTGCGCTGTCTGCTGCAGTCTCCCCTCTTTGCCAAGGCTGGGGATACGCTGTCCGGCACCGCTTTGCTAGTGGCCAATAAAAGGTAGTGTGGTCTACTTTATACTGTTTAAAAACATGAAACCCTGCATTCACGTTGGCATTGTTCATGTGGAGCTGGCCGTTTTTCAGCCCTGCTTCCCTGTGATTCGTTACGTGCTGAGCCAACCGAACACACCTAATTATGGACTGATTGGACAGCTGAAGTTCTCACACTGACCTACTAATGGGAGTCTCTGATTGGCTCGGGTAGAGTCAGTCAGAGACTCTAATGAACTGGATGCATTGGGATAAACATCTTCTGTCACTGCAGCTCTGACTGGTTGAAGCTGCAGTACTGACCGTCTGCTGTGAGAGATTTTGGATGGGGGAGGAGCTCACTGTAGCACTGCTGCTGAGTGAGAGAGTGGGAAGCTGTGTGCTTCATGTCAGAGTTTCCAGAAGCAACGCTGTTTACTAGGGCTGTAGCGAAGCCTCGACGAAGTCGACGGCTCGATTCTAAAAATTTGTCGACGTCAGATCCGGAAGTCGACGCACCGCGCCCACTTGTTGCATCCCCAGGAGTTTGTAAATAGAAGAGGAATCTGCCTGTTTTTCCTCTAGTTCGCCCTCTTCTCCGCCTTCACTAACATCTCCGCCAAATACCGAAGACCCGGAACAACGTCCGTCCACTACTAGATTATTTTCCTGTTTTGCCCCTTCGTCTCCCGGCAACGGACAACAACTTCCGGGGTCAGATGCGCTGCTTCGTGTCTACCGCAGATGTAGAACATCACCGGGAGCGTTTCTCCCTTCATTAAGGAGCTTCTTTCAGACATGAGGAGAGCTGTTTTGGTGGTAGCAGTCTCTCCTCCGTGCTGGTCTGTTTGCTGCTGGGTGTTTTTGGTTTATTTAAACTTGGTAACTTGAACTTAACGTTGGTAAAGCTACTGTTAGCATCTTCGCTAACAGCTTCTTGCGTTGGGATAAGCTGTTACGTTTTGGTTTAGAGTTAATCTTTTTTGTGGTGTAGATCTCCCTTTTATTACATTTAGAGTGTTGTGGGTTTTCGGTTTAGTGTATAATATCACCTTGAGTTTGGTTTAACCCGTAACACCACTCGCCTCACGCACATAAGTGACCAAAACAAAGCAGCATGGAGACACTCAATCTTCTACCACCTCTCAGGCAGCAGCCTGCACTCCCAAGTTCTACAAGTCACCAGAACACAACCAATCGCAACACAATAAAAGCAGTGTTATACAGAATGGAAGGCCTGTAGTGTTTATTCTCTTACAGTAAGAATTTATCTTTTTTTGAGGAATTTATTTGAGATTTTCTGGTTTTGGTTAATTGTGCAGTAGAAAAATAATCATTAGATTAATTTTCTAAATAGTCATTAGAATAGTCGACTATTCGATAAAATAATCGTCAGAATAATCGTTTTAAAAATAATCGTTTACCCCCAGCCCTACTGTTTACTAAAGCCTGGTTCATGCTTCTCCGTCAGCTCCGCAAGGGACAGACACGCACGGTTTGACGGAAGCGTTTTGCTCTCATACTTCTCCGTCTCATGGGGAGTGTTGCAAAGCAATTCCCTGCCAGGACACCAGAGGGCGTAGCGCTGTTCTGTGGTATCCTGTCATGTATCGGTCCAAGATGGTGTGTTTATATTATGTTTTTTGTGTATATAAGAGACTTTTAACACAGAAAAATTTGTCTCTCATCCTCCTCCACCTCTTCATGCGCTCGCCACCTCTAAACCCACGTTTCCTGTCATTTCCGTCCACAAATAAAACACTTGCTGCGCATCTTTTCACTCCTCCAGTCACGGGAGAATTAAACGTTCATGTTTTTAGAGTTTTTTCACGAGGTATTCTTCAAGCTTCTCCGTGTCTGCCGCTAGTTATCCTCGGCTCTCTTTATGTTTTTGAGGGCGCAATGGCGGCGCTGTAGACGACAGCGGTGCCCTGACCAATCACAAGCTTGTGTTGTCTGTCTCGTTCGACGGATGTTTAAAAAAGTGGTCTCGATTCTGTACGTACTTGCGTGCCTGCCGGGGCCCTGCGCAAGGACGGATAATGGCGTTGCGTGTCTCCGCACTGACGCAGACAGAGAAGCATGAATTAGCCTTAACTTGTGTTCTTAGGAATGACACCAGAGACTTATCTGCACCAGTGTTTTCATCAGCGATGATCAAGGGATTTTGTTGCCTCTCTTTCTCGTCACAGAACGAGCCAAGAATAGCATCTGTTGCTGTAAACAGGCCTTAAAATTTAAATAGTCAAACAAGCAATAAAAATGAAATCTAAAAAAAAGTTGTTTATTTATCCATCCTTTATTTATAAAGCATGTTTAAAACACAGCTAACCAAAGTGCTGAACCAACAGGGCTAGTTCACAATCAGAAGGTGGAAACAAGGCTCCAGACAACACAAACACCATACACAATAAATGAGGGATAAAATACAACATGCGTAATTCCAACCATAAGACTGGAAACAACAGTGCAATAAAATCAAAGCAGTAACATAAACTTTGTCAATGCTCAGAGATAAAATACATTTCAGTCCTTTATGTCCTCAGTGTGTTATCAGGTACCAGGCTGGAGAACGCCGACTGTGATTGGATATTGCATCCCTAAATACATCCTGTCCCATTATGGTCTTCGTTGTTTATTCCATCTTTTTTCTTTCAGGGCGCTAATGTTTTCTTCCCGTTTTCAGTCATGTTACCTGCAGACTGTTTTTGTTTCCAACACATCACACGTCTATGGATAGGATATAATGTTGTTGATGCTGCGAACTCTGATTTCCACAGACAAAGCTACGACATCAGCATTGTTGCCCAGGTGGACCAGACAGGATCAAAGTCCAGCAACCTCCTGGACTTGAAGAACCCCTTTTTCAGGTGCGTTTATCCTCTGAACTAGGGCCTGACCGATATGCTTTTTTTGGGACCGATACGATATAAAACTTTTAACAAAGGCCGGTAGCCGATATAATGGCCAATAAATCTCCCTCACAAAAAAAAGAAATAGAAATTTTCTTAAACTTAAACCCTTCATTCTCTGCCTTTTTGATGCAAACACACACACCAAAGAACTGTCTCCATAACTCACTCGGGTTTCCAAGTGATGCAAATACGATTTATTTAGCAGATCTCAAAAACAACAGAACACACAAACTCAGTCACAGCATAAATCTTAACATTCAAGTTTTTTCTTGTAAACTGTGGTTTCCACAACTACATTTTAACTTAAAGGAATATTCCACCACTCAGTAAAACTGTGTCTTGTTAAGATTCCCCAGAGCTAGACAAGTCAGAAAAAGCATTTTATAACCAGCCCAATGTGACCTGGCAGCAGGTGGTTTTTTTAGTTCAGCATAAAACAATGTAAGTGAATTCACATATACTGTAGTGTTTTTATGTAGGTGAATGCAAGCCTTCCCTTCCATTGCTTTATGCTAAAACAACTGGTTACAACATGTTTTTCCTGTCTTCGCTAACTCTGGGAAATCTAACAACACACACACGTTTAGGGACAGAAGATCCGTGTAAGAATATTAAAATAATAAAAATGCAGCAATAAATAAAACGTAACACTTGTGCTTTGTAACAAAGTAACACTCTGTGGAAGTTAACTTGGTGAACTTATATAAAATATATGGCTGAGTCCCTCCTCCTCTCCCAGCTAGGGACAGGAGAAGGGACTCCCTGCTATCACAGCACTTCATTGCCTTGTTGCCAACCCCCCCCCCCCCCCCCCCCCAAGCGGCCGTGTGAGTTTGAAAAGACTGCTGAAGAAGAGCAGATGAAATTGTCTGAGAATATTCCAGAATGTCTACCAGAAAATCGTTACTTACTTACTGCCCTGCATGACTGAAGGGGAAGCAGCGTGAGCTCTGCATAGAGCGTAATGCTGCAGCAGTTTTTTTTTTGTTTTTTGTTTTTTCTCCAGGGTAACTTTTCAATACGAGGCCACGAGGCACACAATAAACTTAGGAAGCATGTTGAGGGGAAACATACTTTTATCATTGCTTATTTTACTGTTCAACTTACCACTGACACAACAAATATGCTTAAAACTGAAGACTTACCTCCCACTTCCTCATCACCGTCTCTCTGCTTGACTGAATTGCTCCTGCTGCTCCTCTGCATGTGTGCTGTGACGGTGGCTCCACCCCCTGAGGAGTGGAGCCACACAACATGAGTTCATAAAGCTGGCGCCATCTGCTGGATAGGTAGCGCAATATCGGCCATATCAGCCGTCTTTTTGGCCGATAGCCGATAGAGTTAATGACCCCAATATCGGCCGATATATCGGTCGGGCCCTACTCTGAACTACGTCCCATTCAATTGGCTCTATTAGTGCAGAAGAGCATGTTCAGTCTCATTGACATCCAACGAGTGTGCTTGTATGCATTTTCAGGTACACAGGCACCTCTCCCAACCCCCCTCCTGGCTCACACTACACCTCTCCCTCGGAGAACATGTGGAACACAGGGGCGTCCTACAGCATGAGTCAGGGGATGGCTGTATCAGGTGAACAAATACAGAGACATGATGAATACCACAGCTAAAACCAGCTGCTGCTCATTAGGTTCCAGAGTTGCCGATGAAGGCCACTCATGTTCACAATGTTAGATTTTGTACTTTAATGTTATTGTCGACATTATTGCCACCTGCTCATCACATGCCTTTTGCATGATGGGATGTTTTGCAGCAGTACTATTGTGGCTCATTAATATTAAAATGGGAAAATCAGCTGAAACAGTTGAGGGAAATTTATTGTAACTAAACACGAGTCTGACCCAGTGCAGTGGTCCAAGAATAGAGCCTTGGGGGACCCCACATGTCACGGTGATCTGCTATGATTTGTGATCACCAGCAGAAACAACAGAACCCCTGTCCTAGATGGGAACCAACTTTGGACTGTGCCTGAAAGTCCCACCCAGTTTATGAGCCTGTCGAGAAGGATGTTGTGGTTCACAGTATGAAAAGCTGCAGATCCGAGCATCGCTAATACCTTAATCGGTGCCGTCTCCGTGCTGTGGTGTTGTCTAAAGCCTGACTGAAAACCATCCAGCAGGTTGTTCAGCTAGATCATTGGTCTGTAAATATTCATCATCAAGGAGTGAATAAACAACTATTTTAAAGCCTTGCTTTTGCCTCAATTCTGCTTCACCAGCAACTCTTCTGGTTTATTGTACTGATGTCTGCTGATGTCATTTCCTGCTGAGTTACAACCAATAAGCGTGAGTTACGTGAAGGTTCTGCTCCACCGGGCCTTTCTCGTGGTTCCTGAAAACGGCCCGTTCTGCCATCTGTTGATGTGGAGACGAGGGTGGCCACAAATGATTATTTTAATAATTGACTAATCACCAGTTTTTGGGCTGATTAGCCGACTAATCGTGTCGTGCATAAAGTATACTTATTGCATCAGCTCTAATATACTCATCTTTAGCCCCTAGCATGCAGTGTGATCTGTGATGTGTTATCTAAAAACAAAGACCAGACGATAGCTTATCAGACGACTGGGGCCTCATGTCCGCCTTTGCTTGTAGAGGTTTGTTTGTTGGTTTGGTCACAGACGCGTGCTTTGAATAGGAGCGTTTTTTAACACCAACGTGACAGGAGGTCATTAGATTGTAACGTTAGAGCAAATTCATGACACGCGTGTGCTAAAGCTAACGAAGTCACTACTGTTACAGCTATAAATACCAGTAACTCTCTGTTAGCTGCTAACGGCAGCTAATTAGCTCACAGAGACAACTGTCCAGTTCGTCCTCCTCCACAACGCGCTTCTTTCAAGGTGTTGATGCATCACCGTTGTATGAAAGAGGAGTTCTACTTTGCAGATCTCTTTCATCTTTGTAAAAAGCTTTTGAGCCACGTTGCCGGCTCGCTGTCATGTCTTGTTTTTCTGGTGACGCGACGGCTCACCTGGAAGGCCGCTGCTGCGCGTGTGCCTGGAGCAGAAAGGCAGCAGAAGGTGCCACGGCGGACAGGATAAGCAAAAACCAGAGCCACATAGAATAAACCCGTGGATTATTTTAGTTCTTGTCGACGCTTTCATTTGTCGACGTCATTGTGACGAGTTGCGGTGCGAGGTTCCGCTAAAATTACCAGAAAAGTCCCGATAGTGGAAACGCGCCCATTGTTGCAATGGTAAATTCTTTCCTGGTGTTGAAGGGAGCTGGCTGGTCGTTCTTCACCTCGCACGTGTGAAGAATGGTACCGAGTGAGGGACAGAAGATCACAGCACCGCAGTGCCATGAAAAGAGAACATTTTAAAAATGACCTTCTGCTCCGTCAGCTCAAGCAGTCAGGCTCCCACGACCCAGAGGCCGACCCCTTCGGGTCAGTCAGGCACTGACCGATTGTTCTGACCCATATTCACTTTTTATCAGGATGAATACTTGTTCTAAAGAATCCAGAGCGGTGTAGTCTGTATTGGCACCCAGTTCTGCTGTAGAAGGATGTGTGCTGTAGGAAGCACCGTAGAGCACATTTAAGAACAGCATGTCAACTGACAGAGAGAGGCTGACAAGTACAGCAGAGACTAAAAGCCCCTCACAGAGTATGAAAGCAGGTGGTTACAATTTTTAAAACGCAGAAAGACAATGCAGCATGTAAACACAAAAAGATGAGATCTGTCCAGAATCAATGAAGTAAAAGACGTAAAAAGAGCAAGAAGTAGAAGGTAAGAAGGTGTGGCAGCGTCGTAACCGGCTGAGCCGGCCGGCCTGGTCTCATACGAGCGAGTCTGTAACGTCCTACCTCCAGTCTGTTTTCTGGGGATGAGTGAACAGTAAGGCCCTAAATAAACAGATTGCTCACTTTATGCTGCTTGCTTTTATTTTTAAACACTTTTTACCTTAAAGCTGCCATAGCGAATCTTAACAAGCTAGGTGTTGAACGCAGACACGGTCACTGAACACTCACCCCTCCCCTTCTCTTCAACGAGACCAAAGTGTGACTCTGGCTGAAAGTAAGCAGCAATTGTTGTTGATTGCTTTTTTTTCCTCTGTCCTCATCAGGGATGCCTGCAGCTTATGACCTCAGCACAGTCATTGGCAGCGGCCCAGCAGTGTCTCACAACAACCTCATCCCCTTAGGTAGGACTCCCAACCTCAACACGTCCTGATGTCAATGTCTGTTTTTTGATCGTTGGTAAACCAAAGTGCCAGTCGCACCTGATAACGGTTCACTGGTGTCAAATGTAGCAAAAGAATGAGCCGAAGTCCAACTCTGAATAGACACAAATGTGGAGCAGAACCTCTAGAACCGTGTGAGAGGCTGATTGGGTCAGAGTTGGGTTTCAGTTAGTGAGTGGTTATAGACCCTTTTACTGTTTGTAAACAATATGACGTCAGCGAGAATGCGCGCGCAGCTTGGCAACAGAGAATGGCGTTGTTTCAGGCTTTATCAAGCTACGCTGCGGGGTTATCACCGGCAAATCTTAAATGTTACATTATTAAACTCACTTTAACGAATGGCAACAGACTCCCGGATCCCTGTGGCATTACGGAATGGGTGGAAGATGTAGGTGCGTGGCCAGATATCCAGTGGCCCGATATATATACATTTTAGTGGAGAGGCCCAGTAAGTACACACGTGAGAAGCTACGGGCATACAAATCGTTAGATGCATACAACTATGTTGTCTGTGGCCACGTACAGAAAGTAAAATATCACGACATAGACTCTGAGTTTTGCGTCTTGAGGGCAGAAGCCCTTCCTAGCCAAAGACAAGGACACGAGACTGCTATGTACGAGGCTTGGGTCATAGTAAACAAACCAGAGAACTACGTCTTCACAGCCAACTGTACCTGCATGGCAGGGTGAGTATAGCATAGGTTTCTTTTTTTAGCGTGCTCAGAGTACAATCGTGTTAATTTTAGAGAAATACAGTTTATACTAATATGCAGTGGGAAAATACAGATGAATGAAATGTTAATTTGAAGCATGAAATAAAGCGTATAAATTTATATGTAACCTTAGTACATAATTACCTTACCTGATATAATACGGGCGCTACAAACTCGAGCATTTCGGATCGTGTTTTCAGTCCAGTTTTCATCAACCCTTTTGATGGCCTGCAGCCACAGACGCCTCCGATTTTGTTGAAATGGATGTGCTCCCTTCGGAATTCTGTAAAGTTTCAGTCCACTGCTTGAAGAGAAGCGATTCTGGCATCCATACACGCAACAACCTGACATTTTTATGTGCTCAGAACTTCAAAACAAAGGGTTTAAAACGCTGTTTTAGTATCGAGTGTGAATGAGGAAGTCTTCACTCTCGTTGCCAGGCTGCGCGCGCAACTTTTGATAACGTAGGTAGTAAAAGGGTCTATAGATGACCTGTGTTTATGGCAGACACTTTTATCTGGAGTGGCTGATACAGGAGAGTGCAACAAAGCAGTTACACTTAACCCTCCCACTGTTCTAATGGGTGGGACCCCGCCAGGAAAGTTGACCATTGAGCAGGATTGGTGGTTTATCCCTTGAGGACCACGTGGCAGGGGGTGGGGGGTGGGGGGGGCACTTGAGCCTCATTTACACCGAGTGCAGAATGGATGCGGACCAGAATCCACGTGGCTTCCGGGCAGGCTGCCTTTTACACTGACTGCAGGTTGTTTGTGGAACGTCTCTGCAACGATGTTCTCGTTATAATAACTACATGTGTGGAGAGGAGCTAGCAGACCCAAACACTCGTCCTCTCCTGTCATCACACATCCCTGTCATTAACAACAGAAGAAACCTATAGAATGCTGCAACTCCGGCTTTATTTTCAAACAAACCAGATGCACCTCGCTGTCTGGCTCATGTAATTTCTTCACCTTCATGACTTCATGGCGCGTCTGGAAGAACAGAAAACATGCAGAAAGATTCAGCAGCTCCACATCCAGATCTGCGCCGCACCGCTGGAGGTATAAATGCTCTGATTGGACCCCATGATGTTCTGTCTTCATGGAAGCCGCATGAGTTCTGATCCTCATCTTTTGCACTCTGTGTAAGTGAGGCTTCAGGCTCCCTATCTAGTCAGTTCGTGGAGCACGTTGTCAAGTTAACATTCATGGACTCGCCCATCTTGGCTCACGATGGGTGGAGACACTTACCCCTGGGTAGTTCTGGGTAAGCTATTGTTGGTTTAGGAGAGAGCAGAGAATGGCTCAGCTAGTAGAAGCTAACCATTAGCATGAGCAACTCCGCCACACGGCAGAACTCCTCCAGGCTTGTGTATTTGTGGAGGTAAAACATCAGCATTACAGAGCAAAGAGAGTCGGTGGTAGAGCCGTGTTACTGTTAGCCAATCAGAGGAGAGATGTCAGAATATCAGGAAATAAGACTCTAGACATGTTTCTCAATGTCAAAGAGCCTCGCCTTGATGCCTTGGTCCCACCTAGGAGATGCGTCATCAGGAACCGCCATGGCGTGTTCCAGTCAGTCCCGATGTTCATGTCCTCCGTTTGTTAGCCATTTAGCTAGCTGACCAAGGATACACAGGTGTCTTGTTGCCTTCTTTTAGTAAGAAATTGCCCAGAATGCAGCGAGATATTTAAAAAAAAAAAGATGGACGGATCAGGAGCCAGCAGCTATGTCAGAGGCAAATTTCCAGTTTTAGTGTGAGTCAGCTAATTGTAGCTATCGGGCTGATATCTAAAACGTTTTTAGATCCAAAGCAGTTCTCTATGGTTGGTTATTTGCTTAGTAGTTGCATCTTTGGTGGCTAGCAGGTAGTCACTCACTCGCATATTTAAATTTACCAATATACCGTCTACACAATTACAAAGCAAAAGGCTCGTTATACATCTATATTGAAACTTATACGTTTGAAATATAGCTTTACCTCATGAGCCGTTGCCACGGCTCCCAGAGTCGTAGTCACGTGAGTGACGCGAGTCTGTTCCTTTTAACCATTTTCTTTGACAAAGGGAGGACCGTGTCCTGGTAGGCCAGGCGCCGTGACACTGACAAACACAACTTGTCATGTTCTGCTCGCCTCTCCTCTGGCTCACTTCTAGTTCCTGAAACAGGAGCGCCGGAGCTCCCCCCCCACACACACACACAAAGATTGACTTGCAGTCACAAGGCATTTGTATACACTAGAGACCACTGCAGGTGATTTGAAAAAGCAAGTGAGCGTGGTCTTTAGAACCATTTTCTTCTTGGGAAAAAAAAGATCATTATGGTGGTTTTATGCTGTTAAATGACCATGTTCAGGCTGAAACCCTGGTGGGACATGACACCCCCTTCCCTAGTGACGATAATGAAGGTAAGGTAACAGCGGTAAGGTTAGTGTGTTCCAGCAACACAAAGAGCCAGGAGGACCACGGGTCTGCTCCCAGACGGACCGGTGATGGACCAAACCCCGTGGCTTCCAGAAATCCTTTACAATCCCACGAGGACGTTCAGTGCATCGCTTTAGAAAAGGTCGGGGCTGGTTGGTGGCACCCTGCCACGTGCATATCAGGGTAGTGTAAACACGGGCTGCTTGAGCCTGTTTTAAACCTGGAGCGGGGGGCTGAGTGTAGGGGGGTTAAAGATGATGGATGGAGAAGCTCGGGAGGTTTTGGAGATGACTTTCAGGGTCCGGGGCTGAGTTTTATCGGTTTCTCTGCTTTTTGCTGTATAGTTCAAGTTAACTGGAACTGCTGAGTCATGGCCATTTTGAGTGTGTTTGGGACTATGTCAGAGTGTGTCTCCTGGAATTAGAAGGACCAGGGACCTGCAGGACATTCACGAGGACAAACCTAGTAGACCTAAATCCTTAACCTTTTGGGTGGATGGCCAAGCTACTGATCTACAGTTGTCATTTAGGGTGTTGAAGCGTACTTGTATCCAACCTGCTGAAACCTGTTCATCTCTGACTTTTGTGCCCTCTGATTGGTCACAGTGAACACAGGGATTGTAAACCACACCCACTCACGGATGGGCTCCATCATGAGCACAGGAATCGTCCAAGGTGAGTTTGACCTCACAGAATTGGTTTTACCATCTAAGCTTCCTTTGAGGCAGAGCTGACAGCAGTTCTGTGTCGCCTCTTCCAGGAGCCACGACGGGCCAGTCGGGCCCCAGCAGCAGCGGTACCTACTATCCCATCACTAACCAGTTCACCATGGGGGGCGCTGCCATCTCCATGGCTTCACCTATGGTCATCCCAAGCAACACCATGCATTACGGCAGTTAAGATGAAGATCTTGCGAAGACCCGTTTGACCACACACACCTGACCCTGCATGACAACAGTTATCTCCTCCCCCCTCGTTCCAACCCTGATGGATCCACCAACCAAAACCAGTGCTGTGCTGGCATTCTCGTCAGCTGTTCGTTGGCCCCCAAATCAGTGATCAGATCTTCTCATATCCGTCCACGGAGCAGATGCTTCCATGTACCCCCCTCCTGGATCCGCTGGAACGCTGACGGTTTACAGCCTGCTTCTTCAACACATATCTACGGCTATCTCTGTCCGCCACACGGTTTCTCCCTTGTTTTAATGTGTCATGGCCTGCTGGGCTTAGCCTGAGAAGCAACTTGTTACTGGAAACCAGCATCAGTCTGTTCCCTTAAGGCTCTACATGTGCGCAGCAGAGACTCCGAAGCTGCTCGTCTGTACAGGAAACCCCACCATGACCACCTGAGGGCTGCTGCCTCAGCGTCTACATCCTAGATCTAGTTTTTACGGTCCGTCTGCACTTTTGCCATCGGGTGAAGTCACCCGACACAAACAGCTCATTGAAAAGATCCTTCAGAAGGAACAGTCCTCCTCCTCCTCGGAGTAATTTGACCTCTGCTTTTAGGACTTGATGGTCACCTTCCATGCTGGGTCATGAAATACATCCATCATCATCTCGTGTGTGTGTGTGTGTGTGCGTGCGCGCGTGTGCATGTGCTTGGACTTTCTAATGCTGGAAATGTTGATGCTAGCTGCCATTTAAACTGTGAAAATTACAAACAGTCCAGGTCATTTTGTGTTTATCTGATCATCGGTGAAGGATCGTTTCACTGATGTTCTCATGTTAAAATGTTGTCAACATGCTGACCGCTCCATTATTCTGTCTAGAGTTGCGTGTTCCAGGTGGTTAGTGTGAGTTAACTCATGCTCTACGGTTAGCTGTCTGCTAGATGCATTGACCGGTTTTTGCAGGTACAGTAAAATAAGTCACAACTAGACGTTCTGCATAATTCATTGATGTTTTCCGTTAGATTTAACGAATAGTTTCCTCTACACCGGGCACCTCGCAGCCACTCCAGGCTTCTAATCAGGACCGTTGGACAGTTTGTTGTGTGATCAAGCCGGCCTCACCACCAGCTAGCTCTTCTGTAATGTACTCTCATCCCACAAAATCATCTCGTAAAATGCGTTTGGTGTTTCAGTTAGACGCCGATCCCAAACCTAACCCCCCTGGGCTCTAAGGAAGATGCCAGATGCAGCTCAACATGGAAGGTGACTAGCCTGGTCTTCTGTCCAGGTTCTGAACCAGCTTCCTGGAACCTTTAGAGAGCCAAGGAAAAACCTGGGAGGATGAACCAGTGACTTACACACACACACACACACACACACACACACTGAGACTTGGACGTGGAGGTGTGGAAGACGGAGGCCCTACACCCTCACCCCTCCACTCGCTGTCTGTGACTGCCAACATATCATTGTTTCCAACATGGCTGACTTCTGCACCCCCCGTTTGTCATTAAAGGAAGGAGACTCTGACACTTTTATGCATTTCTTCCAGTGTCGCAACTTTTGAGACTTGACTTAGCGAGTTTATGGGAGGTGAGAAAATGTCTCTTAGTAGGAACTATTTTTGTTAAATGTTTTTGTCTTTTTTTTTTCTTTTTCACACAAAACAAAAAAGGAGGAAAAGATCAAATTAAATGTGGAAGTGTTGCAACCCATCCTGTACATGTTGTTTCTTCTACTGCTGACATGCACCAGGTGTTCACCATGCTCACGGTTGTAGTTGTGATGGTGATGGTTCTCGCTGTCTGACATGGTACCAAGAAAAGCTCCTCCCACTGGGCAGCTGACTAAAAGTGAACCCAACTTGTGAAGAGGCTAGTCTAGCATCACTGGTGAGATGATCAGATGGTCGAAGCTTCAGCGGTTTCTGAGCTGCTGCTGTTCCTCAGGTTTCCTGTCCTGACAGGAGTTGTTCTCTGAGATGAAACTGAATATTCTACCTGAAGGTCAAATCTGAAGTCTGTTTTAGCTGAACCATCGTAACGTCACAGCAGAGCTGTCCTGCAGTAGAGCATCAGGTAACTGGGTCTCTGTTTCCTCAAAAACACAATCCAGGTGATGTCCTGCAGCTTTATGCTGGAGTGGAAGTCAGCATGTCTGGTCAACCAGACATGGTGGGACCAGCTGAGCCCACATTAGCACACGGGGATGTTTAGCAGATAAAATCTTCATAACTTGGATCAAGTATTAAGTGATTTCCACCTAATTCTTGTTGCCATCCAGTATCTTGAATTTCTGAAGCACTGAAAGTGGCTCTTCCAAGTCACTCGAATGAAAGTCTAAGGGTCCAGCCCATGGACTCTCTATCCAGCGTTCTGCAATACAGCACAGGTCCCATGCTGCTAATTGGTCTCCTGTTTGCAGAGTTGGAAAATAACACCAAGATCTGTGGAGGGATGTTCCCAACCTGGTCCTCCTTCCTGATGACACCGTCCCATGATACGAAGCATTCGTTTGGTCCTGCCTGGTCTGACCGGCATCCTCCCCCACCATCAGAGCCAACTCACCACCAGGTAGTGGTCAGTTGACAGCTCCGCCCCTCTCTTCACCCGAGTGTCCAAGACATGTAGCTGCAGGTCAGACGAAACAACAAAGTCGATCATCGAGCTGCGGCCTAAGGTATCCTGGTGCCAAGAGCACATATGGACACCTTTATGTCTGAACATGGTGTTCATTATGGACAATCCATGACTGGCACAGAAGTCCAATAACAAAACACCACTCAAATTCAGATCGGGGGGACCGTTCCTCCCAACCACACCTCTCCAGGTCTCACTGTCGTTGCCCACGTGAGCGTTAAAGTCCCTCAGCAGAACGAGGGAGTCGCCGGAAGGAGCGCTTTCCAGCACCTCCAAGGGTGGGTAGTCTGAACTGTAGTTTGGTGCAGAAGCACAGACCACAGTCAGAACCCGTCCCCCCACACGTAGGTGGAGGGAGGCTACCCTCTCATTCACTGGGGTAAACCCCAACATACAGGCACCAAGATGGGGGAGCAACTAGTATGCCCACCCCTGCTCTGCATCTCTCAGTGGGAGCAACTCCAGAGTGGTAGAAAGTCCAACCCCTCTCAAGGAAACTGGTTCTGGAGCCAGAGCCATGCGCGTTGGGGTGAGTCCAGCTATATCTAGTCAGAGCCAGAACCTCTCAACCTCACACACCAACTCAGGCTCCTTCCCCACCAGAGCCAGCTTCTGTAGCCGAGGATCAGACCGCCAAGGTCCCCGCCCTCGACTACCACCCATCACACACTGCACACGGCCCCGTTGGCCCCTCCCGCCAGTGGTGAGCCCATGGGAAGGGGGACTCATGTTTCCTCTTCGGGCTGTGCCCGGCTGAGCTCCCTGGGTGAAAGCCTGGCCACCAGGCACTCGCCAGCGTGCCCCACCTCCAGGCCTGGCTCCAGAGTGACCCGCGGCCAGGCGAGGGAACATGGTTTCCATTGATATTTGTCATGAAGGATCTGTGGGCTGCACTTTGTCGGATCCCTCACCTAGGACCTGTTTGCCATGAGTGACCCCACCAGAGGCACAAAGCCTCAGGCAGCTTAGCTCCTAGGAGGATCGATGGGAGACTCAAACCCGTCCACCAGGGTAAGGTGTCAGCCCAGGGAGACGTTCATGTGTAATGTGATAATTATAATACCTAGATCCTGCCTGTCTCGCTTTGTTTTCTAGTATTTCTTCATTCCACAGCCCCACCGTTCAGATGCTGACCTGCTCCCAGACACTAGGCGGCAGTGGAGCGCATGCGTGGTCATCACACGTTAAACCTGGGGGAGGAAGAAATTCGAGCCAACTGTAGTTAGTTCCGGGGTGAAGCTAAGAGGGAGAAGACCCAGGACACCTTCAGTCATGTTGCTGCGAGTGAGTATTGGTGTAGTGGCGCACACTCGTGTCCGGCGGTGGCGGCTGCTGTGGTGAGCCGAGCCGGAGCCGCTTCTGTCGGCTTTCCGATGTCCAGAGGAGCTCCGGCTTGGTGCAACTTTAGCAGGTGTCGCTTCCAGCCAGCAGTCCTTCCTAAAGTAAACACGAGAATGGTTCTGGAAATGACCGGTTCTAGACGTCAAGCTCAGCTCCACGGCCCGGACACGAGGACAAGTCTCTGTGGTCCCTGTGGCTTACAGCAACCCATGCCTGACCTTTGACCTCAAACGGGCCGTTCATGATGGAAAATCCCACCCGTATGACGTCAGCAGTAACGAGGTTACGGGTTTAGGGCCAGGCTGTACAACAGGACATTCATCTACTCCGGTTTTCCTCTATCCTGTTTATGTGATGTCACTGTGTGTGTGTGTGTGTGTGTGTGTGTGTGTGTGTGTCAGCTACAGCTTGATTTAAGCTCTAGATTTGGTCCTGAAGACATTTTTGGTGTCAGAAGGTGGATTCGTACTTTTCTGTTAGTTCAGACTAACTCTGTCCCCCTCTCTGCTAGAGGGTGCTGAACATGGCGGGCTCCACGCTGAAGCACAGCCGCTCCGTTCACCACAGTCCGGTGTGGAGGAGTCCTCTCATACCCATAGTGGTGGAGCAGACGGTACGTTTCTGAGTGGTCATCACCCCCATCTCTGAGGAGAGAACCTGTGGGAGCGCACATTGCCGTCTGAAGACTTTGTATCGAGAGCTTCCTGCTAACCTCCATATACCCCAGTGTTTGTCCACACAGAGGGACTGAAGCTGCAGCCTGAGACCTAACTGCTGCATCCAGTCATTCATTCTTTCACCTGCTTTCTTTCAGGGGCGAGGAGAACGAGCATATGATATTTACTCTCGCCTGCTGAGAGAGAGAATAGTCTGTGTGATGGGTCCTGTAAGTGTCTATGGATGATTTTATTAATAATAAAACTAACAACGATGTGTTTCTGAACACCTGTCTCTCTTCTCTGGTCAGATCGATGACTCTGTAGCCAGTCTGGTGATTGCTCAGCTGCTCTTCCTTCAGTCAGAGAGCAACAACAAGCCCATCCACATGTACATCAACAGTCCTGGTGAGTTAAAGCAACACGCAGCGAACCGTTCTTAGATGGAGAACGCCGCTGATCACAGCTGTCTCTGCCTGCTACTAAACACCTTTTATGAAGCTTGCTTACAAACCAAACGGGACGAAAACTTCATAAATCATTTTCAACACTAACTTTGTGATTTCTAAAGAAAAGCCTGACAGGAAAATGTGGCGACTTTAAGCCAGCGGACCCTGGTGTCGGTTCATATGGACATGTGGAAACGTGCCGAGCAGCTGGTGACAGGGTGAATTTAAGACACGTTTATGGATTTGGATGCACGCAAGCATTTTAACACATCTGCAGCGGTCTGCCATGCGAGGTGATCTCTGGGGGGGGAGGGGGACTCTGGAGTTGTTTCAGGAAGTAGAGGTGAGACAGAGCAGAGGGGAACATTTGGAGTCTGATTTCTTGATATTCGGACATCTCTCCTCTGACTGGTTAAGAGAAGCACGACTCTACCACTGACTGGTTGCTCTGCAACGATGACGTTTCATCTCCGCAAATAACACAAGCCTGGAGGAGTTCTGCTGTGTGGTGGAGTTGCTAATGCTAACGGTTAGCTTCTACTTGCAGAGACGTTCTCTGCTGTTTCCTGGATGCTAAACCAACATCAGTCTTCCCCGTCGTGAGTCCATGAATGTTAAGTGACAGTATGACGTAGATTTCGGACGTCCGCTACAATACCGATATTGCAGCCTTCAGTATTGACGCATACCGATATCAACCCGATGCAGCGTCAGCATAAATCACACATACTTTTACCTGTTTCGTAGTATGGAATGGATGAAAGGCTTGATCAAGTGATATTACTCAATCAGAGAACAAGAGCCAATAACAGTAACTATGGATAAAAACGACAAATTTTTTTTTACCATTGGATGCAAAATGTGAACCTTAACGGGCTGCTTATATCAGAGAGTTTTGATGCAGTCCGATGTAACCCGATAGTGTTTTTGGGCCGATTTTGAATTACTTCCTATATCGGAACAGGACATCCTTAACCTAGATCTGTCAGGATGTTCTAATCCTAGAGTTTCACCGTCTATTTTCTACCAGAAGCTAAAGCGGGAGGTAGGTGTAGGAGACTATTTTCATGTTCAGTCTGCATGAAACACTCATCAGAATCAGAAATGACAACTTTTTTTGCTGATAATCTATATAAATGAGTGTCTGGTGGTGCTGCAGACACATTTGGCACTTTAGTAGCCTAGTGAACTGGACCAAATTCTTGCTTTGCAGTTTGGTCTAGCAACGCTCCACTGGAACCTCTGCAGCCCCAACAGCATTCTGGCTGGCCAATCACAGCTCTCTAGAGGGGGTTTCAAACACATAAAGAGTTGTGATTGGTCCATAATGGTGGGCCAATCATAGTGCTCTATCTGCCTAGTGAACAAATCACAGAGCTTTATCCGCTTTGTGGGCCAATCAGGGCACTCTATACAGGTGCTGGCCAGTAAATTAGAATATCATCAAAAGGTTGAAAATATTTCAGTAATTCCATTCAAAACGTGAAACTTGTACATTATATTCATGCAATGCACACAGACCAATGTATTTCCAATGTTCATTACATTTAAATTTGATATTTATAGGTGACAACCAATGAAAACATCAAATCTGGTATCTCAGAAAATTAGAATATTCTAAAGGCCAATGAAAAAATGTTTGTTTCTCTAATGTTGGCCAACTGAAAAGAATGAACATGAAAAGAATGTGCATGTATAGCACTCAATACTTAGTCGGGGCTCCTTTTGCCTCAATAACTGCAGTAATGCGGCGTGGCATGGACTCGATCAGTCTGTGGCACTGCTCAGGTGTTATGAGAGCCCAGGTTGCTCTGATAGTCGTCTTCAGCTCCTCTGCATTGTTGGGTCTAGCGTATTGCATCCTCCGCTTCACAATACCCCATAGATTTTCTATGGGGTTAAGGTCAGGCGAGTTTGCTGGCCAATCAAGGACAGGGATACCATGGTCCTTGAACCAGGTGCTGGTGGTTTTGGCACTGTGTGCAGGTGCCAAGTCCTGTTGAAAGGTGAAGTCTGCATCCCCATAAAGTTGGTCAGCAGCAGGAAGCATGAAGTGCTCTAAAACTTCCTGGTAGACGGCTGCATTGACCCTGGACCTCAGGAAACAGTGGGCCAACACCGGCAGATGACATGGCACCCCACACCATCACTGACGGTGGAAACTTTACACTGGACCTCATGCAACGTGGATTCTGTGCTTCTCCGCTCTTCCTCCAGACTCTGGGTCCTTGATTTCCAAAGGAAATGCAGAACTTGCTTTCATCAGAAAACATAACTTTGGACCACTCAGCATCAGTCCAGTCCTTTTTGTCCTTGGCCCAGGCGAGACGCTTCTTGCGCTGTTTCATGTTCAAGAGTGGCTTGACACACGGAATGCGACACCTGAATCCCATGTCTTTCATGAGTCTCCTCGTGGTGGTTCTTGAAGCGCTGACTCCAGCTGCAGTCCACTCTTTGTGGATCTCCCCCACATTTTTGAATGGGTTTGTCGTCACAATTCTCTGCAGGGTGCGGTTATCCCTAGAGCTTGTACACTTTTTTCTACCACATTTTTTCCGTCCCTTCGCCTGTCTGTTAATGTGCTTGGACACAGAGCTCTGCGAACAGCCAGCTTCTTTAGCAATCACCTTTTGTGTCTTGCCCTCCTTGTGCAAGGTGTCAATGATTGTCTTTTGGACAGCTGTTAAGTCAGAAGTCTTCCCCATGATTGTGGTGCCTTCAAAACAAGACTGAGGGACCTTTTAAAGGCCTTTGCAGGTGTTTTGAGTAAATCAGCTGATTAGAGTGGCAGCAGGTGTCTTCTATATTCAGCCTTTTCAGAATATTCTAATTTTTTGAGATACCAAATTTGGAGTTTTCATTAGTTGTCACTTATGAATATCAAATTTAAATGTAATGAACATTGGAAATACATTGGTCTGTGTGCATTGCATGAATATAATGTACAAGTTTCACGTTTTGAATGGAATTACTGAAATATTTTCAACCTTTTGATGATATTCTAATTTACTGGCCAGCACCTGTATGCCTGGTGGGTGGGATGATGCAACAGAGTGAAACAAGAGGATGTCACTTTATGTGAGATGGCCTTAACCTTAATTTGCATCTAATGAACATCGTGTATGAGTGTAGATAATAATTCACCTGTTAAATCAAACATTACTGAACATAAGGCATAAATGGATCATTGTAACAATTATATTCATTTCAACTTCACTGAATTAGGCACAGAATCCAGTCTGAGTCTGAGATGAGAGGACAGCCTTTGTTTGGAGACCTAGGTTGACACACTTGTCTTCATGGACTGTCAACAAGCACTGCAGAGTCTTCTGGGTGTTAGAATAGAAAATCCACTTAGATAGTGGGATTATTCTGTAGGTGACCGGTCACTAGGTAGGTCACTATGTAGGTCAATATTGCCGTTTTCTGGACGTTACTGTAGTTCGCAGTGACTGCTGCTCCCTCAGACATTTTACGTAATAAGTGTATAAATATACCCGTGAACCGATAGACCTGTCATTAATAATAAAACTAAAGCTGGCTAATATAATGCAGCACAGGTTTTATTTTGAAATAAACCGGATGTACCTAACCTAAACACATCTCACTTCCTCTCTGGCTCATTCAGGTTCTTTAGCTTCATGACAATCAGCATCCAGAATATAGACTTCATGTGGAAACATCGTGGATCTGCACAGCCGTGCTGGTGCCGATGTTCTGATGGGACTCTTGTTTTCTTATCCGCGCCGTACAGAAACCGGGCTGCATCCGCTCCGATCGGTGTGAACAGGGCGTCACCTTTGCTCCCTTTCTTATTCAGGTGGAGTGGTGACGGCAGGCCTGGCCATTTATGACACAATGCAGTACATCCTTAATCCCATCTCCACCTGGTGTGTTGGACAGGCTGCTAGCATGGGCAGCTTGCTCCTAGCAGCCGGTACGACTGGCATGAGGCATTCCCTACCCAACGCTCGCATCATGGTGCACCAGCCTTCAGGTGGAGCCAGAGTAAGTAGGTCCTGTAGGACCTCTCTGACACTCATGACATGAGCAGATGTTGAAAGGTGGACCTAATTCACCGGTGTGTGTGCCCAGGGTCAAGCCACGGACATCGCCATCCAGGCCGAGGAGATTCTGAAGCTGAAGAGACAGATCAACAGCATCTATGCCAAACACACGGGGCAGCTGCTGGAAACCATCGGTATGGATGCATGACTCGCTGCTCAAGTCTGTAAAACGTTTTGAGTGGACTAACCCAAGATGACTAGATCGTGTCCGTTGCTGTTTGGAGTAGATCTGTAGAGATGTAGTTGTCCTGCAGGGCGAAGGCCACGACCCCTAGAAGGGTCACTCACCTGTTTCACCGCCTAGCGCACCCTGCCAGCTGGCGTGTGGTTTAGTTCAGATACATTACCATGGTTGAGTGCGTTTACATTCAGCCAGTAACCCTTTTAAAACCCGAATATTCACAATAACCCGGTTCCGCAGGTCCATGTAAACACCGCCAAAAACCCGGATATGCTCATAACCAGGTTTTTAAAAACCCGGTTACTACACCTGGGGTATCCCTTTTCTAACCCGAATGTTTGGTCGTGTCAACGCATATCGGGATATCCCCATCAAAGCGTGTGTTCTGCGCATGCTCTGTTCGCAAGGAATCTTGGTCTTTTGAGTAGCGAGACGTCTTGTATGCGCCAGAACACCGGAAGTAAACAACAAGTTGGGAGCAAAATGGCGAGTCGCGGCACAGCACCACACTTTTGGAGTGACGAGGAAACTAAAGCGCAAACAAACGCGGTCGCTATCTCTTCTGAACTGGGAAACATGTTGTTGTTTTCACGGATACCAGAACAAGAAGAACTGGAAATGACACATATTGCGTCTGGACGTAGTCCACATGTCCTGACGCTACCCCAACGTCCGCATTTAAATCGGGTTATGCAAGTTAGAGGTAACTCTTTCTATTTATGCTTGTAAACGGGTTATTCTGATCAACTCAGAAACCCAAATACTGACCTTAACCCGATCATAACCCGGATATTGGCTGCATGTAAACGTAGTCATTGACAGCAGGTGGAGGTGGAATGTGTCCCAACAGTAGCCGTTTGAAGGGATGTCCATGCACCAGGTAGCAGGAGTCATGCCTTTTTTACTTCCCTCTTCTTTCTGACTTCTAGAGAGTGTGATGGAAAGGGATCGCTACATGAGCCCTATGGAGGCTCAGGACTTTGGCCTGATTGACCGGGTCCTGGTCCACCCCCCACAGGCAGGCCAGGATGAGCCAGAGCTGGTGCAGAAACAGCCAGCTGCAGCGACTATTTCCCCCCCACAGCCGGAGTCTGCAGCCCCAGCCCCCCCCGAAACCAGCCCCCCCTCATCACACAAACCAGAACCATGAACGCCACAGCAGCGGGTCTGGGATCAGCGCTGGAGGTCTCCACCCCTGAGCGTGAGACTCGGGCTCCTTCTCCTGTAGACCAACCGCAACGGAAGGGAAGCTCCTCTCGCAGCTGTTGGAGGACCTTTCACCTTATTACATCTTCTATGACAGTCCAGAAAAAGGTTCTGACTGAAGACATTTCATAACCCTAACCATGTTGGTTTCAGCCCTCTGCAGGAAAGATCCACACAGGAGCAAGCAGCTTTGTTTAGATTTGTAATAAATGATGAGTCATGTTTTTGTTTCACCTAAACCTGGTTACTGGACTCGCTGTGGAACAGCGGTTAAAGTGCAGCGCTGACCCCTGCATTAGAGAGCATAATGCATCGTATCACCTGATTCTCCATTACGCGGGAAAAGCTCTGGTAGAACACAACCCCTTTTTACTGAGTGGTGCCGCAGCAGAACAGCTACACGGGAACAGGGCATGTCAGGCGGCACCAGGGCGGACAAAGTCAAACACGCTCGACCACGCACACACACACACACGTTTAATGTGGCTTCCATCACATCATTGAGCAGCTGTTCTTTGCACTGGTCGTCCAACGCAGCCATTTTAACTTTTCTTCACTGTAGGGTGGGTAGCGCAGGCCGTTGAGTCTCTCCAACGCCCAGCCACGCAGCATACAGGCTCGTCGATGGCTGAATGTCTCGAAGCCCCAGCGGCCATGATAGTTACCCCAACCGCTGCCACCTGCATGGACACAGAAGCCAGACACACACACACACACACACATTAGACTCACTGCTCTGCTAACAGAGGACCCAAACCGAACCAAACCTCCCGTTTAACTCGTGCAGGTCCCACGACGCGTTTCGTGGACCCCAAAAGCGACTGCTCGCAGACCCCTGGCGATCAAACGGGCCCTCAAAGTGTTTTGGGGTTTGCAGCAAACACGCATTACCGGGTAAGATTAATGTTCGTATGTTTCATGAGGAAGCCAGGGACCGACTGGTGGACCTGAGATGATAAATGTGATGTTCTTGTATTGACAGTGCTGTACGTGTGTCATCGTTCACTCTGGTGAAATGTGAGATCATTGTTATTACACTGTTCCAATGTAGAATTACCAGTTAAGTTTATGTCATTTAGTACGATGAGAGACATCTCGTCTCATCCCAGAGTGAAAGTAGCATCTAAACCCGGAGACCCTGCAACCAAAACTGGTAGAGATCCGGACCTTATTTAGGTTTTGATCAGATCAAGTGAACTGGGCTTGGACCAGTAGAAACCAGGTTAAACTGGCAAAAAAAAAGGAACCTCAGTCACAACTTATCCTCTCCGTTCAGTACTCCCATAATTCACTGTTGTCCCACCTAGGCGTGCTACTTCTGATACCTGGACTGGTTCAGGGGTCGGAGTTGGTTCCAGCAGACGGCGTGAGAGCCAGATAAAATAAAGTTGACGTTTTATTGTATCTTAATGTATTAACATTTAAATGGCTCTGGACTGTTTTGACTGTAGTTTAATATGTTTGGAGAACATAAACAATTATTGATAAATGGGACATGAATTTTGCTGTTAAACATCGAAGTCCCCTGTTTGGGGGGTCTTCAGGCTCAAAGGGTCTGGTGGGCCAGATGTGGCCTGCGGGCTGCCAGTTGAAATTCACTCAACTAGTTGAAGCCATGCTAAACGTAGCAAGCAAATCTCATGCACTACTTTCCCCTTAGTTGAGTACTCACTGTTTACGTGCTTTTGCTGATAGCGGAGCTACTGAGCAGGCAGAGCTGAACTGAGGCTGCAGCTGAGATGCATGAAGCCTAAAACCACTGTAGAGGTGTTCATTAGGAAAAAAAACAATAACATATGGTCAAAAGGGGGATTTTACATGATACGGGACCTTCAACAGTGTGCCAGCATGCCCACTAAGTAGTAGATGTTTATGGAGATGAAGGCGTGAGCCGTGCTGTGTTCCACATGTCTAAAGAGATGACAGAGGAAAACTTTTCATTCCACTTTTAAATCAAAAATGAAAACTTTGTTCTTCATCTCGAGAGCTTGCTCCTTAACCTGCACCTTTAACTGCTCTAAAATCTCTAAGCCCGTTGGCTTGCCTGTAATAAATGGGCTACACAAATAAAGCTGCCTTGCCCTGACTGTTCATTTCAGAGCAGCACTACATTCAAGCCGCGTCGGGTTTCGACTCCAGAACAACTTCAGGACTAGAAATATAATCATTTCTAACGAGTGTAGACCTGCAGAAGCAAGCGGATCGGGCAGGCTTCAGCTGAAACATAGTCTCCACTGAGCCTGGAGCCAAATGTGACCTCATGTCTCTGGACACAAACCTCACAAGTTATTCAGAACCCAAAAACCAGTTCAACGTGTTGCTGTTGGAGGAGGAGTGGTGATCAGACTCGTAACTCAACAGTGTAGGCGAGCAGCGCTTCAGCCTGAGTTTTAAGGTGAGAATGAAAACATGCCATCCATCCTGGGCTTGAGGGTGGAGGACCGAGTTACCTGTGGAGTACCCAACCCACGGGGTAGTTCTACAGGGTCTCAACATGAACAGACCCAGAGGCTCTTCCATCCTCACCATGTCAGCTTCTGCCCTTCAGCATCAATACGGCATCATGCTCTAGGAGTGTGGGTGACATCGCCATCTGTAGGGATGGACTTGCACCGCTGCAGCTCAAACTCATGAGCTGTTTACCCTGAAAACGAACCCGAACACCAGCCCTGACGGCTAGGAGGCTCTCTGCAGCTGCACAAAGACGTAGCTCACATCTGGATGTAGCACCAACAGGATGGTTTGTGTTGCGTTCTGGGATGCAGGACGAGACACATCAGTAGCTACTGACTAGCGCCTAGCTTTCTGAGGATTAAGCGAGGGCTCGGGTGGAACAGGGATACCGTAAATCCTCTAATATTAGCCTGTATTTTATTAACGGCCGGGTACCATATTTTGGCCGGAGTCGGCGGAGGTGAATAATGGCCGGGTGGAATGTGGTAACAAGCAAGTACCACAGGGGGGCGGTTGTGTCATCCGTCTCACTTTTGATTTGCCAGTGATAGACCGCGAGGGTAACTTTAACCGTGCGGAGGCGAAAATTTGATATCAAGTTCAAAGAGAACGTGCTAATTATGCTGCAGAACACTCTGGGGAGCAGTAGCAGGGGTTGTATGAACTAGTCACTAGTCGACTTCACCGCTCTATAGTGACTTTTTATGCCTGTCATCGACTAGTCGCTGTCACGTGATAATGACCGGCAAGATGCAGTCCACAGAAAAGACAGCAGCCTGCTGTCAGCAGGTGACAAGCTCCTGCGCGTCGGGAGGCAACGCGCTGTGCCAGAGCGTCGGTACTGACACCCGCTGTAAAACGGACATTTAACCAAATTGTGACGTTTACCCTCTTGCAATTTAACCTTCCCCTCACCCCCATCCTAACCTTAACCAGCTTGTGCATGCAAAGCTCTGATCGTTGACGCGCTCCAGACATCTGCGTCCTGAGCACGGCCACAGTAACATTATCAAATCAGGTGTCGCCACCTCAAAAACTAATTTAACACGCAATTGTTCATGTCGGCTCCTTTCCTTTTATGTTTTCTGTCTTTGATTTGCGCCTGATGCGTTTCGCTGCTGTGGAGCGGGGCGCATCACCTGTTTTGTCCTCCGGTGATGCACCGATCACTGATGCGGCCGGCAAGCAGCGAGCACTCCGCTGTTTTTGCGGTCGGTAGATCTTTTAGAACTGCAGTTCAAAGGTAACTCATAAGGTGAATATATATGAACCCAGGTAGCAGTTTTTCTTTAGGATTGAGAGGAGATGCAGGAAGATAATAAACAGGCAGGACAGAAAAATAGTCGAATAAAAACAAGTTATTTTTTGTACCTGGTGGTTGCAAACAAACAGACACCATTGAAGGTAATCAGAAGTGAGGAACAGAAAATGAAATAATTATTTTAATGTTTAGAGCAGCAGGAACTCCGAGAGGCTGCAGGCGCGTCAGTGAGTTTGCGGCCACTGCGTAGGGGGAGGGGGGCTGAAGCAGAAACTATTGTTGTTAAAAGAAATGTGTTTAACTTTGAAAATGTGAGCGCAATTTTATTTGTCAAAAACTCCAGCGAACCATTAGTTCATTTTGCTCAAATAGAAATTGAGGCCTGTCTCTAATTCTGGTCCTCCTTTCAATAAAGGCCTGGAGCTTGATGAGCTTGAGTCAAATACAGGCCCGGGCCTGTATTAGAGGATTTACGGTAGTTACTTCTATCATATATCATATATCATGGACAGATGGACGGTCGACAACCTGAGGTGAACGCCTAACAACAGAACTGACCTACCTACACCTCCGAAGGGCAGGCCAGGCAGCGTCATGTGGACAATCCCATCATTAGAGCAGAATCCGCCACTGCTGGTGTTCTCCATCACCATCTTAACCACCTTCAAAAGAAAGGACCAGGTCATATGAAAGAGCAGAGGAGTTTAGAGCGGCGGCTGAGTGGTGTCCTTACAGAAGACTCATCCGAGAAGACGTAGAGGGCCAGAGGCTTTTCTTTACGGTTGACAAACGCTATGCTTTTCTCAACAGACTCGATGGTGATGATGGGCAGGATGGGACCAAAGATCTCCTCTGCCATTAAGGCATCATCTTCAGCTACATCCACCACCACTGTTGGGGCTAAAGAGCACAAAGAAAGGAGCGATTACAGGACGCTTTAATGAAGTCAGCTGTTTCAGTCAAATCAAACAGAGCAAGATCTTACATGTGACCTGCTGGTGACTCGGAATGTTACCCACCTATATATTTATCCTCCTGGTCATGTTCTCCTCCCAAAACAATCCTTCCCCGGGTCTTTCCGAGCAGCTCCACCAGACGGGTCCAGTGCCGGAGCGACACAATGCGGGACACGTCGGGACACTTCTGAGGCTCTGTGGTGTAGAAGCTCTCCAAGACGTCCTTCAGCGCTGGTATCAGGGCATCTCGGGTAGCCGTTGAGCAAAGCACATAGTCGGGAGCCACACAGCTTTGGCCAGCGTTAAAAAACTTGGACCAAACCAGACGATGAGCTGCAGCAACAATGTTCAGCCGCCCGTAGAGGAGACAAGGACATTTGCCACCCAGCTCCAGAGTTACTGGTGTCAAGTGGACCGAGGCAGCCTGAACAATGCTTCGGGCCACAGTTTGAGAACCTAAAGGTGGAGGGGAAAGGTTAAACACCTTCACACAGTTAGCTGTAGTTTTCTGTGGTCCAAGTCTACTTCATCCATGCAGGTAAGTGTGTGGAGACCCTGGACGTAGTTTTGGGGTAGGACATGTCCTACCTAGACACCGGTTGAGCACTAGGACCAAGAGGAAAACAACCACTTGTGCTGAAGCCCGTTTCCCATTAGAACCATCCAGAAGCTCATCTATTGGCTCTGCTGATAACTGCTAACGTGTGATTGGTCGTTCCTGCCACCTGTGTACTTGACAGTTCTGCAGTCCTGACATTGTATAAAAGAGCCTCTAGGCTGTAAAATTATACACATTTATCTGTACTTACAGGAAACACCCCCAACACACACACACACTTCTAAAGTCAAATCTACATCCACAGTGGAGACACCAGTCAACAGTGGGTGGACTTAATTCTGCTGTTCAGTCTGGAAACCCGGACTGCTGCCCCTTCAGTGGCTGGAGTGGATCAAGGTCCTGTGAGGACAGATTCCCTCCCCTACCCTTGGGAGGACCAGGTCCTCGTGCTGCAACCGAACATCCAACCTTGATATTCACAATAAAACTCTTCTCTCAGGCACAGCAGCATGTTTTACTCAGGCTGGATCCTGCAGACAGAAGCTTCTTTTGACAGCAACACTCCTGGCCATCATACTTCTGAGTTATGGTCATTTGAAGGTGACTTCGTGGAGGCCTTTAACCCGTACTGGCTGGTGACAAAAGAAACACCTTGGTGGGGCTACGTGTTAAAAGATTTCAGAGGTAACGTGATCTTGCAGCACATGCAGATTATTCTCTTTCCTGACGTCTAGAAGGACGTCCGGAGCACAGGCTGAGTTTTTCTAACCTGCAGGCAATATCGGCTGCAACGTTTTACAGGAAGTAGCTAAGGGTCCGAAGAAATTTCGCTAGGCCCTTTTTGTAAAACATAAAAAACATTAACAATCTGAAAAGTTATAAGAAATAGTTGCCAAGTCGGTAACACTGATGCTAGCAAGCTATTTACTGTAGCACAGGTGCCAAAGTCCAGCAGAGGCCATAAATTATGCTGATTGGCCCAGAAATCGCCAGTTCTCCCTAGCAACTAAATGTGATTGGCTGTTTAGCTGTAGTTCAGAGGCAAATTCCCAGTTCCCCAGGAGTGAAACTAGTGAGTTTGTTGGTGGAAATTGGCCGTTTACTATGAGAAAGCCGCTGGAAAGGATGGTTAAACCATTCAGGCTGCATGTAGGCACACAGAATGAAGCAAAATCCTGAATCCTCTTGCAAAGGCTTACGTCTCGGCCTGGTCGCTCCGGTCATCACAGGATCGTCGGCTAGCAGTGCCTACACCACGCTCGGGACAATCCAGACTCTTCTCATGCATCGTTCCACAAATGTGGAATGGCCTACCAAGCACTACCAGAACAGGGGCTTCCTTTTCAATTTTCAAGAAACTCCTGAAGACCCTGCTCTTCAGAGAGCATCTTCTAAACTAGCACCCTCCCTGCACCCATCCCCCCTCTCTACTGTCCACTCCTTGTTCCCTCCTCTCCATGACTGATGTCAATGTTGTTGTTGTTGTTAGCCTCAAGGGCAATATGCCGATTATCACTTGTAAGTCGCTTTGGACAAAAGCGTCTGCTAAATACATAAACATAAACAAAACAGCAACATTCACAGTCAATATGGACATAAAACACTTTGTTTCTCCTTTACTCTAGTGCCCCCTATGGGCGAGCCACCTCTGCTTTTACCTGTGTAGAAGATGTGGTCAAATCGGTTCTGAAGAAGTGCCTTGGTCTCCTCTGATCCACCGCGAACCACCGTATAACAGTCCTACAAAATCCAAATTAAATCAAACACACACACACACACAACTAAGGTAGTAGATAATGAAACAGAAATATCCAGCATTTTTAAATCTCTGGACAAATGATCCTGGTTGTCAGCAAAGGTAGCTTTACCTGAGGCAGGTACTTGGGGATGAGATCTGCTATCAGACATTCAGTGGCAAAGCTGACCTCTGAAGGTTTGATGATCACACAGTTTCCTAGTCAGAGCAAAGACATCAGCGACTGTAGACAGTGGTACACGCATTACCCTAACGTCATCAGATGTTTGGAAAATCTGCTCCAGTAAAATAATATTAAGCTTATTTTAAGAAGATACACACAAATGGTAAATGGTCTGTATTTGTAGGGTTCTACAACCCCCCAAAGTGCTTCACAACAGTCAGTCATACACACACACACACACACACACACACAGGACAGAGAAACAAGGAAACAGAACGCAGTGAGAGTCTGAGGGTTGAAAAGGCTTTTATAAACCTGAAGATCTGTTCGGTCATGCTCGACTGCTCCTACAAACATGAATCCACACATAAGCTGCAGCAGAGGTGGACGTAGTTCTTTGAAAGGAAGTTTGACAGATTTTTGTACAAATGTATGAAGAACTTAATAAAAACAGTTTTCATAAGGAGAATGGGTTTTGGGCCAAATTAATCTATGCAGTCCTCATGTGCAGCAGCAGCTGTGCTCATCTGGACCAGACACATTACATGTTTAAAACTAGCACCGAGGAACCCAGACAAAAATATTGAATTACCATTGCTAAATGATGTTCAGCTCTTATTTTGTGATTAAAAAATAACAGATATCTCACTAAAATAGTCAAAATTCATCAAATAATCGAAAATACTGGCGTTGCACATTTTTACAGTGGGAAGAAACCAGGATGCAGCAGCAAAACCCACACAGGGAACCCAATGCGTGGATGAGCTAGCCTAGTGAACCAGACCAAATTCTTGCTTTGCAAAGTTTGGTCTAGGGCTCCATTGGAACCTCCGCAGCTCCTACCAGGACTCTGGCTAGCCAATCACAGCTCTCTAGAGGGGTTTCAAACACATGAAGAGCTGTGATTGGTCCATAATGTTGGGCCAATCATAGTGCTCTATCTGCTTAGTGAATAAATCACAGAGCTTTATCCGCTTTGTGGGCCAATCAGGGCACTCTATATGCCTGGTGGGTGGGATGATGCAACAGAGTGAAACAAGAGTATGTCACATTCATTGTCCAGTGGAATGCGGAGATCATTTGAAAGACAACGGTAGAACCCGCCCCACAACCGAGAGCCGTCAATGGAGCATGGCCAGACTAAATAATACATTTATTTAGTCTGGCTTGCCAGGCTATGGATAAGCTGTAAGATCTCAAATTAAAGCAAAGCAGCTGCAAACTCAGCTGACTTCCATGTTGTTCCAGTCACCTGCAGCAATGGCTCCAACCATGGGGAGGATTAGGAGCTGAAGTGGGTAGTTCCATGGACCAATGACCAGGACAACTCCTAAAGGTTCCCTCCGGACAAAACAGTCATCCAGCTTAGTCGCCTGCAGAAAAACAACAAAGACGTTGGAAAGCTAGAATGTCCTGGTCTTTGTTCAGCTGCCTGCAGGGCCATTCCATCGCTCTGAAACCAGCATATCAATCATGTCAGGAATGAGAGCTGTAGAAGTTTAGCTGGTCTGACGAAGCCCCCCAGTTGGGTTGCATCACACCAACACCAAACAATCATACAACAGACACTACACGGTGGGTGATGTTTGATCCTACCAGGTTTTTAGACACATAATCTGGCTTCATCCAGTGAGAGAGGTTGGCGATGGCGTGGTGCAGCTCATTCATCACGATTTCAACCTCTGAGAGGATGGCCTCGAACTTCGGCTGATGTGTCAGAAAAGACAGTTAGTGTTACCAAAGTGTGCACCCACCTGGAAGATAAGGCTACTACATGTGTGTACACCTGTCTTCTACCTTCTATTAACTGGAATGAGCTGCAAAAATCCCTGAAGCTCACCACCTACATTCCATTATCTACCTTCAAATATTCATCACAATCAGTTTCTGATGAATTCTCCTGCTTCTGAGTACTTAAGACTATACATGAGAAGAGTCCTTTATCTGTAACGTGTATATTTCATCTCATCTGTAGTTCTGTGGTGTAAAGCTAGTTAGCAGCAGCAACAGACATGGTTCACCATGTGTTCTCAATCGACTCATCTGGGTAAATAAACAGACTAGCACAGCAGATTGCTTTTGCTCTGGGAGAAACGCTCCTCCTACATCAGCACGTGGAGCAGTCCAAGCCAGGCTCTGGCTCCAGCTCAGGGACTGGCTGAGGTGTTTAGTGATGGACAGTCTGGATGCTTACGGACCTTGGCCAGGTCTTGGTGCAGCGCTTTTAAAATCCTCTCTTCGTTGTCTGAGATCATCGACCTGAGCATGGTCAGCTGGGTCCGACGAAACTCCTCCGGTATGGTGACGCCCGACTGAAAGGCTCCCCGTAACCTGTCCACCACCTCGCTGTGCGTGTTCATCCTCTCACCTGGAACACAGGTACACAGTCTACAGCCGTTCGTGATCACGTGTGAGTTAGTGCACGCGTTCCTAAACCCGACGAGCCTGTTTGACCCCACTGGAGGAAAAGGGATCTGAGGATGGCAGAGTACAGCTGGAGTCCTGGTTACCTGCTGACGGCTGCTCAACGCACACCATCACCTGGGCCACGTGCTCTTGATAAGAAAACGTAACAGCGCGAGGCAAAACAGAAGCGATCAGGTGAGCAACGTAAGAGTTATGAATGGGAACATGCTCAGAGGAACTAGTACCACCGTATCCCTCCGCTCGTCTCTTACCTGAGAGCCGACGCCGTCAGTAACTTCTGCTCGTTTCCGGTGCTGCTCCCGGTTCCTCTCCACCGGACGTCGACCTCTTCCTTGTGGGAGGTGCCGAGCAGAAAGACCGGCCAGAGAACCGGTCCAACGGGAGGAGTTGATGTGACGTCAGCTGGTTTCTGCAGCTCAGAACGGTTTCACTGCTAGGGTTGGCGCGTATTTGATGCCTTGCTCAGAGGCAGCATGCTTTTCTTGGGTTGTGTTCACCACCCAGGGCTGCCTGGACTGGTGGCAGAAAGGTGCTTTACAAATGAAAGGCGTTAAAACTGATCCCAGGTGTGTTTATTTGCAGGTCATGAAGTCACACCCACATCAACGATACAAAAACTTTATTCTCACAATATCAAAACTGACAGCTAGAGAAATGAGCGGATTAAAATGAGTAGAAAAAAGCGCCGTGGCTTTTCTGATTACATGTGTGGTACTGAACAGCAGTACTGGGTGTGACAGGGCATCCTGAATGTTGTCCTGGCAGCAACAGTTAGACTAAATCAAAGCACTGAAATAATTCATCGAATGATAAAACTGTAAAAATGTCCTAAACCTGCAGATTTTGGAAAATAAACATTTTTTACTCCGTTAGTCCTAAAACTAAGTGACCGTATTAACCATAAAAATCCACCAACGTGTGTGAAAGGAGAATGTGATGAGCAGTGGGTGGGAGTAGATCAGCACCACCCCAACCCTCCCATGCTGACTGCTCCGTCTGGTTCAGGCAGCTCTTCAGGCCGAGGCTGCCACGTTTTACCAAACGCTGTGAGTTCAGACTGGTCCAGCAGCAGGACGGCGGGTGGGGGTGTGCCGGTGCAGGATGGTGCCGCGGTTTGACACGTCGCGGCCACCTGTCTGAAGATCTTTACAGAAAATAGTCTGCTACTGGTTTTTTGGAGGGGATCCCTCTGGTCTCTTGCGGCGCTGCCTCGAATATGATGAACTCACGCTGTAGATGCTCATCCAGCTCCAAGATGGCTGCCACGTTGCCACATCTGTTCAGAGACAAACAGCTGGTTTGTTCGTGTTACTGTGATAAAACGAGTCCTTTACTAAAACAATAATTTATGACCCAGAATCTGACGGTTCAAGATTTACTTCAGCTAACTGACTGCACTCTACAAACAAAACCTTCAGATCGGTCCTTGTGCACGGGTTCTCCAAAGGCCACTGATAAGTGTGTTTGACTGCTTCAGGCTGCTGTTGCAACATCCCACACTTGAGGCAGGGCAGCGTCATTTCAAAGCCGCCAGTCCTGATTTGTAAACAGATGCTTTTCATGAGCGTAGCTATTGGCTGGAAAATAAAGAGCAAGGCCTTTCTAAAGCGTAACTCTAGGCTAAGTTCAAAAGCACAAAATGTTTTTCAAAGCTTGGTTTAATAAGTGTAAACTGTTCAGGATGTTAAACAGGGCTGTGTCCTCCAAACACACGGTTATGACGTGTACACATGGTGTGTGTTGGCTGCTCATTATCCCAAGGAGAATTCTCCAGGAGGGGGTGGGGCTCAGCAATCGCTTAAGCTGGCCGTACACAAGAGCAAACTGCTGAGCTAACAGTCACTCGAGGCCGTTTGCTCAGCAGATACTTTGCTGTGTGTGAAAATCAAACCAGTTTGATATTTTTTGCTTCTCTAGGGGCAGAAACTCACCAGGTGTCAAGGCGTGGGGAACCCTGGTCCTCGAGGACCGGTATCCTGCACGTCTTTGCTCTAACACTTCTGATTCAGTGGTTGATTCACCTGTTCAGCAGCTCATCAGGCTCTGCAGAAGCCTGTTAATCACCTGCTGATTGAAATCAGGTGTGTTGAAGCAGCGTTGAAACTAAAATATGCTGGATAGCAGCCCTCGATGGACAAGGGTGCCCCACCCCTGGTCTACGTGCTGGCTGAAGTGAAATATTCTAGTGGCCAATCAAAGTGCGTTATCTGCTCACATGTTTTCCAAGATGGCAGCCCTCTGTCTGCATTTTCAGGTTATTCCTGATCGGCCAATTTTGATTAGTGGCTGAGGAATGGGATCATCCCTAAATTCCACCCATTTCATAATGTAACCCTAGATTCCCAGCAAAGCATGTTCAACAACACGCCAGCAGCGGTGACCTGTACCAGAAGCACCGGGACTTCCATGTGGCTTGGCTGCTGAACTGTCCCATTAAACCTGATTTATACTTCTCCGTCTGCGTGGGTGCGGAGACACAAGACGTCATTATGCATCGGTGCAAGGGCTCTCAGACATGCTCACTCAGGCCGACGGAGACATGCTCAACATATGAACCATCTGTCAAAAGTGACAGAGACTGAAAGCTTGTGATGGTTCAGGACGCTACTTTCAACATCAGCACTGCCATCACTACTCATGAAGAAGATATTTAGCAGCAGACACAGAACTGTAGACACCTGTGATGCTAATCAACACGTCCCTTTGGTGGCATTATTTTCAGTCTTTTCTAGGGTACCATCATTTTAGTCCAGGCCTGTTCCAGAAGTTTGTTTTTTGAAATAATTCCATTGAAGCATGGTTGAAAAGCAATGTTGGTTAAATTTCACACAAGTTTTATTCATCACTTTTGTGAGATTCAGGTTATTTCTATGACCATTGTTGGGTTTTCCTTTCATTGACCAAAGGGGACCAACAATTTTGTCCACATCTGTAAATAAGTGAAAAAACGATTGTAAGCACGAGTGCTAGTATGAGCCCGATACCGCCAGTGTTGCTGTAGCACTGGTGGTTGTTCTGCCTTTTTTTTTTTTTTTTTTTTTTGCAATTTGAGACAGGTCGTTACGCTTTAATTCACAAATTGATGTCATGAACGTTGAGGCACTTAATTAAATTCCTGCTATTTCCATACTTGGCAACACAAATGTTACATTTAGCCATGTTGCTGTTTACTTTCACAAAATACAGCATTTACTTTGTCTGCAAACCGAGAAGTGGTTGGGCGCGGGTACCTTTCACATTTGAATGGATTTGGTACAAATTCCCGGTACCTAGGAATAGATACCGACACGTAACGGTACTAATTTAATACTTTTGAATGTTTAATAATTATCTTTTTTAATTAAATATATATTTTCTTCTCTCTATATATAACCATATTGATAAATATGATAAATACCATAAACTGTATTTTATCATCAGTTGTACAAAACTCTTCAACATGAGAACCTTTAACCGCAACCGTTTCTAAACGAAACACAAACCCAGCTCCATGTTCTCCCTCTCCTCTCCCCTCCAGATGAATTGTGTGATGGTGGGTCCTTGTAACATTACAAACTGCAAATTAAACTGAAGCAAAAATCTTTGCTGTGAACTAAATTTACCTTCCATCTTCATTCCTTTTTCAGTTGATTTTTCCTACTAGGAAGTCGAATTTTCGAGTTCCGAGAAGGAAGCGAACGCACCATTAACTGCTAGCAATGAAAGCTTAAGTGTCAAGCTAATGTTGTCTTAAACCATTGCTACACAATTCCGTGCCCCGAGAGCTGGTATCCAGCACGTTTTAGTGGTTTCTCTGCTCCAACACACTAGATTCACTGGTTGAATCACGTGCAGCGTCTCATCAGGCGGTGCAGAAGCCTGTTAATCACCCCTCCAATCGAAATCCGGTGTGTTGAAGCAGGGTTAAAACCAAAACAAGCTGGATACCGGCCTTCCGGGCTTGGAATTGAATACCCGTTTTAAACAGTTTATTTACCTGCTAGAGCAGATTAGTACGATGATGCCTTACTTAGAATGCTGTCATCATCACCCAGTCAGCCATAGCCAGGGATGGGTACCGAATTCGGTATGTTTTAAGTAGAGCTGAAACAACTAATCGATTTAATCGATTATAATCGATTATTAAAATAGTTAACAACTTTTTTAGTCATCGATTAGTTGTTTAATAATCATATTTTACCGCATAGTCTATTTTTTACCACAATCTGACATCGGTTACAATCTGTTAAATTTGCCGCCAGTGTGTGGCAGTAATGAGCCACTGATCTACCAGTGGGGCCGTAGAAGAAGAAATGAGCCAATAAGTGCCCTCGGTTTTCATGACGTATCACGTTACTGACGCGCATCTTGCTGTGAGAGATGGCGGATCAACAACAAATACGGAAGAAAAATAGAAGCGACAAAACAAGAGAAACCCCGGACAAAAACCTCACGAGTATGGGAGCACTTTACTCTAGATGCCTTGAAAAGACCGGTGACCTACAAAATATGCAAAAACCATGGCACGACGGAAGCACGACGTCCCAAAGTGAACATTTGAGACGAAAACGTGGGGGCTGATGCAGCAGAGGAATGTCCGGTAAGTAACAGAAAATAAACAAGCTAACGCAGATCACATTTGGGACTTAGTGTTAGCTGAGTTCGTTATAGTGGATGTTAAACATGTTTTTTTTTTTTTTTTTTTTTTGCCGCGTCAGTCTACGGTGTTCTACTTCTGATTGACTAAATGCAATCGTGAATCTCCTCCGTGTTGTGAATCATGCGCTTGCCAAATTTAGCACGTCTGTTTATAAGAATGTTCTCGTTAAGAGAAAAACGGCACAAACCCATAACTGTGTTCCTCATTCAAAAAAGGACAACTCCGCGGAGAAAAATATACAGACGAGCTTTGTCCAGGTGAATATAACGCGGCATAGTTGTACGCTTTCAATTTTTAAATACAGGAGAAATTCAGAAAGTCCTTTTTTTACTATTAAAAGGCTGTTTTACTATCTAACGCTGTAAAACGCCTCACAACACATTTTTGTCAAAATAAATGATCACTGTATATTGTTAATTAATTCAAATAATGTAATATTGATTTAGTGTTGTAGTGTGTGTGCTGCTTTATTTTATATGTGTACTTAATTCAGTTTATTTGTGTTTCTTATGCAGAAAAAAACAAGCAGCGATGGAGAACTACATGGGGAACAAGACACTCACCCCCAGCAATGCATACCACTTACAAACTCTATTCCAGATTCTACATTATTTTTTATGGAATTTACCTCTTATATTTTGATGCCAAAAAATTATTCTGGACTGATATTTTGCACTGTTTAGCTCATTTTACACTGCTGACTGTGGTCATGTGCAATAAAATAGATTGCAGTCAACTGCACAATTCTCTTATGTTTTTTCTTTTTCTTAACTGAAATGTATTCATCACTTGTATAGGTTAAATAGCTAAACAATAACAAACCGATTAATAATCGAAAAAATAATCGACAGATTAATCGATTATGAAAATAATCGTTAGTTGCAGCCCTAGTTTTAAGGCACCGACCGAATTCCATACAACCGACTGGTACCGATTCACGTCATATGAAATGGTGCCTTGTTTCGGTACCCGTGCCGCGCGCCACTGACAGAGGCGAGGCTGCCGAGCACTGGCGCCACCGGTCCCTCCGACCACCACCAGCAGGCAACGTGGGTTAAGTGTCTTGCCCAAGGACACAATGACAGCGACAGACTGAGCGGGGCTCAAACCTGCAACCTTCCGATTACGGGGCGAGCACTTAACTCCTGTGCCACCGTCGCCCCAGAACAGCAAAAGGAATGAAGATACTCAGTAAATTTAATTCACAGCAGAGATGTTTGGTTCCGTGTAATCAGCAGTTTATAAAACTACAATAACCCACCATCACAGTTTATAAAACTACAAGGACCCACCATCATAGTTTATAAAACTACAAGGACCCACCATCACAGTTTATAAAACTACAAGGACCCACCATCATAGTTTATAAAACTACAAGGACCCACCATCATAGTTTATAAAACTACAAGAACCCACCATCACACGGTTTATAAAACTACAAGAACCCACCATCACACGGTTTATAAAACTACAAGAACCAACCATCACAGTTTATAAAACTACAAGGACCCACCATCACAGTTTATAAAACTACAAGGACCCACCATCACAGTTTATAAAACTACAAGAACCCACCATCATAGTTTATAAAACTACAAGGACCCACCATCATAGTTTATAAAACTACAAGGACCCACCATCATAGTTTATAAAACTACAAGGACCCACCATCATAGTTTATAAAACTACAAGAACCCACCATCATAGTTTATAAAACTACAAGAACCCACCATCATAGTTTATAAAACTACAAGGACCCACCATCACATAGTTTATAAAACTACAAGGACCCACCATCACATAGTTTATAAAACTACAAGGACCCACCATCACATAGTTTATAAAACTACAAGAACCCACCATCACATAGTTTATAAAACTACAAGAACCCATCATCATAGTTTATAAAACTACAAGGACCCACCATCACATAGTTTATAAAACTACAAGAACCCACCATCATAGTTTATAAAACTACAAGGACCCACCATCATAGTTTATAAAACTACAAGAACCCACCATCATAGTTTATAAAACTACAAGGACCCACCATCACAGTTTATAAAACTACAAGGACCCACCATCATAGTTTATAAAACTACAAGGACCCACCATCATAGTTTATAAAACTACAAGAACCCACCATCATAGTTTATAAAACTACAAGGACCCACCATCATAGTTTATAAAACTACAAGGACCCACCATCATAGTTTATAAAACTACAAGGACCCACCATCATAGTTTATAAAACTACAAGGACCCACCATCATAGTTTATAAAACTACAAGGACCCACCATCATAGTTTATAAAACTACAAGAACCACCATCACACATTTTATAAAACTACAAGAACCCACCATCACACAGTTTGGCCAGAGGAGAAAGAAGAGGAGTACACGGAGCTGGTTTAGTTTGTGAAACACCACAATATTAAAATACAAACTGTTGTATGGTATCGGAGTGTGTTTTAGTTTCATTTGTAGTTTATAACACACGGTCTCCTCATCAGAGTTATTCCAGAGGGCGGAGGAGAGGATCAGGGTCCATGGAGCTGGTTTTATTTTTGCGTCATTTAGTAACTTGTTAAAAGTTTTCATGTTGAAGAATTTTGTACAACACTACGATGATAAAATACAAACTGTTGTATGTTATTCATCAAATATGGCTATATATGGGGAAAATAATATATATATTTAATAAAAAAGCGATTTTAATAATTATTAAACACTCAAAAGTATCGAAAACTGGTACTGTTAAGTACCAGTAGTAGGTACTGGGAGTTAGTACCATATTGATTTTAAGGTCAAAGGTTCCCATTCCTAGCCATCGCATTTAGTGAAGTGGACCCAAACCTGGTAAGGTTAAAGAACCTCACACGCAGCAGCGGGAGATACAGAGCTGTGCGGCTTCTTAGCAGGGACAGCTTTTTGGGGAAAGCGCTAGCTACCGCAGGCTGCAGCTGGGTTTTAATTCAGCTTTTAATCAGAAGGAATGAAAAGCGAGGAAGTTTATATGTTGCTTTAAGTGTGAAAACAGCTGAAGGACAAACAGCAGGTTATTGTTTTTCCCACTGTGTGCTGTAATCTACATCCTCTGCTAGTGGAACGACTAATGCAATGTAACCTGGCTACCCACCTGTAGCAGTAGTTGGGTGCAGACCACACAGTGAGCACCGTCTCGTTGAAGTGCCACTTGTAGCCCTCCATCACCAGCTGGTGTGCTCGACAAATCATGTGAATATCATTGGCAGCATTGAACTGCGCCACCACGTCACTCCCAAACAAGTAGCCAGCCCCTCTGGGACTCACGCCCCACCCTGTGGTGTCTGACAGAAACAGGAAACATAGGATCACGAAGACTTACTGTTGTATGTTCAGTTGTAACACCAACATGACTGTTTATCATGCAGACAGAGCCTGGGTTCAAACCAGCAACCCACCAGTTACAGGGCAAACTCCTCATCCCTAAGCCACTCTCACACTATTTATTCAGAGAGCAAAAGCCTGCAGATACCTTCAGGGTCTGACCACAAAAGGTCACACATGGGTCCGTCGTGGGGCACTTCCTGCTTTCTGTCAATGGTCCTGATCTGGTCTAATGTTTGGATTGAGGGAGACAAACCACCGTGCACGCAGAAGATCTGAGATGCACAGAAAACACAAAAATTTAGAGACCGACACCCAAAATAATACAAAAAGATGCAGAAAATTTAAATAACTCGTCCATATCTCACCTTGCCATCAATGATAGCAGACAGGGACAAATAGTCAAATATCTCAGTGCAGTATCTCCAAACGGTGACTGAGCCATACTTGCGAAGACACTCGTCGTAGAAGCCATAGACCTGGGTAATTTGTCGAGACTCGTGGTTTCCCCGGATTAGAGTTATCCTGTCTGGATACCTCACCTGAGGTGCCAAACAAGGGTCAAAAGATGAATGAAAATGACTTGAACTAAGAATGTCATAAAGAGTGAAAAACAAACCAAAGACCAGAATTACCTTAAGAGCTAGAAGCAGAAGAAAAGTCTCCACACTGTAGAAGCCTCGATCCACAAAGTCACCCATGAAGAGGTAGTTAGTCTCTGGAACATCGCCACCAACCTGCCAGGAAAGGTTTTATCTAGTTTATTGGTTTCAACAGTTCATGCTGTGGCTATTACATAGGCTAAGTCGGCAGTGACCCCATGTCGCATCGCTTTTCCAAACTAACACACACACACACACACACACTTAAATCCCAAGCAGCATTTCCATTGACAGCTTCAATAATGCAGCCTCGTTTTCTGTGTGAAAACAGTCTCACAGGGAGTTTGTCTGAGGCGTGGTGGACCAAAAATAAAGGCTCAATATTACGATAGAAACATCTCGCCTTATTGGCCAACAGTAACGTTAAAACACAGAATACTGTAAAACTTCATTTCTTGGGTATTAAAAGGGGATGCACGTTTTCTACAATTTCTTTAACCAGTTGTTGACACCTTTAACGCTTAAAGCAGCTTTCCGGAGTTTTCCCCTTTCAGAAACAATGAATGATTTTTCTGAAATCCGTAGAAGTGATGATCTCATCATGTACTGTGATATAATATAAGCGATACATCTTTTTTTTTTTTGCCAAGCACGCCCCCTGCCCCGCAGAGCTTCGTGCAGTAGGAAACTGAGCGCCGGCCAGAACTAACCAATAGCATTAGACTACCGCTTAGACGCTTCACATTTAAGGAATACCTCGGCCGATGCTGAGTTCATGAACTTTTCACGGACAAGTTAGTCTCTAAAATATAAATATATGAAAACACAACATGACAATAATACTCGTAAAATAATTCTCTTCACAAGACTGTCCGACAACGGAAGAGTGTCTTCAGTCAGAGGCTTCTTCAGTTTGGCTGCAACACTGACCGCTACTGGAGATCCTTCCTGCCAACAGCCATTGTAATATACAATAACTCTTTGATGACTTAATTATTATTATTATTATTATTCTGAGCTACTACAGCAATCAATTTCCCTCTGGGATTAATAAAGTATTTTTGAATTGAAAACAACGTGTTTTAGCCGTTTGTCGGCTACAGAAGCACATTTATGAACAGGAACGTGAAGCTTAAAAAAACAGAGGAACAGCGATTTTGTGTGATAAGCTTGTAGATGGTGCCATCGGATAAGAGAAATACTCCAGAAAGAAGCTTTAATGGTCAGTTAACCTTAAACCACCCCGACACACACAGACCTTTGCCCGTGCTCTATGAACCAGGGATGTACTTAGTTAAACGGTTAATAGCCGTTAATGTTGTAACCAGGTAAAATAGTTTGCCAGGTTAACTGCTTCAAGTCCTTCTGCTATCACAATATGTTAGACTAAATGAGCTCGTCACATGACCCAACAACTGTGCTCAATCATGGAGTGGTTAGCAGTTTGGGAGCATTTTATTCTTATTTCATTCCCGGAACACAAGCCTCACATCAAAGCACCGAGCCCGGCAGAACATGGTGCAGCAACCTGAACCGAGGCCAGCAACAGGTCAGTCGGTCATAACGCTCCTGCTGCGTCTGACTCCTTTTTTGTCTAGTAAATAAGGAACAGTCTGTGTAATTGTTTAGTTAAATACGAGAAAACTGGTGTTTTTAAAAACCGTGGCCTCCAGAATGCACTTATGAGCGTGCAATCACAAGCAGAGCTGTGTATTTGATGTCAGACGGGCTGCTGTGCAACCGGTTCTGAATCTGACGGACATTCCAGCGGTCATCCCACTCCCTCTTTACTTGTTGTTCATAACTGTAACGAATGTGGGACCTTAGTTGTGAGTCAGATTTATATTAAAAACAGTAGACTGAAAAAGCATTAATTATAGTGTGTTTTTTACTCTTTTAATATAATTCTGATGCACAACCAGAGTCCCTCACTCTGCAGGGTTTCCCCCAGCGCTTTATAAGCTTGGCCACCCGCCAGGCTAAGAGTCATGCCCGCCCCCCCTCCCCGACCCTACCGTGCCCCCTGACATGAACGGCGCAAGAGCCCTCCATCAGCTGATACTGGTGAGAAACAGCAATGGAACGTGTGCAAGAGCTAATAACAGTAAGTGTGAAAAAAGGGGCTTTTTTTTAACCACTGGTTGCAAAATTGTGAACCGTAACCAGCTGCTTATATCGGAGATTTCTGACGCAGTCCGATATAGTCAGATACAGTATTTTTGAGCCAAAATCGAATTACTTCCGATATCGATATCATGCTCATTATTAAAGCACATGCCTGCATTAATAATGAGCATGCATGTGCTTTATCTCAATTTTACACTCACACCATCAGACACACTGGGTTTGGTGGTTGTGGAATATGTGGGCATCCCTTTGTGCCTTCTAACTCAGACATGAAAATGGGTCAAGGGTGAAGAAGATGAGACCCACTCCACATCAAGGAAAGTAGCCACCCCCTGAGAGGATATCCGGTGATGGGGGAGTTGGTCTGGGGGACTCCCACTGAGAAGTTTTAGTGAGCAGATGTCATTTCCCACATCCTAGTGCTTTTTAGCAGGTATTTAATCATATTTAAAATATTGCTTTTAAATTAACAACTTAAAAATTGAGCTTTAAAAACTACATTTATCAATGAAATAAGATAAATAACATGTTTGGCCTGGTTCGTTATTTTGTTTGAACCCAGTGGTCTCATTTCATACATGAGATGGAGCAGGAACCAGTCTCTGCTGCTGAAAACACTAAAAGAACCATAAACTGCCAATAAAATGTTGGATGTTTATTTTGTATTTGCTAATAATAATAATAATAATAATAATAATACAAGCAGGAGGCAGTGGGCTGGATTAGGATTTAATTTAATTATATTTATAGGATTTTATTTAATGACAGCTACCTCCCCTTAACTAACCCTTCCTTTGGGGACATTTTGTCTTTTATGATCTTCTTGTGTCCATTGTGTCTCTGAGGAGAAGAAACAAGCAAACATCTAACTCTAAAGGTAGACAAAAGTTTCCTCCCAGTTTAATTTATCAGTTCAAGTCACCCTGGTTCATGAAACAGAATAAAGTTCAGCAAGAACTTCCACAGTCTGACAGCAAAACAGTATTATAATTTCTCTCTGACTGCTCTGACCTCTCAGCTCCTCCTGCTTACTGATAGAAATCATGAATGTGAAACCATAACACCATTCTAAAAAATAACATTAACAGTATATGGGGCGCTCCGTGCAGCATGTCAGAGCGTCTAAAGGTATGCTTGAATATACACGTCATTTTTTTGGACGGACGAATATCACTCAAAAAAATTCTTACGTATAAGCTTTAGGACATTTATCACCGTTCAGTGTCACCGGTACCAAACAAAATAAAAAATTACTACGGTTTTTGACAACAGTAAGCCAAAATGAACAGAAACTTACTCTGAAGAGCTCTTTCAGGTCATAGAATTGACCGTGAATATCGCCACACACCTGCAAAAACAAAAACATTTATACATTTGGCCACTTTTAAAAGAGTGAGTAGATTTTTCGACAAACGAGGAGATACCGTGACAGGAGAGTCTACTCTCTGGACATTGCTTTCTTCAACCAGGATTTCTCTGAAAATACACCCACATTTTAGAAAATTGTGTTTTTACAGCTACTTTATAAACAAATACATCTGTCACACTGAACATCAAGCAATCATTGTATGCACGGGCAAGGATGATAACCACAACAGTGATTCATAACATTGTTCCAGGACTCTAGGAGGTGCTCTATCCGGTCGTTTACCATTTAACATTACAACAACATCTTCATCAGAAGTAACGTGATGGAGTACCTGGCTTTGGCACACAATGCTTTGACTTCATTTTCCTTGATGAGCTCACAGCGCCTGAGCTGCTCTATCTGTCGGTCCAGGTCACTGATGTCTCCCATTGTCACACACATAGAGAGAGCTAGTTACACACCGTCCACACACTCAGATGTATGCTCCTAGCCCACAGAGCAACCACGGAATAAAATAGAGGACTCCTTCCTTTACAGAGACGGCTGCTTTAATCTGGGTGGCTTTGGTAATGGTGATAATGATCTGTAAAGGAACAAAAACGTTTTAACAAACGGTCACACGTTACAGCAATTATGGTCGAATTCGCAGAGATAAACGTGGATTAACGTTTTATGTGGTTCTCCCTGACTAAGAAAGCGTTTATTAACACGGAACACTGAGAAACAGGACATTTTCTAGGAATGCGAGGCCTAGGGGTGTAGCTTAGCATGCTAGCTTACGTCACGGTAGACCACCCACTACACATTCTTTATTAACACAGGAATTCGTTCCACAGACCACATATAAACCTCCCAGTCCTTAGCGAACATTTATGTAACTGGGGACATGAAAAACGATCACCAAAACGCTGGAAAGTCTTCAACAACCGCGGGACCTGGTTAACTCCCGCGACAGCGCTACCTAGCTCCGTTTAGCTAGTTGTTAGCGAGTTAGCTAGCTCAACAAACGTAGTTACTCGTTCCACACGTCACCGCTAACCTAACAAAACCAAAATATTTACATTTACCGTGTTAGAGTGTGTTTGAAGACGGCAATCAATGTTTCATCCCGTGGGGCTGATGATTCTTTCGTTGACCGGCTCCTCTCCCTCCCCCGGTATCCTTTGCCGGTTTAGCTAGCTAGTCCTGCTCGCTGATCTCAACGCCAACGACCTGGTGTCACTTCCGGTGTTGTCGCCGGTTCCAGCCTCCAAACCGAACCACGCATCTAGACCAAACCAGTGTTAAAACATTCTAGGCATGGGGCTGACGCCACCAGGACCTGCATTTTTGTTCCTGTTCAGCCTCCAGCTGCTTCTTCACTCGACTTCTAGCGACAGGCGGAAGAAATGGGAGCGGTAGCATCTCCTGGTTTCAGACAACTCGATGAGTCCATGAGGTCAACGTTTGATGGGATGTCTGGTTTGTAATGTTTCTGGAAGTATGCACCAAGTTTCAGGTTCTTCACAAAAGATGTTTATTGTGTTCCTTCTCCAGCTGTACATCATTCTCTCATCAGCGCTCACCTCTACCCTTAAATAGATTATCTATCTATTTATTCAAAACTCAGGTTTTGAGTTTGTTCATGAACTGAAACGTTACATTTTTATAATTCTTTAATTCATAAATAATAATCATAATAATCTTTCAATTTAGATAATTTTTTAACATAAAACATCAATAACAAATACACAAAAATATACCGTAATTTCATGGAAAAAAAAGACCAGCAGGTGTTCACGATCTCTTCCAATAAACAACCAGGTTTTTTTTTTATATAATATTTTGTTTTTCAGGTTTTTAGTCAAGCCATATAAACAAACATACGTTTACGGCTGCCAGACCACACTGTAAACAGAAAGGTATATAAAACAGTTACTATTAAGCACATTTACAGATGATAGAGCAACATTATATTAGGTATGTTTCAGCACCAGTCATTAATCCAAACCATTTCACCAGCTAGATAACCTTGTAGTGGGTTAGGAAAGGTCTCCAGCCCTCCTCAAGCTTGCTGCGAGAGCCAGTCTTGTGTGAATGTAGCAATTCCAGTTGAATGACATGTAGCATCTCTGTGAGCCAATGTCCAAAAGAAGGTGGGGTTGTAGATTTCCATTTCAGAAGAATGAGTTTTTAAGCCACAACCATCCCTAACTGTAGAGCGGTCCCCATGTGCTGTGGCAGCCGAGGAGCCAGCGAAGGACATCCAAGAATTGCCAGTGTGGGGGTGGGCTGAATGTCACTACCATAAACATCTGAACAACATTTAAAGATTGCAGACCAGAATCTGCTCAATGAAGGACAGAACCAGAATAAATGTGCTAACGAACCTTCTGCTATATGGCATCTGTCACACTCGGTAGACGCAGATGGGAACATTTTGTTCAGTTTTATTTTAGAGTAATGCAGCCTGTGTAGAACCGTAAACTGGATCAATCTAAGGCGAGAGTTGACGGAACAGCGGGTAATCTGAGATAATGCTCCTTCCCAGAGTGCGTCAGACGCCTCACAGTTCAAGTCCACTGCCCAAGCCTCTCTATGAAAGTCTGAGGAAACTGTGGCAGCAAAGCAGCTAACAAACTTTGACACAATCCGCTTGGAGTTTGGAGGAAGCAAAAAATTCTTAATAAGGGTGTGTGTGGTGGAAGAGGGTTCAAGATTTGGGCACCATTCCCTAACACAGTGTCTGACTTGAAGGTAGCGAAAAAAAATGTAAATTAGGGAGATTATACTTTGAACTAATCTGCGAAAATGAATTGACCACCAATAAACAGATCCGCAAATGATCTGATGCCCCTCTCCTTCCAGGCCATGAATACTGCATCTTGCTGCCTGGCTGTGAATACATGGTTTTGGCGAATAGGAGTCTGTATTGAGACGATGGGAGCCTGAAAAGCGTTTTTAATCTGACAGGATTCGTAGAGAGTTCCTTAAAATAAAATTGTGTTGTAGTTTGTATATTTTTGTAGAACCTGAAAACAAAAGAGCTGGAAGTGAGGACTTTTTCACAGCAGCTGCTTCTAAGTGCAACCATGAGGGACCTTCTCTCATCCCCGCGGATCCACATTTCCAATAAGTGAGAGGCCTGGCATCAGCTGTCCAATAATAGTGCCTCAAAACTGGCAGGCCCAAGCCTCCGTTGCTAGCGGATATCTGTAGGTGAGCTTTGGCTATGCGGTGGGGTTTGTTGCCTCATATAAATGACAAAATTATTGAGTAAACTTTCTTAAAAAAGGACAAATTCAAATATATTGGTAAATTCTGGAACGGGTACAGAAATCTAGGTAGGCTGATCATTTTGATGGCATTCACCTTACCAATCATAGACAGTAAACAACCAGTTTTAACTGCATGAAGAACTGAAGCAGCCATAGCTCAGCATATATGAGTACACCCCACTACACTGTCAGAAAACCTTTAGTTTCTTTTCAGAGCCAACATTTTCTGTGAGGTACCAAACTACAAAATACTCCCACAAATGTGGGTCACTGATTGAAACAAGATTTGCACAAACAAAAAAGTGATTTTCCTTACAAATCTATTCAAGCCCATGTTACAAAACAGAGTGCACCCCAATTATAGTCTGAGGAGAAAAGCCACACTTAGGACTACATTCAACCACATGTGAGTCTAATGGTTCAGTTGAGAGGTGTCCAGCAGACAGGTGATTATAAAAGGGCATTACTTAACAAAGAAAAGCCCATTGCATTTCATACCGTCAGCAATGGTTCCACATAGAAGATAAATGTCACAAAATCTGAGAAAGGAAATTATTTCTTTACACAAAGATGGAAGTGCAACCAGCTTACAGAGACTTCCAGGCCGTCCACAGGAGTAAACATCTCGACAGGAGCATTTTCTGATGAGGAAAGTCTGGGAAAATCACAATGCAAGTTCACTGCAGTTAGCTAAAGCTGTAGAAAGCCAAACTGAGTGATTGTTTCCTGTGACACCGTACGGCGCACACTTCAGAGGAATGGCATGCACGGGTATCGTCTATGGAGGAAGCCTCTCCTAAAGCCCACGCACAATAAAGCACACCTAGGATTTGCCAGGGCCCATGCTGGAGGAGACGAAGACTACTGGGACTCTAGACTCTGGAGTGATGAGACAAAGATCACTGTTTTTGGAACTAATGGTTACAAAACTGTATGGCGTTGTAAAGGTGAGGATTTCAAAGAGCTTCAGACAGCAGGATCTGGAATCTTATTTCCTGATATTTGGACATCTCTCCTCTGATTGGCTAACAGCAACACGGCTCTACCACTGACAATGTTTGCTCCGCAACGTTGACGTTTTATCTCCACCAATAACACAAGCCTGGAGGAGTTCTGCTGTGTGGTGAAGGTGCTAATGTTAGGAAGTAGCTTTTACTAGCAGAGACGTTCTTTGCTGTCTCATGGATGCTAAACCAACAGCAGCCTTCCCTGTTTTGAGTCAAGATGGGTGAGTTCATGAATGTTAGTGACGTAGATCTGTCAGGCTTTTCTAATCCTAGAGTTTCACCGTCTGTTTTCTATCAGAAGCTAATGCAGGAGATAGGTGTAGGAGACTATTTTCATGTTGCGTCTGCATGAAAAACTCAGAGTGACCCGTTAGAACCTGAAACAGTCATTAAAATTTTTTTTCAGTGAGCCACACCTTTAAAAATAGGAAAGCACCTAAAACTCAAATCCAGGGCAAAGTTAAAAGTTTCAGTCTGAAGATGCATCAAGTCAAACGGTGTTGGAACATGACAGACGTAATGGCTCTTGGTTTGCATCAGATAACCTATCTACAGCAGGTCATGTGTGCATTTCCTCACACATCACTGGTGTTCCTGTGAAACTGGTCAGCGCTACAACACACAAAATGTTCAATATGAGAACACAAAAAGGTTAAAATGTTCAAAAGCCCTCAGATTGGACGTTTTGGTGCGATGATACCGTGTCAGAGGGCAACACGTTTATGTGAAGGTGTTAAAAATGTACAAATCTAAAAAAGTAGAAAAACTTTACAAAGATAAATCTATTAGAACTAAATGCACACCCCTTTAGACCAGTTCCTGAACCTAAACGTTTAGGAACGAAGCACAGGAGCTCATCAGCTATAGCCTTTTCTCATGGAAGCCATCAGTGATGATGCAGAAGTAAATCAGTTTTCTTCAGATTAAATAAGTCACTTCTGAGCTGAGACACAGCCACATCTTGCTCATTCGTTCTGCTGATCCGAGTGTGGGTTAGATCATAGAGAACAGAAGTAATTGTGGACAGGAAAAGCAGCAATTCCGGCCAAAGCGATGCCCAGACTGTCTCCCACACTGGCTGTTGCCATGGCGAACTCTCTGTATCGGTCTTCATTCTGCAGGAGCAAATATCTCCATCAGGATGGACACACATAGACAGCTGATCGTTTATAAAAACAGGTTTGAATGTAACAAAAAACTCAAAGTAGGTAAGAGCTTATTGCTTATTACAGCCACACCAGAAGGCTCTGTGGTAAAAATACTTAGGTTGTATCAACCAACCCCAACCCCATCAAAGATGAGCTCAGTTCACTCCCAGATCTCATACTTTCATTTAATCTACAAACGACTCTTGAAAAGATGAGAGTAAAACATGAGGCAACTAGCTCCGGATCATTTAAACACAAACCAGACAAAAGACACTTTTACCTCCTCACTGATGAAGTGGAAGGTGTTGACATATGCAGCTCCACCCAGCAGACCCTCAAAGAAAATAATACAAAACACGAGCCAGACAGAGGGCAGGAACTGGAACCGAACAGCGAACAGGAGGAAAACCGCATTCACACACTGTGGAGGGCAGAGATGAGCGGGACAAAACAAGACCAGGGGCCTCATTTATTACATTTGGGACAGAATCCGTACTAAAAGTCTAATCATGCTCAGCCAAAAAAGCCTGACTATGCAAGAAGTCATCTGATTTTTGAAACACTGCATAAGTAGAGCTGCACGCTGCTCCCACTTCATAAATCCACCCGTCCTAGAAATGTACACGGGTGAGAGAGACAACACTTCTCTACTGGTAAAAACTAGTCTATATTATTATTATTATGTTATTTTACATTTGTCTAATAAAATTCATTCATTTTTATTTTTTTCAGGCAATGGCACAGTCTATTAAACAAGGTAACGAATGGTTAAATCATATAAGTCATTTAGTGCAAAGGTATTTACATAAAATGCCATGCAATTCTGTCTGAAAATGAATGGGAAGAAGGAAACTTATATAATCCCACCCCAGATCCTCATTCAGAGAGTAAACCTCGAGCTTCATTGTTGATTATTCAATCATTCTTTTCCTGTATAAAAAAGTGATGGTGTAACCACAGGCAATCGTAAAGTTTTTACAATTTAACAACAAATTATACCAACAATGGTAAAAGAAAAATATCAACATGGAACGTTTATGCGATAAGACAGAGTAAATCGACAATAAATTACATCAGAGTCGGCTCTACTGAGGGTCCTAAATGATATCTATCTATCACTAGATCAGGGTACATCTGTGGTGCTTCTGTTGTTGGATCTGACGGCAGCCTTTGACACAGTTGACCACGCAATTCTACTCGATCGCTTGGAACGATGGGTTGGGATCAAAGGGTCAGCTCTGGATTGGTTTAGATTGAATCTCCACAACAGGACATTCTGCGTTAAACTGGGTGATGTTTTTTCTTCTTGGGAGGGGCTCCGCTGGGGGTCCCGCAGGGATCGATCCATGGTCCTCTTTTGTTTGCCATTCATCTGCTTCCTCTGGGGTCAATCTTTCATAAACATGGCCTATCGTTCCATCTCTATGCTGACGATTGCCAGATTTACTCTCCATTGTGTCAGGAGAAAGGTCACTCTGTCCAGTCCTTTGTGTCCTGTATTAACGAGGTGAAGTCTTGGCTAATGGCCAACGTTCTGCATCGGAATGAGGGAAAGACAGAGCTCATTGTTTTTCACCCAACAGCAGGGCTGTGGGTCGTTATGTTGATCTTGGCCCTCTTTCTCCGTACTCAAAACCAGTTGTCACCAGTTTGGGGGTGAAAATTGATGCTGGACTTAAGTTTGATGCTCACATCAACTCAGTGATCCGGTCTAGTTTCTTTCACCTGAAACGCCTTGCTAATTTCAAGCCTATGCTGTCAAGGGCCCACCTGGAGCGGGTACTGCATGCCTTTGTTATTTCTAGGCTTGATTACTGCAACTCTCTCTATGCAGGGCTGTGTCAGTCATCACTGCGCCACCAACAGGTTGTGCAGAACAGCGCAGCCAGGTTCCTGACTTTGACCAGGAAACGGGGCCACATCAGTCCGGTTCTAGCTCCCTGCACTGGCTTCCGGTTTGTTATCGTTCACACTTTAAACTCCTCGTCTTTGTTTATAATTTCTTCCAGGGTGGTGGTCCCCCCTATCTAGCCACACTCCTGAACAAACATTCCCCATCACTCGCTCTGCGCTCCTCTGACCAAGGCCTGCTCGCTGTCCCTCGTTCTATTTGTCGTACTCGCGGGGACCGGGCTTTCTCAGTCCTAGCACCGTCACTCTAGCCTGGCAAGCCACGGGCCATTCCCATCTGTACCGGGTCGGCCTGGGCCGGGTAGCCCCAGTTGGCCCCAGCCTGGCCCGGTTGATTCCACACATCCTTGCCTTAAGCCCATGTGGGCTGATTCTACTCACCAATCAGAGGCTTGCTCTAATGGAAGGTGTGAATTTGCTGTCAGCAGTGGGTGTGTTGGCCCTGGTCGGCCTGAAGCAGACCCCCTCGAGAAGAGGGCTGAGAATGAGCCTTGGTTGGCCCGGAAAAATACCAGGCCACCCAGATATGTAAACAACCTACGCTGTCCGGCCCAGGCCGACCCGGTACAGATGGGAATGGCCCATAAAAGCAAGAATTTGGTCTAGTTCACTAGGCTACCGTCAATCTGGAACCAGTTGCCAACCTCAGTTAAGCTGTCCCCATCTCTGCCAGTCTTTAAGAGTCGCCTAAAAACCCACCTCCTCAGCTTGGCGTTTCCTGAAAGTGTTTGACTTTGGCCCTCTTTTATGTTGATTTTATTTCCCTGTTTTCATTGGTTCACTCTATCCCTTGTTTTACCCTTTTGTCTTCTACTAGAATGTTTTACCTTTTTTGTAATTTGAATTGCTTTTATTTTCGATTCATTCACCATATTTAACTTTCTCATGTACCATGTTCAGCGCCTTGGGCTTCCCGACAGGGTTGCGGAAGGTGCTTTATAAATAAAGCTTTGATTGACTGATTGATTGATTAGGGATTCTCATCTCCATACTTTGTCCAGACCTTATTTATACAACAGTTTAACTCAATTCATAGTTTGGCATTGCTTGTGTTGTAAGTCCAGTTTGTTCCACTCCGCCCGCCCGCCTGCCCGCCCGCCCGCCTGCCTGCCTGCCTGCCTACCATCCATCCATCCATCCATCCATCCATCCATCCATCCATCCATCCATCCATCCATCCATCCATCCATCCATCCACTTTTTTACTTTACTTACGTCCTTGTTTACTGTGTTTACAAGCTCATCATAATCATCACTACGATAGAGTATAGTTGTGTCATCTGCAAATAGTATGAGTTTCAGTTCTTTAGATGTATTAAAAGCATCATTCATATGTATATTCAATAGTTTTGGCCCCAACACTGACCCCTGGGGGACACCACATGTAATGCCTATAGTGTCTGATTAATACTGACCCATGTTTACAAACTGTACTCTCCCTGTTAAATAACTTTTGATTCAGTCCCCAGCCAGCCCCCTAATTCCGTATCTTTCCATCTTATTTAATAGGATTGAATGATTAATAGTATCAAAACCTTTCTTTAGATCGACAAAAACACCAACTGCATACTCCTTTTGCTCAAGTGCATCTGTAATTTCTTCTATAGTTTCAGTTATTGCAATTGTTGTTGTTCGTTTAGACCTAAATCCGTACTGACCTTCACTGATTATTGTATGCTTCTCAAGAAACTTTTCAAGTCGGGAATTGAAAAGCTTCTCTAGAATTTTAGAAAATTGAGGCATGGTCTGTAATTAGTAAATGCATGTTTGCTTTCATTTTTAACAATGGAATTACTTTAGCGATTTTCATTTTACTAGGAAACAGCTGGTTTGGAATGACAAGTTAAAGATGTAAGTTAATGGTTTTACAATATTCAAAATAACTTTTTTAACCAGTGTCATTTTGATGTCATGACAGTCAGTGGATGACTTACTTTAACACTTTTGTACAACATGTATAACTTCCTTTTCATTTATTGCTGATAGGAAAAATGACCAAGAAAGCTGTTCAATAGTTGATTCTATGACTCCGTTATCTTGAATATCAGCAGCCAGCTTAGAGCCAGCATTTGGAAAATAAATGTTGAACTTGTTTACGACATTTCTCATATTATAATCTTCTCCTTTTTCATCAATAAAGTGATCAGGATATGACAACTTGGAAGATCCTTGTTTAATTAGCCTATTTAAAGTATCCCAAGTTCCTTATTAAATGATTTTAATGATGACATTAGCCTACAAAAAGACGAAACTTTGAGGTTGTTTTATTCCGGATGTGTCAACCATTATAAAGCCTCTCTGCATCACACAAACCTAAATCCAGGTGTGGTGATTGGAGGCGGAGCCTCTGTAGAAGTACCAAACCGTTTCACTTTCAGCTGAATTGGTCAGGATTTGTTTCTCACCTGCAGCAAAGAGAAACCCCACAGCTTCCTGATCTGAAAGCAGCACAGGGAGGATCGAGACACGAGCACACCCAACTGGTACAGCGTCTGGTACCTGCGAACGCACACACACCCAACAGGTAAGACGTTCACACAGTCTGAATGCAGACATAACGTGGTTCTGCTTAACTAACCAGCGGTACTGGTCTGCATGGGACAGAACTATGTTGTGAAAGAACAGGAGCTCCATCTGAAAAATAAAACAAATGACAGAATATTTGCTTGAAGGTGGAATGGGAGTTTTTTCTTACCATTCAAGTGAGCTACTTTTAGAATATACATAATTCAAAAGGAGCAACCCCCTTTCCGCCAAGCCATGCCTCTAGAATACAGTAACATGCAATGATTGGTCAGAGAGCAGTTTGATGGATGGGTTATGACCCAATCATTTAGAACGAGACGTTTACAATGACTGGATGAGGGTTTTCCAGGATTGTACGCTTCAGAGGTGATTAAAAGATTGAACTGGTGTGAGTCTCTAAACACTTACCAAACCTTGGTTGATGAAGTACTCTGCAAAGTAGACGACTGCCAGAGGCCACACAAACTTCCACAAGCCCTGCTCACAGAGATCATGTGCAATAATCCAGAAAAGGAAATCAGAAATCCAGAAAAGGACACTGCTTAGTCAATCACCTGACCTGAATGACATTAAATTAATCTCCGAGAACAAAGTAAGGAATCTTGGTGTTATCTTTGACCAGGACATGTCATTCAAATCCCAGGTTAATCAGGTTTGTAGGATTTCCTTTTTCCACCTTCGGAATATTCCTAAGATTAGAAGCATCCTTTCCAGGAGTGATGCTGAAAAACTAGTTCATGCATTTATTACATCAAGACTGGATTACTGTAATTCATTACTCTCAGGAAGTCCACAGAATGTAGTTTAAAGTCTTCAGCTTGTCCAACATGCTACAGCTAGAGTTCTGATGAGAATTAAAAAGAGAGATCATATCTCTCCTGTCTTAGCTTCCCTACATTGGCTACCTGTTAAATTCAGAATAGATTTTAAGATCCTTCTTCTCACATATAAAGCTCTTAATAATCAAGCTCCATCATACATCAGTGATCTGATTGTTCCATACGTTCCTAACCGAGCACTTCGCTCTCAGACTGCAGGTCTACTGGTGGTTCCTAGAATATCTAAAAATAGGATGGGAGGCAGATCTTTTAGCTATCAGGCTCCTCTCTCGTGAAACCAGCTCCCAGCCTTAGTCCGTGAGGCAGACACTTTGTCTACTTTTAAGAATAGGCTTAAAACATTTTTATTTGATAGGGCCCATGGTTAAAATATGATGTTAGCCTAAATCTGGACAAATCGGGGAGTAGAGGGAGGTGGAGTGTACAGTTGGTAAAGACGGCTCTCCCTTGCCCTGCCTCCAACATGCCTCCATCTAAATAGGATAGATTATCCTGAGTTATCTCTGTAGTTATGCTGCTATAGGCTTAGACTGCTGGAGGATACACTGACCACTTTCCACACTCTACTTTCTTCTACAATCTGCTCTTTAACTGTATTATTTCCTGCTATTTCAGCTGTTAACTTTATTTTTTCTCTAAGTGTTTTTCTCCCCAGAAGAAGCTACAACAATGTTCTGCTGAGCTGTGGAGGCCTCATGGATGGGGCTATTGTCTAGCACACTGCTGCTAACCACTTAAACATTCTCCCTCTCCTGATAATAACTTTTTGCTTTCCTTGACGTTGGATGTGCTACTGCTAGTTTACCCGTTTAATTATAGATTCAGTCAACGGGCAATCAGGCGGGGTACACCCTGGACAGAGAGCCAGTCCATCGCAGGGCAACACAGAGACACACAGGACAAGCAATCATGCACACACACACTCACTCACACCTAAGGACAATTTAGACAGCCCAATTAATCTAACAGTCATGTTTTTGGACTGTGGGTGGAAGCCGGAGTACCCGGAGAGAACCACACATACACAGGGAGAACATGCAAACTCCATGCAGAAAGATCCCAGGCCGGGAAGCGAACCCAGGACCTTCTCGCTACAAGGCAACAGCTCTAACCACTGCACAGCCCACAATAAAGTTTATCTCTCGCCAAATAGAATATTTACTAAGCAATCACAATGTAACCATAGAAACATTGCTTTGTGTGTGTGTGTGTGTGTGTGTGTGTGTGTGTGCTCTGTCTTCTCGATCCCCAGTGAGTTGTGGTGAATGGCTGTTTATACTGAGCCCAAGGGCGTCAGTTTGTTTTCAGAATTGCTGGGGACAATAACCATACACTTGGGTGGGGTTTAAACATTGCTGGGGACAATAAAGTAGGCTAGCACAGGGGTCGGCGGCTCTGGAGCCGCATGCGGCTCTTCCATCCATCTGATGCGGCTCTGTGTTTGTAAAATAATGAATGGATATTTAAATAAAATGCTTTATATTTTACTGCATTAATTTTACACCTGTATGCCAATTCTAAATGTAAAGATTGTCTGCGTAAACCTGAACAGTTCCAACCCGGTCTTACTGTGAGACCGGGTTGACGCGTCACGCTTGTGCGTAATCATAGGCGCTTTATGAGCTGAAGACGATGTGAGATTCTGGGATTCTCCTCAGACGGCTCCTGGATGTGTCGCCACATTGGAGACGGGAACAAGCACTATTCAGCCAAAGTTTCATCATCAGGGAACATTTTCTAAGTGACAAGTCTCTCTGAGAGACCGGGTTTGGAAAACACTCGCTTCAGTGGGAGGAACCTTTCCACATGCGCTCTGGGTGGCTCTGGGGTTAATCAAGTTTAATTGTTTCTCTTTGCAACAATCTTCACAAGAAGGCAAAACAGTTAAACGGCAGGTTACAGATATTTCCATTTGACTGTTTATTTTGACAGATGAACTCAAGGATGTTGCTTGGTTTGAAAGAATTACCCCGACGCACACGGATGCTCATGGATGAGCTGACATTTTAATCGTTAACGCACTTCGCGGAGGTAAAATATTCCCATCAGAACATCAGAGCTTTATACTGGACACTGTGTTCAGCGTGGCTCGGAGCGCCCACGGTGGACAGTGAGCTGAAGATCTGTAGAGGGGTTCGCAGCGCAGAACCATGGTGCATGCAATGATTTCCTCCCACTGAAGCGGTCTGGAAACCCGGTCTCTCTGAGGGATGTGTCACTTGGAAAAATGTTCTTTTTATGAAATTATGAAACTGGCTGAACAGCGCTTGTTCCCGTCTCTAATATAGAGACGCATGACGCGTAGAGACATTTGATCACGCACAAAGTTTATGTGGAGCAGAAGCGGTCGGGCCACGGCAGGTGAAACGTTCCTAGCCTACATGAAGGGAAACTGTTTAATTGTAACATTAATACGTTACTGGACACACTGGTCTGGTTGGTTAGACCAGTGTTTGAAGTGGAAAACACACACAAACACACACACACACACACACCAATTAAAATATATGCTGATAGCATGGACTAGAAGACAGGTGATAGTTTACGTATTTAAATGATGATCAGGCTGCTGTAAAATATAATCTCCATCCACATCCAGACAGAATTATCCTCTATTCTGTCTCTATTTGCTCTGCTCTTGTCTGGGCTGACGTAGCTGATGGTGCGCGCGGCGCGCCTAACTAGCGGCTGATGCACATTTTACGCATTTGGAGAGGTGGGCTGGATGCTGTGCGTTTACTGGAAGATGGTCCACTTAACGCACGGGTGTAGACTACATATTAATGACAAATGAATGAAAATTAAATTGTGAGTTTTTACTTCATATTTTATAAATAAAAAGGACGGGGGAACACATTTATGACGTCTTTTTAAACTAAATTTTCTAGCGCGACCTGCCTGCTTCACTTAAGTCACTGCTTATTAAGGTCCGTCCAAAATTACCGTGGGAAACGAGTAATAATGGCTCTTTGATGGGAATAGGTTGCCGACCCCTGGTATAAGATCTGAGCTGGTAAAACAAAAATCCTCATCAGCAGGTGTTTTTGAAAGTGGGGGGGACACAGCTGCCAATCACAAATTTTGCCGGGGACATGTCCCCGGCGTCCCCGGTTAAAATGACGCCTATGACTGAGCCAGGATTCTCTGGAGGTTTCTTCCTGTTAAAATGGAGTTTTCCTCTCCACTGTTGTTATATGCTTGCTTAGTATGAGGATTGCATCAAGTCACTGACATAAACATAAACATAACACTCTGGGTAAATATAATTTGTGGATGAGGAACACACGCGGATGACTGAGACCTTCAGTACTGCTGTTCCGCCGCTCTCACACTAGACGCTGTTCCTACGCACGGTCAGAGCTGCTCTTATATTTAGGAACATGTTCACGCATGAGTACGAACTGGTAAATACCACACAATGTGTAAAGCCGAGGCTGCGCACGAAATACACACAGATCTGTCCATAGATACGGTGGATAAATGAGGCCCCTGCAGAATAAAGTCATGTGAATAAAAACCGCTCACCTTGATGACGTAACACTTCTCCTTCCAGGTAAGGGGTCCCATGGTTCTCTGCTCTGTAACGTTCCACAGGGAGAACACACAGCCTCAGCGTTTGTTCAGTAGCAACACAGAGAATACGTGTGAACTCCAAATGCATCCTTGAGAGCGTTGCTCATTGTTCCACACCAGCTACATTTAAATAATTAAGATGTCGAACAGCTTTTGTCAATATATAACATATGACTCAATGACGGAGGTTTTAGAGGGTCGTGTGTCGCTGTAGCCTAGCCAAGCAGCAGGAAATTACATCTGGATTAGCTGTGATAAAATAAATCACTATTAAAAACGATAAAAGTTAAGAGACAGACAGGAAAGAGGGGTCAAGTTGCATCGAGGGGGCAACTGCTCATTATTTTGTAATTGTAGTCCTTTTTCACCTGTTCATGTTCATACTGATTATGGACTAAGGGAATATTCGAGAAGTACTTTAACATCATTGACAGTTTCGCAGCACGTCCACCGAGTGTCACTATCAGGCTGCTGCTGTAAGCCCGACCTTTGACACACAAGGCCCCTTTTCCACGTGACGCATTTAACGACTACACCAAAGGTCTCTGGGGTTCCGCCTTTAGGTAAAACACTGATTCCCGTGGAAGCTGTTTGTGTGAAGTCTAACCTCATGTTAACACACACCTGTCTGCTTTACATCAGTAAACCTCTACACAGCACCTGGATCACCATCACACGTCTATTCTGATGAAGCTGATCGTCTGAACTTTACGTGAACTAAATACCTGCAGGTTCCCTCGTGTGTTTCACCAGGATAATCATTCATATATAAACCTAGCTCTCGGGAGTTGGATGCTGTCACCAGTGACCTGCCTCTGATGTGAACTCTACGCTGCCAGGACATGACCTCGACGTCCTGTTTACTCAAAACCCACCTCTTCACACAAGCTTTTACCACATAGTTTTAAACACATTGTTTTTAAATTTTAGTGTTTTTACATATTTCTGTACTGTGTTTATCTTATTTTATTTATTTATTTTTCCCCATTGTTGTAAAGTGTCCTTAAAGGCGCTGCTAAATAAAATGTATTATTGTTATTATTATTATTATTATTATTATGTCCTAGCTATCAGGTCCTGTTTGACTGTCAGATGTAAGATTTAATATAAAAGATACGACTAAAATTAAACACCTTAACGAGATTAATTAATCACACACACACGCACACACACACGCACACACACACACGTTTTTTTATCTCTTTATCATTAAAATTAGGGCCAAATAGTTATATCTCCTAGTGAAACACTGACACCGTTGACTGTATGATCAGTGCAACACTTGCAGTGATGAAGTTAATGACGATGCACAAACTGAACCAGCACTAGGGTGTGACATCTACCTGGTGTTGAGACCTCCTGCTCATCTTCTGACTCATCCATGAGCCACTGCCTGTCCTCTGAGTCCACAGGTGCATATTCAGTCTCCACCTGCCTCCACTGAGGAAATGAAGGTGGATAAACCAGTAGCCCGAAATAGCTGGTTGGAATGAAATCCACACAGTCAGTATTGGTACTGATATGTTATTGTTGTTCAACAATGGATTCTTTTATTTTATTATTTAAATGAACTGTAATGGCTGCTTAGTGAATATTTCAAATGAATCTTACTTTGTTCCTAAACCTTTATATTTTTGTTAAATCTAAAATTGAGTTGGCGTCAGACTAAGGCTCTTAAGGATTTCGTTCAAGTTTAATCTCAAATTAGGAAAACCTACTTTCTAAAGAATGATGAGATTGAGTTGAATATGCCTTCAGCTGATACAAGTCTTGATTTTCCACTTCTCTTATGAGATTTCTCACCTTGCTGAAGCAGTTTAAGTTCTTCATTTATAATTCTTAAGAGATTCATAATAACAGCTTGTGGGCAAAACAGGATGGAAAATGTAACCATCATGAAACTAATCTGATTTCTACAGCTGGGTTTTCCTGTTTTACCTGGATGTGATGGTTTGGGATGAGTCCTATTATCCTGCAAACCTAACCATGTCTGCGGCCTTTGAAGACTGACTCATAGAAATATGTCCTCTGATGACCAAGTCAAGCCCTGGCAGGGAACACATTATTAATTTATGTCACTCATCATAACACTCCTTTGTCCCTGTTCATAGTCCTGGGTTGAACAGGGACGAAGAAGTATACATGCTGGGCCATTCATGGGATTTGGTGATCAATGGAGAAGGTGCAGGCAGTAGAGGGCAGTATTGTCCTCTGCTGACCACAGATAAACAGAAGTGATGAAACAAGCTATTTGCTCTGTGTATGATGACGAAGCACAACAAATGAAAATGGACAGAAAACAAAGAATGAACATAGCAGAGGGTTATAATTAGTCCTAAAAAGGTCTTTAAATTTACATGTAATCCAAATGCCTAAATGCTTAAATTTACCTGGATCCTTTTTAAATTGAATGGGACAAGTGAACTGTCCCTCCAGAAGAGTTATAGGCATCATTTCACTCATCTGAATGTTAATCTTATAACCAGACACTTGACTAAATGCATCAAGAAGAGTCAACAGCTTTGGGATACTAGAAGGAGGATTTCATATTTTATATATATATATATATATATATATATATATATATATATATATATATATATATATATATATATATATATATATATGTGTATATATATATATATATATATATATATATATATATATATATATATATATGTATATATATATATATATATATATATATATATATATATATATATATATATATAAGCATATCATCAGCATAAAGAGAGACTTTGGGGAAAATGGCAAAAGACTAAATTTTACTTTGGAATGGAATATCGCTTTAAGTGCAACTATCATTCATCATCATTCACATGTTGTTCTTTCATCACGTTCCTAGTTTTAGGAAGCATTTGGAGTAAAAATCGGATAATTCTGAGTAATAAATAGTTTCCTGAGAAATTCTATTAGTCCTGAGAAGGAAACCAGGATGTTGTGAACAGGCAGAGCCTGGGGTGACGTGGTGTCTGTAGTAGTGGTGCTTGGTAAATCACCTGTTGGTGCACCTGGTGGAGGTTTTGTCTTTTAGTGAGCCGGTAATGGTGGAAGTCAACTTTTGCTGACCGCTTAAACTTGGAACCCCCCTTTTCTTTATGAACGACACTTTCTTATGGATTACGGTTTTAACTCATGGATCTCCTAGTTTTGCTATTATGGGACTTGCGATTGCTGAACCTTTTACGTGGATTAAAAAGAATCTTTGATTATTATTAAAGGACCTTAAAACTGAAACCTTGGACTTGAATCAATCAGCGGACGCATCAACAAATTCCCCTGATCAGCTGCTCGGCGATGCAAGGATTAGACAGTCACTAATAACAATCATATTTTGAATTCTTCCTAAGTAAGACCTACTCACACAGGAAACATGTCTGCTTTATCCTTTCATGCTATTTCCACACTTACCTAAGCAGCATAGCAACTGGAAACAAGAGCATGATGAGAAGTGTGACCTGAGGTGAAAGGCCAACTTGGATGAGGCCTGAGTAGAATAAAGCACCAACAAGACCAGCTGCACCAGTGCCTGAGCCCCAGCCTTGGAGTACTTTCCTGATGCAGATGGGAAACCAGTGTTAGAGACACACACCCACACCCAGACTCCTCTCTAGAAAGAACCCCTTCTCTCCTAACACCTCCCACATGTCTATACTTGCTCCACTGTTACTCGCATTTTAATAAATTCAAACCTAAAGGCCTCGTCTGTGTCTCTCCCTCCTTGCCCTGCAGTCTGATTGTTGTTCCTCATTTCTAAAGTCATGCTAAATAACTAAATTTTGCATGCCAGAATAGAGCAGACCTTAAATAAAATCAATATGGGAGTGAGGGGGACAGTTACCTGCTGAAGAAGACACTGAGAGAGAGAAAGGACAATTCTCCTAGTCCAGCGCTCAAACTGGCAAACACCACTCCTACAACAACAGACAGTGTGTTGTAAATAAAGAGAAATTGGTCAGGGTACAGCTTCAGGTGTCCCAGCTGAAGGACAAATACTGGATAAACTTATTTCAGCATTGCCCTTCAGTAAATGTGTCTATAATAATATATATGAGAGAAAATACAGTCAACAATGGGATTGCAGAGATAGACCCTATAACTGGTCTGAGGCTAATCAGGAAGAGCTGCAGAAGTGATCTGCTTATAAAATGACCAACAGCAGCCTCCATTCTCTTGACCTGCAGAACCAGAACCAGAGCAAAGAACACTAATGGTGTACCCCACCAACACTCCACGCATATCTCCCTCCAGGAAACAAATCCAGCATCCTCAAAGCCCAGACAACACGGCTTCGGTCTTCAGACTGTGAGGCTCGTGACCTCTGAACCCTAATCTGTCCTCCTCATTTGGTTCATCTCATTTTACATGTCTGTGTTATTTATTTACACAGAGGACCCCATTTTGTTTCTAACATGATGTTAAAGGACGATCCAATGAATCAGACTCCTGTAGGGTGTTGAGGCGCTGCTATCACTAACATCATTATAAAAGGAGGATGCGTGTATATTCTTTTAATCGGAGATCAAACTGAAACATGGCTGTGTCTCTTCCTGTGATCGACCACAGCAGTTAACAGAGGAAACGAAACTCAAACAGAAGGTTTCCATCATGTGGCATCTTATCCTAAATATGTTGACTTCCAGTTGTGATAACAAATAGAATATCTAATAACGGTTGGTTTTACCAAAGATACTTATCCACACAGCTGAGGAGAAGGACACAAGCAGGAAGCTTGTTAGTGCCATGATGACACAGAACAAGACTCGGAAACTAGAAGTAAAAAACAAAAATTCTGTTACGAGAATTTGACACATAAACCCCACTGAATGCATTTAAGCTGCCTCGGTAGCAGAACCTTAACCCTAGCCCTAGCCTCCAGTGGAAAGGTTAAACAAGAATAAACACAAAAAGGACGTTTAAATTAACTCCAGCAAGAAAACACAACCTTTAACCAAGGGCACAGTTACATTCCTCATACACACTTCACTCTTTAAGGATGAAGAAGAGATGAATTTAGTGTTTTCTTACCCATAAGGCAGTTTGTGGATCACAAGTGGAGCAAGAAGTTTGATGAAGAGGGTTGGGAGGATGTCAGCTAACAGCACAGCCTGCAAAGAGAAGATCACTTTTATTGAAAGGATAAGCATTCTAATGCTGACCGCTGTTTGTTTGTCAGCAGGGTGTAGCAATTAATGCATATCTATTATGACCAATAAGATGCGATGATTCCATACAAATATGAAATATCAAACTGATTGATCTTTGAATGTTTAATCAGAAGATTCTAGGGTTCTTTACTTCTTCAGGGACCATAAACACACTTCGTATTAATTCAGACAGAAACAAGTATATAGTTTATAAAATGAATTTAATTCTTTTTCCTAAACTAATAATTTATACATAACATAATGAGACAATAATGAGAGGTGATGTGATGCATGTGAGGTGCTGTGAGGGAAGCTAGATTTTGTAGCAACCGTTCTTTGTATCTGAGAGAAATTGTGAAATCTGGGTGGGAAAAAATGTGTTGTTTGGTTCTAAACTAGAGAGTTGTTTATTAAAAACAGCATCAGACGCAATCTGTCATGCCAAGTCTATGCACCCTTGGTGTGGAGGTTCTCGTTCGATCGGGGGGTCGACGGTCACTGCCGGTGGAGGGAACTCTGATATCAGGAACCCGTAGACAGCTCCGATAAGACCCGTCCAGTCCGAGATCCCCCAAGGTGAAGGCCGAAAGCTGGAATGCTTATTTGTGTCTAAGGTTGATGTTTGTTTGGCTCTTAGAGAGCCGGTTGTCTGGTATCAGCCGCAGCGTTGCAGAGAGGCTTTGACTTAAGGTCTAAGGAGATCGTTACAAAAGAGGCTTCTTTCCCGATTTGGCCAAATCGGGGTTCAGCTGGAAACGGAATTAATCGGGAAGTAAATCCTGTTTTATTAAACTGCTTTGCCATGATTTCCAGCCGTTCTGGCAAATCAGAATGTGCCATTTCTGGAAGGCTTTACCAAAACACTCCTCAGAAAGCCACTCCTTCCTTCAGATACAAGATTCTTATTACTGTGAATAAAAATGGCTTAAAACACTTATGTGAGGTGAACCTTAACCTTAATTTGTATCTTATGAAGATGTGCGAGTGTAGATAATGATCAACTTGTTAAATCAAACGCATACTGATTTGTGATATAAATGGATCATTGTAAGAACAATATTCATTTCAAATTCATTGATCTAAGCACAGATTATTCAAACATTTGATTTAGACATCTTGTTCATTTATCACATATTATTATATAACTTATAAGTTGTAAAGCCTTGTAGGATTCGTGTGGATTCACTTTTATTCAGAGTGATGTAACGCCCAGCAATGGTCAGTTTTTAAGTACAGTTTGACCCTTCAATATCTGGTCAAAATGGAGACACAAGACTGCATGTGTTCCCTTTAATCTGCCTGCATTCATCCCCTCAGCTGGAGCTCAGAGCCTCTCTGCAGCTCTGAACACATGATAACGTGTTGTCAACACTGATGTTCCCTACTCAAGGCTCAAGCTTCCCTTGCAGGATTCTTCATGCCTCTGAATAAGGAACACTTGCAGCTCAGATTAGTTGCTAAATCAAAGAATGATTTCTTAAATATAATGTGAACTTTTAAAACTTATAAGTTAAATAATCATTAAATAAACGTTTGTCTACTGTCACTTAAATTAATTATAATATAATGAAATACTTTCATTAATCTGTGCTTGAGTGGCTGAAGTTTGAAATGAATGTTATGTTATTATTACATTGATCAGTAATGTTGATATGACAAGGCCATCACCATTTACTCACACAAGAACAAGGTAAAGTCAAACGCCCCAGATCAGAGCATCCAGCATCAAAGAAGGCATGTTTTCTGAGGTTGTCTTGGTAATATTCCTCAAAATGTCAACCTCTGGTTGGCTACACAAATCATAACATGAGAATATTAAAGCAGGATCCCTCTGGTGGTTCAGCAGTTCGTCCCAGTTCGTTCCTTCGAGTTGGAGTTCCCGTTCGAGTTCCAGCGTGTAACACCCGTAGGAACGACTTAGTAGTGTAACACCCGTAGGAACGACTTAGTAGTGTAACACCCGTAGGAACAACTCAGTAGTGTAACACCCGTAGGAACAACTCAGTAGTGTAACACCCGTAGGAACAACTCAGTAGTGTAACACCCGTAGGAACGACTTAGTAGTGTAACACCCGTAGGAACAACTCAGTAGTGTAACACCCGTAGGAACAACTCAGTAGTGTAACACCCATAGGAACAACTTAGTAGTGTAACACCCGTAGGAACGACTTAGTAGTGTAACACCCGTAGGAACAACTTAGTAGTGTAACACCCGTAGGAACAACTCAGTAGTGCAACACCTGTAGGAACAACTTAGTAGCGTAACACCTGTAGGAACGATTCAGTAGTGTAACACCAATAGGAATGACATAGTAGTGTAACACCCGTAGGAACAACTCAGTAGTGCAACACCCGTAGGAACAACTTAGTAGCGTAACACCTGTAGGAACGATTCAGTAGTGTAACACCAATAGGAATGACATAGTAGTGTAACACCCGTAGGAATGACTTAGTAGCGTAACACCCGTAGGAACAACTTAGTAGCGTAACACCCGTAGGAACAACTCAGTAGTGCAACACCCGTAGGAACAACTTAGTAGCGTAACACCTGTAGGAACGATTCAGTAGTGTAACACCAATAGGAATGACATAGTAGTGTAACACCCGTAGGAACGACTTAGTAGCGTAACACCCGTAGGAACAACTTAGTAGCGTAACACCCGTAGGAACAACTCAGTAGTGTAACACCCGTAGGAACAACTTAGTAGCGTAACACCTGTAGGAACGATTCAGTAGTGTAACACCTATAGGAATGACTTAGATGTGTAACACCCGTAGGAACAACTTAGTAGAGTAACACCTGTAGGAATGATTCAGTAGTGTAACACCTATAGGAATGGCATAGTAGTGTAACACCCGTAGGAAAAACTTAGTAGCGTAACACCCGTAGGAACAACTTAGTAGCGTAACACCTGTAGGAACGATTCAGTAGTGTAACACCTATAGGAATGACTTAGAAGTGTAACACCCATAGGAACAACTTAGTAGAGTAACACCTGTAGGAATGATTCAGTAGTGTAACACCTATAGGAATGACTTAGTAGCGTAACACCCGTAGGAACAACTTAGTAGAGTAACACCTGTAGGAATGATTCAGTAGTGTAACACCTATAGGAATGACATAGTAGTGTAACACCCGTAGGAAAAACTTAGTATCGTAACACCCGTAGGAACAACTTAGTAGCGTAACACCTGTAGGAACGATTCAGTAGTGTAACACCTATAGGAATGACTTAGAAGTGTAACACCCATAGGAACAACTTAGTAGAGTAACACCTGTAGGAATGATTCAGTAGTGTAACACCTATAGGAATGACTTAGTAGTGTAACACCTGTAGGAATGATTCAGTAGTGTAACACCAATAGGAATGACATAGTAGTGTAACACCCGTAGGAACGACTTAGTAGCGTAACACCCGTAGGAACAACTTAGTAGCGTAACACCCGTAGGAACAACTCAGTAGTGTAACACCCGTAGGAACAACTTAGTGGCGTAAGACCTGTAGGAACGATTCAGTAGTGTAACACCTATAGGAATGACTTAGAAGTGTAACACCCGTAGGAACAACTTAGTAGAGTAACACCTGTAGGAATGATTCAGTAGTGTAACACCTATAGGAATGACATAGTAGTGTAACACCCGTAGGAAAAACTTAGTAGCGTAACACCCGTAGGAACAACTTAGTAGCGTAACACCTGTAGGAACGATTCAGTAGTGTAACACCTATAGGAATGACTTAGAAGTGTAACACCCATAGGAACAACTTAGTAGAGTAACTCCTGTAGGAATGATTCAGTAGTGTAACACCTATAGGAATGACTTAGTAGTGTAACACCTGTAGGAACAACTCAGTAGTGTAACACCCGTAGGAACAACTTAGTAGTGTAACACCTGTAGGAACGATTCAGTAGTGTAACACCCATAGGAACAACTTAGTAGTGTAACACCTATAGGAATGATTCAGTAGTGTAACACCTGTAGGCAGAAGGAGAATCTGCAGCTTGCACTTTAAAATCAACTGCAGCTGAAAATGAAGTCTAATTGAAAGCTCCTGATGAAGATGCTGCATTTGTATTCTGCTTGGAATTGAACACGTTGCTGTCCACTCTGAGATGAGTCCTCTGGGTTCACAGGTAGACCTGAAGAATGTATTTGGGCTATGAAGGCCACTAGAAGATAACATGACAGATGGTCCTTTATTCTTTTAAACTGGAACCCCAGTCTGCTGTTCCACAGACATCAACTGCAATGTCAACACATCAAGAAAGTCCTACAACATCCTTAACCCAGGATGGATCTCGCCAAACCCTGGAGCTGCACCACTGTGTAGCTGAGAATAATCTTGGTGTGAGGTAAATAAATAGTCACTGAATGTTAAAATAACTCGATTTATGCTCTTTGGTACAGAGTGAAGGTAGACCAGGATATGCTCTATTTTTAAAACCCATCTAGCCACTGAGTTTTGGACTGTCTGAAGTCTTGCAATTGAAGCCTGGCAGATTCCTGCATAAAGCGAACTACAGCAATCCAACCTGGAGGTTAAGAAGAAATGGCAAATGAGCATGTGAAAGAAACCGCTTTACTTTGGCTATGTGGCATGGATGAAAAAAGCATGAACGGACAGTTACATTTTAAGATCCACACGTATTATCACTTTCACTGTTATTATGACCTTCTCACTGGGGGCCAATAAGGGAAGGTTAAGACCATGTGTCACACCATAACAATCTCTCAGTTTCAACAAAGTGACCTCAGACTCTTCTTTAAACTCAAGTAATTTAGAGCCACCTAAAATTTAATCTCCAGAAGAAAATCAAAGAGGTTGAATTGAGAGCTTGTTTAATGAAAAAACTAAACCAGAAAGTCGTCTGCATACAAGTGGAATTTGAAATAATGTTTTCAAAATTTTCACCTAGGGGACAGAGATATCAGCAAAAGGGGCACCAGCATGGACCCTTACGGTACCCCCAAGGAGGTCAACACAGGAGGATGAGTAATTGTCCAGCTTGACATGAAAACTCCTCCTAGAGAGATAAGACCTAAACTATTGCAGAGCTGAAATTGTAATGCCAGCCCACTACTCCAGGTGATTGATTTAAATGCCACGGTCCAGTCTGTATCAAAAACTGGCCAATCAGGACAGTAAACACGTATAATAAAATCCCCAAGATCAGAACTTGATCATGAATAGGCATAATCTCACCCTGGACCTCATAAAAATCACTTAAAGGGTTTGTGTTTGCTGGACAGTAGACCAGTGCAACAAGGTGCTGAGGAGAGCAGTCCAATTCAAAGCTGAAATCATCACTGACAAAGAGAGCTACAGCAAATCTTGATTTAAAAACTGCTGCTAAACCTTTTTCCTGGCCCGAGGATGTCAGGACATTAAAGAAGAACAATCACTTGAAAACAAGATTCCTCTGAAGGGACCCAGGAATCTGTGATAAGGAGATAATCCAGCCAACAAGTTACAAAAAAAACCTTAAATATAGAAGTTTGCTCACAACAGACCCGGTGTTCACCAATCCAACCCTGATGGGAGCAGAGCTTTGATACTACTGTAAAAAGGACTCTAGTGAAACACAGACCACCTCTTGCAGAGTCCACAGATTTACACTTAATGGGTGTTACACAATCGGGACCAGGCTTTTTTAACATTGGCTGTACAACCACATCTTTAAAAACCTTAGGAAATTCTCCGGTGCCAAGACTAGTGTTTACAATGTTTAAGCATAGACAGAGTCACACGTCAGTTTAGATGGGAGGCGGTCCTTGGGACAGCCCACCGGCTTCATGGGGTTGATGAACCACTAAGTCAGAGAGCTGAACTGAAGCAACGTCAGAGAAAACAGGTGGGCTTGGCGATTCCACACAAACGGCCGGTCCAAGAGGCTAAAGGCCAGACCTAATTAAGTTTTAGTCCTTTACTACTTGAGCAAACCCCCTCACATAACAATTTTACTGGTTTCTATGGCGACCTTGCCCTTCACAAGATGGAGAACATTGCCTCTATGGAGAAAGCACCAATGGGGCAGCTACTCTTTTTATTGGTCAGTGAACTTGGTTCTGCTGGGAAGACGCTGTCCCGGGACTCCTGTAGATGTTGCTGCGGCATTCTCCAGCTGACTCTTTCACTAACATAACGATCTTAAGGTTTTCTTGCCTGAAACACACGGACAGCTCCAGATGTCCTTTTGTTAACATGAAGGAGAACTCCACAACATGAGTGATAGTTTGATGTGTGTGTGGAGCCCAGAGGACCCTGTATTTACCCCGGTGGTTATAGGACTGCAGTCATAGATGCTGCTGTTACTGTGGTTTCCAGCTTGAACGTCCTCAGCCGGTGCGCCTGAATTCTACAATGTAAAACAAAAAAAAAAGGAGGTAAAGGAATTTTTATCGGTTATTTGAATGTCGTATTTCCCTATTCTTTGTTTGTCCTCCTTACAGATGCAGAGTCGGTGACGTTTCTTGTCTCTTGTTTAGAGAGGATATCCAGAGCTGCACTCAGCATGACCACATAGCCTAAATTGTTGCACAATCCGAGGATCCTGAGTTCAACCAAGCAGAAAAGCAGATTCAGTTGGTAGTTTTTTCCCATAAAAACATCTTCCTTTAAATGTAGTAGAATTATCGCTTTGTGATTTATGGGCCTTCACGACATATCTAACAGACAGATCCTTCGTCACACATCATGACTGTAAAATCTAGAACTATGCCATTTTATGACACCTTCTTTTAAGTTGATACACAGTGATTTTTGGTGCCAGATTTTAACTGAAGCTGTTCGTATTTCATCTGTTTTCATTTATTCAGTTTTAAAGAACCTCGAAGGCAGTCCACAGATCTGTTCACTACAAAGTAAGGAGCGCTCAAAAGGTCAAATAGAAAGTAAAACAAATAAATAAATCAAGTAAAACCCAAATGAAGCATTGCTTGCAACAGAATAAAATCACATTTAAAACACAACTGGCAGTGGAATACAATTTTTAAAATCCGCTAACAAACAGATGATGAGAAAAATTCGTGAATCAATCTGAATTTGAAACTCCGGTTTGATTTCACCCGCTGTACAAAAACAACAATCATCTGTAACAAAAGAGGCAAAGTGATAATTTAGCTGGAATGTGACAATTGTTCCTGAATTGGTCTGATTAAGTTATTCCTGAGGCTCTTCTTAGGATTAGTTAGATTGGATGAGTTTTTAAATAAAACCTGATGCTTTTTCCTTCATCCAATTTATTTATAAAGCACATTTCTGCACGGCCGAGGCCAACCAAAGTGCTACACAGTAAAAGAGCATCAAAATCAACACACGGGAAGAAAGTAATAAAAGTAGTACAGTACCTACTATAAAATCAACAATAAAAATAAAACAGAGATGTAGTACAAGACTAACTAGGCTGAAGTAAAAGCCAAGCATAAAAATGAGCCTTAAGGCATGATTTAGAATCAGAGAGAGAGGAGGCCGTTCTCACTGCTAGGGGTAGTTGGTTCCAGAGACGAGGCACACAGATTGACGCGACCTGCACACAGTGATCCATGCATTTGTGATCTCTTGCCCTTAGGAGCCATTTTCAGAAAGCACGCTGTCTCATACCATCTTTACGCTGACGACTGTCAAATCTACTTTTCATTTAAGCCAACTCAGTCAACGCAAGTTCTGTCTGATTGTATCCTTGAGGTCAAGCAATGGCTAGCTGATAACTTCCTCCATCTCAATGACTCCAAAACTGACTTAATCGTTTTCAGTCCTTACAGTATCACGGCAACTCAACAACCTGACTTCAACTATCTCTCACCTAATGTATCCTCTGTAATCTCCAACCTTGGAGTAAAAATGGACCAGGCTCTGAAGATGGATGCCCAGGTCAATATCACAGTTAAATCATGTTTTTACCAACTAAGACGCATCTCAAAACTAAAGCACATCCTGAGTGTACGTCTTCTGAAATCGGTGGTCCACACTTTTATCACCTCAAGGCTGGATTACTTCAACTCCTGCTTATATGGCATCAGTAAAGTAGCTCTCTCTAGACTTCAGCTGGTCCAGAATTCAGCAGCTAGGTTCCTGACTGGAGCTGACAGAAGACAACACATTTCTCCAATTCTGAAATCTCTCCACTGGTTGCCCGTGCAGTTCAGGATAAACTTCAAAATTATGCTTCTCACTTACAAATCCTTGAACCATCAAGCTCCTCCATATCTGTGTGAACTTGTCCATTACTACAACCGGCCGCGTGCTCTCAGGTCTGAAGATAAGCTCCTCCTAGCTGTTCTGAATGCACGTTTAAAAAGCCGTGGAGAAAGGGCTTTCTCTGTCTGTGCACCGAAGCTGTGGAACGCATTACCACTGCTAGTGAGGCAAGCACCAACAGCTAGCATTTTTAAATCACGCCTGAAAACTCACTACTTCAACCTAGCTTATACCACATAATTATGAACCTCACTGACATCTGCACTGTTTATAAACTGACTCCACAATTATCGACTTCCGTATTATAAAATGTTTTTTTTTCCTATTTTTACTTCACCCTGTGTCTTAATGATTTTTAGCTGTTATTTTTGGGAATTTTGTTGTATTTCCTTTTTATCTTTTATCTGTGTTCGACATGTTTATATAACGCCTGTTTAATTAACCAACATTTTTAGTGTACAGCGCCTTGTTTGGTTGTAATGCCTTGTGAATGCGCTTTATAAATAAAATTGGATTGGATTGGAGATTGAGAACGCTTGTTCTCCTCGCGTCCTCACCCGAACGCTGGGGACCTGTAACAGGCGGTGGTCTGCAGACCGAAGAATTCGACCAGGTACGTAGGACTGAGTCAAGTGCAGAGGCGCATAAAGATAGAGTGACTTAAAAACAAGAAGGAACATTTTAAACTGGATGCGGTAGCGCACCGGGAGCCAGTGCAGCTGGACCAGAACAGGAGTAATGTGCTCCCTCCGTCTGGTGTCCGTCAAAAGGCAGGCCGCCGCATTCTGCACCAGCAGTAGACGCGCAACCGAGGAAGATGTGGATCCATAAAAAAGGGATTTCGCATTATCCAAGCAAGAGATCACAAATGCATGGATCACTGTGTGCAGGTCGTGTCTAGTCAGGACGGACTTCATCTTTGATAGCCGGCGAAGCTGGAAAAAGCAGGATCTAACCACCTGGCTAATGTGAGAGTCCATCCGCAGCTCTGGGTCCAAAACCGCCCCCAGGTTGGTGATGGTTGGCTTCACTAAGCTGCGAAAACAGGGTGGAAGGACAGGACTAACTGCAGTGGGAGAGGGAGGAACAAATAAAAGAGCCTCCAACTTAGACTCGTTCAGGTGTAAAAAGTTATTATAAAGCCCTTCACCTCATTCAGGCAATCCACAGTCGGTTGAACCGACTCTCGAGGTTTTAATGAAACCTAAAATTGGCAGTCATCAGCATACAAATGATGATCTGATCTGATGTCTAACACCGTTTCTCTGAGACCTGAGGACCTCCTAAATTGCCCAGCGTGCTCTCTAAGGCTTTTGACACATCAGGTCACACTAGACTTCTCATCATCGGACTCTCTGAACACGCTGTTGGGTGGTTTGAAAACTTTCTGTCAAACAGACTTCAGCGTGTAAAGGCAGAAGGCCTCACTTCCAGCTTCCTTCATGCTCCTAAGTGTTCCTCAGGGATCAGTTCTGGGGCCACTCCTATTTATTCTGCACATCAACAGTCTGGACCCATTTTACACGTAGCCATGGCCCTGATGTACTCAGCTGCAACTTTCCCACAATTTTTTTTTGTTTGTGTGAAAAAAACCAAAAGGCCCTGAGCGACTACTCCTTGTTTGGAGAGCATCATCAGATGTCCACACCGGAATCACACAAGTTAAAAAACCCAGATCATAACAGCGTCACAGCTTATGAAATAAGACCCAGCTATTTCTAATTGATTTCAATGCCAGTCCTCATTGAATTAGTGTTTAATGAGATTTTATTGATTTGTTTTCCAGTAGCTTTCAGTGGAATGTTACACAAAAGCCCGAAATTAATTCTGAACAGTCTGACTAGACTAGACACATAACACACAACTTTTAACATAATCTTTTTATCAAATGTTTTATTAAATAAACTGTTTTAGAAACTTCCTTTAATTAACACCGATTCGGTTTTAAATTATGAGTGCGGTTGATTTACTTCAAAAATCCCCGAAACCACAAATACAATTTTAATAATCACCAAGCTGTTGAATAAAATTCTGTAGTAACTCTGGGTTACTAGATTTAATCACAAAGAGGTTACTGAAAATAAAGTAGTATTATCGCATAAACATAGTTATTAAAATATGATGTAACGCGTGCTTTCTGCCCAGTCTCATCAAACAATTAAAAATTATCTTTGCTTTCCAGGTCAACAGACGGAGTTTAGCTGTTATTCTTTTCTCTGTTGGTACCTAAATGAACTACAGTGAGAACTGAGAGCTGTTCTACTGGTTAAACCTGAAACCAGCGTCATAACAGAACCACGTGACATGACTGTGTTCAGCTACAGCCAGCCCATCTTTACTGGGAGTCCTTCAAACAAAGCTTCTGCAAACTGAAGCAGCTGAGCATTCATCTCACCAGAACCCGGCCCAGCAGCGCCTTTTAGAGCAGCCACCTGCAAACAGAAAGAGCTGAGTCATTCATCACCTCTAGATCTGCTGGAGTAGAGACACGGCTTAGAGCAGACAGACAGATAGGCAGAGAGACAGGACAGGCAGGAAGACAAACAGACAGACAGGCGAGAAGCAGGATAGGCAGGAAGACAGACGGACAGGCAGAGAGACAGGACAGGCAGGAGGACAGACAGATGGGCAGACAGACAAGACAGGCAGGAGGACAGACAGACAGATGGGCAGAGAAACAGGACAGACAGACGGACAGACAGACAGGCCAGAAACAGGATAGGCAGGAAGACAGACAAACAGGCAGAGAGACAGGACAGGCAGGAGGACAGACAGACAGATGGGCAGAGCAACAGGAGAGACAGGAGGACAGACATACAGACAGATAGGCAGACAAGACAGGCAGGAGGACAGACAGACAGATAGGCAGCGAGACAGGACAGGCAGGAGGACAGACAGATGGGCAGACAGACAAGACAGGCAGGAGGACAGATAGGCAGACAAGACAGGCAGGAGGACAGACAGACAGACAGATAGGCAGCGAGACAGGACAGGCAGGAGGACAGACAGACCGATAGGCAGAGAGACAGGACAGGCAGGAGGACAGGCAGACAGATAGGCAGAGAGACAGGACAGGCAGGAGGACAGACAGACTGATAGGCAGAGAGACAGGACAGGCAAGAGGTCAGGCAGACAGATAGGCAGAGAGACAGGACAGGCAGGAGGACAGACAGACAGACAGGCAGAAAGACAGGACAGGCAGACAGATATGCAGAGAGACAGGACAGGCAGGAGGACAGACAGACAGACAGACAAGCGAGAAACAGGATAGGCAGGAAGACAGACGGACAGACAGACGAGAAACAGGATAGGAAGGAAGACAGACGGACAGGCAGGAGGACAGACAGACAGATGGGCAGGGAAACAGGACAGACATACAGACAGCAAGGCAGACAAGAAAGGCAGGAGGACAGACAGACGGATAGGCAGTGAGACAGGACAGGCAGGAGGACAGACAGACTGATAGGCAGAGAAACAGGACAGGCAGGAGGACAGACAGACCGATAGGCAGAGAGACAGGACAGGCAGAAAGACAGACAGACAGATAGGCAGACAGACAAGACAAGCAGAAGGACAGACAGGCAGACAAGAGAGGCAGGAGGACAGACAGACAGACAGATAGGCGGAGAGACAGGACAGGCAGGAGGACAGACAGACAGATAGGCAGACAGACAAGACAGGCAGGAGGACAGACAGACAGATAGGCAGAGAGACAGGACAGGCAGCAGGACAGACAGACAGACATTACGACAGACAGACATATAGGCAGAAGGACAGGACAGGCAGGAGGACAGACAGATATGTAGAGAGACAGACAGGACGACAGACAGATAGGCAGAGAGACAGGAGGACAGACACAGACAGGACAACAGACAAACAGGAGGACATACAAGCAGGACGACAGACAGGAGGGCAGAAAGGCGGACAGACAGATGGAAGTATAAAGACAGACGGACATGAAGATTGACATACATGAAGACAGACAGACAGGAGGACAGGACAGACAGACCCACCGTCTGTGTCAGAGCGCTGAGGAGGAACTTCTGCAGAGCTCTCCATGAGTGAAACGGCGTAAGGAGAATAAACAAAAACGAAGACAGAACTGCCCTAAAACCTCCACCGTGTCAGAAAAACGTTCCTTTGCGTGTTCAAAGGCGTTAAACGAAAAAAGGCAGTAAAATGTTTCTAGTTGACCGCTTTGTTTTGGTGGAGTTTCTCCTTCTGAGGTTTTCTCGGCTGCTGCTGATGAGAGTGCTGCTGCTGCTGCCCCTACCGGCGCGGAGTGGGACTGAAACAACCACGGCTTTAGTCAACGTATTCATTTATTTCCACTCATTTAATGAATCTGCAGCCAGTGACCCAATCCAAACTCGTTTAACTAGTTGCATTCTGGTTGTTCTGATACTTTTGACACGAGGGGTTCCCCCCGATAACAGCTGGAATTCCTAATAACTACCAAACCAAACCAGAAGCACGAACATGACCTGCTGCCTGACTGGTAGTGGAGCAAAAGCACTTAGCTGGTGTGGAGCGTGCATGTGTGTGTCACATCTGTTACACGAGGAAAACAATCTCACAGCTGTTGCTCTAAAATTCTGGATCTGAGCACTTTCTCAGTCCAGACGTGTCAAAGACAATTAAGGGCTCAAACATCAATTAACTGGACAAATGTGACTTTAAAAAGTCTTCACTAAAATTAAATGTGTGTGTGTGTGTGTGTGTGTGTGTGTGTGTGTGTGTGTGTGTGTGTGTGTGTGTGTGTGTGTGTGTGTGTGTGTGTGTGCGTGTGTGTGTGTCCTTGTGAAGCTGGTCTTTCCAGGGTGCTCCTCCAACTTGGAAAATCCTCCATCAGAGGCATTAATCCTTGTTGCCAAAAGAGCAAACAAGAAATCCTAAATAAAGATGCTACTACAGAACAGACATCTAGAGCAGTCTGAGGGTGAGCGCTCATTTCCAGGAGAGAACATGATTACATCTGATGCCAAACAGCAGACAGCATCCTCTTCATTTAAATGATGAACGACCCGCACTTGTATAGCACCTCTCAGAGTAAGGACTCCAAAGCGCTTTACACTAAAGTGTATCATTCATCCATTCACACACACATTCACACACTGATGGTGATGAGCTACGATGTAGCCACAGCTGCCCTGGGGCGCACTGACAGAGGCGAGGCTGCCGAGCACAGGCGCCACCGGTGCCTGCGACCACCACCAGCAGGCAAGGTGGGTTAAGTGTCTTGCCCAAGGACACAACAGCAGAATTCTCTGTCCGGAGCCGGGATCGAACCTGCAACCTTTCCATTACTGGACAACCCGCTCAACCTGTTGAGCTACTGCTGCCCCAAAATGCTTAGACTGAATGCTGTTGTGTGTGTGCAGTACCCTGGAAAGGTTTTACCAGAACTCAACATAATCCTGTTGGAAAGAAGCAGGAGGAACTTTGCGGTTGTGAAGATTTGAACTCTGGTTGTCTCTTACGGGACGCTTTTGAGCTTTGAGAGGCTGACTGATAGTTCTGATAAGAGCGTGTCGACTCCAGATGTGTATAAAAAGCTTCAGCTGCTCCTGGCAGCCTGCAGAGCTCCATAGCTACCATGGCTGTCAGCAAACCGCTCCTTCTGCTGGCGCTGGTCCTGCACAACACCAGAGGTGAGAAAGGCCAGTACTGTGATGGATGGTAATGGTTTGACTGGGTTCTTCTGAGCTGAATTTCAGGACACATGTCAATCATCAGGACATGTTTGTTTAGTTTTATCCTTTTTTATGCCAAAACTTATTTTTACCAAAACGATTGCTGTCCTCTGTTCTTGTTCTTAGATCTGTTGGGAGCTGAGGTGAAGAGCTCCATCGTCGGTGGAGATGATGCCACCAAGGGTGGATGGCCATGGATGGTCTATCTTAGCATCAAAACAGATGATGGTGCACAAAAGTGGCAATGTGGCGCCACCATCCTCAACGAATACTGGTTGCTGACTGCTGGACAATGCTGGGATGAGTAAGTTCATGTTTTGTTTAGGAACATCACAAACGGTTAATCCTCTGGAACTGTTGAATAAACTGGTGTACCACCAGATTGAGCTGACCATGAGTGATGTGGTAAATACAATTAAACCAATTAAAATTAGCACAAATACGATGACGTCAGATAAATGAAGTGATGGCATGACATTAATGTTGGTTCGATGGCCCCGAGGGCAGCTGAGTAGTCCACTAGCATGTGAAAAGTGCTGTATGGATGTGGTCTATCGCTGGCTCTGGGCTGGACGTGTGATGATTGCGTGGGTTTGTGTTGTAGCCAGCTGATTTCTCGATGGGACCGAGTAGGTGTCTGGATCGGCACACACAAGCTGAAAGAGCCATCTGCACGTTACATGCACGTCGGCACCATCATCCGCCACCCTGAGTACAGAGCGCAGGGCTACGGCTACATAAACGACATCTCCCTGATTCAGCTGAAAAAAAGGATTTCCTTCTCCAAGCTGGTTTCTAAGGTGAACTTACCCGGTGCTGATGACACCTTCACCTCCTCGTCCGAGTGTTGGATCACAGGCTGGGGAGACATTAGAAAGGATGGTATGTTTTCGTCGAAACATCAGAGACTTTTCTATCCGGATACTGGCAAATGTTTCACCCTTGACCTTTTATGAATCAAATTAAAACATGTTCACTATTTATTGTCCAGGAATGCCTGAAAATGACCAATGTTCAGAATGTCAGTATAAGTCTGCATTCAGCTGGGCTTCTACACTTTTGTCCATGCAGTCCCACTGCCAGATCCTGGAGTCCTTCAGCAGCTGAAGATTCCCATCTTGGCCCAGAGTGAATGCAGAGCCTGGTATCCTGAGGTGACCGACGCCATGCTGTGTGCAGGAAACCCCGCTGGAGGGAAAGATGCCTGCAAAGTGAGCAGAAATCTGAGCATTCAGCTCTTTGGGTTGTGACTAGATTTGATGTGTAGAAATCTATTTTGTTTCATCGTCTTCTTTCTTAAGCATGGAGGTCAGGTCAGTTTTGTTCTTCTGTAGGGGGATTATGGTGGTCCACTGGTGTGTCGTACAGGAAGTGGCTTTGTGCAGGTGGGAATCATGAGTTATGGGAATCCCGACGGCTGTGGCATCCCAGGACGCCCTGGAGTCTATACCCGGGTATCCAAGTATCTGGCCTTCATCAATAACTACATCAGTCAAGAGCCGTAGTTGAAGGCTGAACTTCCAAGAAGCTGAAGACGCCCGTTTCACCTTCTACCAACCCTCCGCTGTCCTCTTCCTCCGAGCACGCTTTCAGTCTGAATCATGTATGAACAAATCTGGCATTAAAGCTCGTAAGCATCACCTTGCCATTTTGAGAATTTGTCCTCAGCTATTGGCAGACTGGCATAAAAATGTCTCACCGGTGTTCAGAAAAAACACACAAACAGCAGACAGACCCTAACCATCTGTCCACGAGTCTCACTGGACAGGAGCGATGGCTAATTGGACAACTATCCTGATACAGAATCAACTTTGTTTTACTAATCATGTCCGTTACAGTTAGACAGGTTGCCAGGCCACTAGGACTCGTTTAAACACTGAAAGACCGTCTTTAACACCCAACTGCACTGCTCACGTGTCACACGTCTGAAAAGGTCGGTGTGTATAAACGGCTCACCGACCAGAGGCCAGATGAGCACGCAGAGTCAACATGGCGGTGGAAACTGCTTCCCTTACATCAAAACTCATTTTTCTGGTTAGATGAAACTTTAACGGGTTTTAGGTCTTATTGTACTGTTTTATTGTTTTAGTATTGCTGTTGTGTGTTGACAGTTGTGCGATGTGGTCTCCCAGCAGTAAAAGTGCTCTGTGAATGAAGCGACCTGACTTGGAAACAATCTGTAGGTGAAGGGAGTCGTAACTCTCCAAAAGCAAAACATGACTAGTTTTGAATAAGATGTCAACATTTGTTTTTATTGACTTAAGTCACTGAAAAAACACACACACACACACACACACACACACACACACACACACACACACACACACACACACACACACACACACAGAAGCAGTGAAGACCGCTCTGATAGCACCAAAATAAATTTGCTGCATCAATCTCCCTGAGACCTAAAACCAAGAGAGAACCAAGACGTACAAACCAGTCCCACTCCAGCCATGCTTTAGATCAAATAAAAATGTTACAGAGAGTAAATCTGCTGTTCTGACCTTTGACCCTTCCTGTGCTCAGATTAATGCCTGCACAGGCTGTAGGAGCAGAATCCAAAGGCACATGGATACAGAAATAAATCACAACTAATCACCCAACAAGGCAAAAGGAAATAAAACATTCTAAATAAACTTCTCAGGTGTCTAGTCACGACACACACACACACACACACACACACACACACACACACACACACACACACACACCCACGCACGCACACACACACCCACCCACACACATACACACACACCTGCACACTTACACACACCCAAACACACACACACTTACACCCACCCACACACTTACACACACACAAACGGTTTCCTAGCAGCCAAATAAATAAAGCTGACTCCATTAGTGGTGTCCTGTGCGGTCGGTCACTAGAAGGGTCTCCGATGCTTCGGTAGACCATCCTCCTCATAGCAGCGGAGCTGCAGACTGCTCCTGCAGCTCTGTGCTCGTCTCTGGAGGCAGAGGACTTTCCCTGATTCTCTCCATCACCGAGCCTTCACTCCTCTTCACATCTTTCTGCTCGTCTTCCTCAGCTTTCCTCTTCTCTGCCTTGGTCTTGAACCGTAGGCCGTGACCTGTAAAGCACAGACTAGGTTTAAACAGCGATGACATCATTTTAGTGAAAGGCAGGCAGTCAGGGGCAGCGGGCTTCGCTCTTCGTTTCTGAGTCGTGGAAAATGCCCACAGCACCTACAGGATTACCGCCGGCAGCATCACCGAGACCAAAAAAGCAACAATCAGCTGCCCAAAAACTGGCAGACAACTCCAGCATCACCATCACACATTGCTCACTATTAATTATAAAAATGATATATAACAGGTCACCATTATCACTAATATTTGGGCATAAAACTGCTCCTACTGGAACTAAAGCTAGTTTACAGCAGCTCACCTGTTCCTTTCACACCGACAGCTGCAATCCCCTCATCAAGCAGCCGGTGATCAACAGTGTTGTTGTGAACAACAAAACACCAACCTCAGACCCGCTCACGTGCAGTTACCCCGGTCGCGGTCCGGTTACACCCACCACCCCGTTAACGGAGAGCTGCACATCCAGTTTACTCTCATTGTGACGCCAGAGCTTGGCTCCAAATCTGCGGCTCACATGTGACTAGATTCTAAAGCACACGCAGACGATTCCCTTCCCCGAGGGTCATCTCCAACATGTTTTAGTTGTTTCCCTGCTTCAACACAAATGATGTTAATCAATCATCAGGTGAGTAACAGACTTCTGCGGAGCTCGATGAGTTGCTGAAAAGGTTAATCAAGTGTGTTAAAGCGGGGAAACAACTAGAACATGCTGGATACCGGCCCCCGGGAGAGGGAATTGTCCAACACCAACATAGAACCATAAAAAAAACCAACAACACTCCAGTGTGTTTTAGGCTACGTTCACACCGCAGGCACCACATCTGATTTGTTTTCCCATGTGACCCATATTTGATTTTTCTGTCAAAGTCTGAACAGCAGGTCACTTTCATATGTGGTGCTGATTCCGATACATATCTGATGTGTTTGAAAGCAACTGCTTTCTGAAAGCTCAAGCCCCTCCAGAAGGGGCTTAGCTAACAGTAAACCCAGGGCACAGCACCCTGGACGTGTTGCATTTGTCACGCCAAGGGAAGGGGGCCCCCTCTGGACCAGCTCGGAGCCAGGTCCTCTGGACCAGCTCGGAGCCAGGTCCTCTGGACCAGCTCGGAGCCAGGTCCGAGTAGGAAATTTTGCCGAGCAATTAACCCGCGGTCGTAGAGTGACATCTAGTGGCCAACGTTTGCTGGCACATCCTGTCCAGAATTAGTCAAAAATGTCAGGACAATGTGCTGGCAAGAGGCAAACCAATGGTACCATGCAAATATTTTCATGATGATTCAGGAACATTGCATGTGGACAGCGCTGACAATGGCTAGGTATTAACCTTAGCTAAACTAGGCCTAAGACTAAACCCTAGACCAGGTCCTAGATTAGGACCTAGACCGGGTCCTGGATTAGGCCTTAGACCAGATCCTAGATTAGACCTTAGACCAGATATCAGATTAAGCTTTAGACCAGGTCCTAGATTGCGCCCTAGACCAGGGTCTAGATTAGGTCCTAGATTAGGCTTTAGACCAGGTCCTAGATTGCGCCCTAGACCTGGGTCTAGATTAGGACCTAGACCAAGTCCTAGATTAGGCTTTAGACCAGGTCCTAGATTGCGCCCTAGACCTGGGTCTAGATTAGGACCTAGACCAAGTCCTAGATTAGGCTTTAGATCAGGTCCTAGATTAGGACCTAGACCGGGTCCTAGATTAGGCCCTTGGTCTAGTACTAATTTAATAATAAAACACTTAAGCGTTCCACTAAACCTCTGACTGATGCAGATTCGATACAAGAGGCTGGCAGGCAGATTAAGGAGATTTGATGAATCACAACAGATATAAAGATCAGGATGTATCTGGTATTGTAATCAGAGTACTGACTTGGACAGTCTGCTACTTCTTTAAAAGCCTTCTTCTTACAGCAGCCTCGACACAGGTTGAAGACACACTTATTCCCCTGCAGAGCAGAAACAAACAACACAACTATGTAGAAAACGATTGTTATTTCATTCTGAAGCAAACTTATGAAAAATGAACAACATTGAATTAAAAAATAATGTCTTCATTACAAACTGCTGTTTCAGCAGCAGCTAGGAGTGTCAGTAGGTCAAGGACTAAAATTACTACTATTTCTTTGCTTTCATGATGACATCCAAGAGATGCAGGCAGTGAATCACCTCAGCATCCTTTATCAAACTTTAATACGTCTTTATCAGAGGAAAGTCCGAGCTTTGCGATGCAACTTACCTTTGGGTTGCCACACTGTTCGCATTTCAGGTATTTGGCTACAAAGTGTGAGAATTACATGAAAAGTGGTTAGATTTCTTCCTCTAGTCCAGCATGTCAAATGAAAACCTCCTGAGCAGAAGTAAACTCACGTTTTTGCTGAGTACAGAAGTTCTTGTGGGGGTTTCGGGATTTTTTTTTCTGTTTGTTTTTAGAAAGGACCTCATCTGCTCCATCCAAGTCCTCCAGTGACCTCTTTTGACATACCATCTTCCTCAGCTCTGACCCCTGAGCGCTGCCATTGGTGGTCAGCTGCTTTGGCCTGCAGGATGTCAGATAAAGCCAGAAAAATGATAGAAGAAAACAGTTTAAAGCCAAAGTTCTTTGTAAAAGAGCACCAGGAAAATTTCAGTCTTAACATCCTGACACCTGAACTTGTATTTGGTGTGATTTAAAGGAACAACTCTACCTATTAAAAACAATAAAGACAAAGAAACATTTTTGAATTTAAAGTCAATACCAAGTGTCCCTATTCATCTATCCATTCTCTTCCTCTTATCTGAGTCGGGTCGTGGCGGCAGTAGCCTAAGTAGGGAGGCCCAGACTTCCCTCTTCCCAGCCACTTGGGACAGCTCCTCTGGGGGAATCCCAAGGCGTTCCCTGACCAGCCAAGAGACGTAGTCCCTCCAGCGTGTCCTGGGTCTTCTCTTGGGACTTCTCCCCCATTAGATGTGCTCGGAAAACCTCACCAGGGAGGAGTCCAGAGAGCCCAGCCACCCTGCGGAGAAAACTAATTTTGGCTGCTTGTATCCGCGATCTTGTTCTTTCAGTCACTACCCAAAACTCATGACCATAGGTGAGAAAAGGAACGTAGATCAACCGGTAAATCTCTTCACCACAACAAACCGGTACAACGCCTGCATCACTGCAGAAGCAGCACCAATCCACCCATCAATCCCCCGATCTATCTTTCGCTCACTTGTGAACAAGACCCCGAGATACTTAAACTCCTCCACTTCGCAAAAGACATAATCTCTGACCTGGAGAAGGTATTCTACCCCTTTCCGACTCAAGACCATGATCGCAGATTTAGAGGAGCTGACTCTCATCCCAGCTGCGAACTGCTCCAGCAAAAGCTGGAAATCATGTTCTGATGAAGCCAACAGGACCACATCATCAGCAAAAAAAAAAGCAGAGACCTGATCCCTGAACAGATCCTCTCAACACCTTGGCTGCATCTAGAAATCCTGTCCATAAAAATTATGAACAGAATTGGTAATAAAAGGTAGCCTTGGTGGAGTCCAACTCTCACTGGAAACAAGCTCGACTTACTGCCAGCAGTGTGGACCAAGCTCTGACTTCAGTCATACAGGGACCTAACAGCCTGTATCAAAGGGCCTGGTACACCATACTCCTAGAGTACCCCCTACAGGGCCTCCTGAGGCACATGGTCGAAAACACATCACTCCACCTGAATCCGAGGTTCAACAATCCAACAGACCCTCCTCTCCAGAACCAATGATTAGACCTTACCAGGGAGGCTCAGGAGTGTGAGCCCCCTCTAGTAGGAACACACTCTGCGGTCCCTCTTTTTAAATATGGGGACCACCACTGGTCTGCCAGTCCAGTGGAACGTCCCCCAATGTCCACCAAGATTGCAAATCTGCATCAACCAATACAGCCCCACAACATCCAGAGCCGTAAGGAACTCTGGGCTGATCTCATCCACCCCTGGGGCCTTGCCACAGAGAATTTTTTGACCACCTCAGTAACCTCAGCCCCAGAGATTGGAGAGCCCATACCATACCATACCATACCATACCATGTTTATTTACATGGCACATTTAAAAACAGCATGACAGCTGACCAAAGTGCTGTACAGTAAAAAGGACAAACCCCAAGACAAAAACAGATAAAAGTCATATAGGAGGTAAGAGGTAAAATCTAAAAAAATTGTAAAAAGAAATACAACAATAAAATACAGAGTCACAATAAAACGTAAAAACACTAAAAGCTAGATTGTTGAATAAAAGCTAAATGATAGAAGAAGGCCTTCAGTACCGACTTAAATCGACCCAGTTCTGGGGCCTGTCGAACACTAAGGGGGAGAGCATTCCAGAGTTTAGGAGCAGCAAACGCAAAGGCCCACTCTCCACGAGATTTATTCCTCATTTTCGGGACGCACAAAAGCAAATGATCTGCAGATCTCAGGTTTCTGGTTGGAGCATAAGGCTTTATCAGTTCTGAAAGATAAGCCGGGGCTTGACCATTCAGAATGCTGTAGACAACGGTCCAAACCTTAAATTGAATGCGGTATTGAACAGGCAGCCAGTGCAAGCGTGCAAGGACGGGTGAAATGTGACAGCGTCTCCAGGTGTTTGTCAGGAATCTAGCCGCCGCATTTTGCACTCTCTGTAGATGCTCGATTATGGAGACGCTGACACCAACAAGTAGTGAGTTGGCACAGTCTAAACGTGTAGTTACAAAGGCGTGAACAACAGACTCCAGCTGAGGTCGTTTGACTATTGACTTTAAGCGTGAGATGCAACGTAGTTGAAAAAAGCAGGACCGGACTGTAGATTAATTTGTGAACTAATTAACAGATCAGAGTCAAGTTTCACTCCCAAACTGGATACAAAGCATTTAAAAACGGTAGAGGGTAGTCACCAGGTGCATGCTTTGGATTTATTGGATTAAAAAGAATGGCGTCGGTCTTGTTTTCGTTAAGGCAAAGGAAGTTCTCCGACAGCCAGCCTTTAACTGCAGTAATACAGTCGACAAGGAGGCGTGTTGTGTCAGGTTTACTTAAAGCCAGATAAATCTGGCAATCGTCCGCGTAAAGGTGATAACTTATTCCAAGGTTTCTCAGAATCGTCCCCAATGGCAATAAGTAAATCAAGAATAGGAGTGGCCCTAGAATCGAACCCTGAGGCACACCCCAGCGAAGTGGAGTAGATGGAGAGGAAAAGCTGTCAATGTGAACGCTAAATTGTCTATCTGACAAATATGATCTGAACCAATGAAGTGGGATCCCTGTTACCCCCAACCTCATCTCCAACCTCCTAAGTAGGATGTCATGGTCCACTGTGTCGAAGGCAGCAGAGAGGTCCAGGAGTAACAGAAGGACATGGGAACCAGAATCAGTTGCCACCAGGATATCATTTAATACACAAGGATGTGCAGTTTCTGTGCTGTGGTGAGGTCTAAAGCCAGACTAAAAGTGATCGAGGAGGCTATGATCTCCTAAGTAACTGGAAAGTTGAGTGTGAACTACTTTCTCAATCTTGGATAAAAACGAGTTTGGAAATCGGATGATAATTAGAAAAATCAGCATGATCCAGAACAGGTTTTTTCAGTAAAGGATGTACAACTGCATTCTTAAAGGCGGTTGGAAACACTCCAGTTGAGATGCTATTGTTGAAGATTTCCAGAATAAATGGCGCCAGTGCAGGAAGAGCCCCAACTAGTAGTTTTGGTGGGAGGGAGTCCTCAAACTCTGCTTCCTTACTGGAAGACATGCTGGTGGGATTGAGTAGGTCTTTGAAGTACTCCGCCCACCAATCAACAAGATCTTGAGTAGAGGTCAGCAGCACACCATCCCCACTACAAACAGTGTTGGTCGCGCACTGCTTTCCCCTCCTGAGGCGCCGGATGGTGAACATACGATCCTCAAAGCTGTATGAAGTTCTTGTTAGTTTTTGCCTCTGCGACCACCCGAGCCACATTCTGCTTGGACTGCCAGTACGCAACAGCTACCTCTAGAGTGCCACAGGCCAAAAAGACCCGATAGGACTCTTTCTTCACCATGACATCACCAAATGGTTCCTGAGTGCGGCTGTGTCTGCAGCTCACCACTTCCTCAGGGGATGGGTCAAATGCAAAGAACAAATTTCACACACATCAGTGTGTCTGAGGCCACCTGCGGATTCGGGGGTTGCAACCACGAAAGGTACCAGTGACCCTGTGGCCGAAACTTCATTCGGCCGTCTCAACAATAGAGGCATTGAACACGGTCCTCTCGGACACAATGTCCCCTGCCTCAATAAGTTTTGGAAGTTCTATCGGAGGTGAGAATTGAAGCTCCTTCCGATAGTACTCTGCCAGACGTTCCCAGCAGACCCTCACAATACGTTTGGGCCTGCCAGGTCTGACCGGCATCCTCCCCCACTTATCACCAGGTAGTGGTCAGTTTTCCCCCCTCTTCACCCAAATGTCCATGAAAAGGTCTACATTATGGAGAATAAAATATTATAGTGCAAGAAGTCAATGTCTTCATATTTGGAAAATGAATGTTTCTGCCTCCAAGGTGATGGAGGAGTCTCTGTACAGTGCCGGTGTGTGACAGGGAACAACAGATACCAAAGACATTGACTCACGCTGGTCTGATGTATGGTTGGCAGATCCAGTGAGGGAGAGGAAGGTTGCCCTCTTTGTCCTCCACATCCTTCCTGTTAGCCATCTCCTCCTGCATGGACACACAGGCAGCTGCTGTGAAACACCACCTAACCCTACCACTTTCCTCAGAAACAAGAAAACACTTCAGTTTCAGAGAAAATATCTTTTCAAAAACTCAAAGTTGGGATGTGAGATGTTTTACTGGAGCATTTTTATTTTTTTTGCCACAGTGCTTGAAATTCTGTTCACATATAGATGACAACCACTAAATTAAATGTTTTGTTAAAGAAAAAAAAAAAAAGAATTTTAATCTCCTCTAAAATGTACATTACTAAAACAATGTGAACCAACCACTGGAAATGTCCCATTCTTAATGATTGGATGATGATCCGATCATTAAGCTGCTCACTGACAGTCTCTCCCACTCTGTACATGTAAGAATCACTTGTTCTTGGCTCAGAGCAGCTGAACAGGAATTAATATGGGGAGAAAATGGTCTCAAAAGATCTGTGTTTGTGTATCTAGATCTTTGTGTGTGTAGATAGATCTAAGCATGTGTAACTCTTGATTTGTAACTTGTGTTTACATTTTCAATTTTCAATTGGTAAAATCATTAGACAGCATGGGATAAGCTTCCACTGTTATGCTGACGATACTCAGCTATATTTATCCATTAACCCTGATGAACCTAATCGGCTGGGTAGATTACAGGCTTGTCTTGAGGACATAAAACATTGGATGACTAAACTTTTTGCTTTTAAATCAAGACAAGACGGAAGTTCTCATCTTTGGACCTGAAATTTAGAAAAGGAAATTGCTTAGTCAATCACCTGACCTGAATGGCATTACATTAATCTCCAAGAACAAAGTAAGGAACCTTGGTGTTATCTTTGACCAGGACATGTCATTCAAATCCCACGTTAAACAGGTTTGTAGGATTTCCTTTTTCCACCTTCGGAATATTGCTAAGATTAGAAACATCCTTTCCAGGAGTGATGCTGAAAAACTAGTTCATGCGTTTATTACATCAAGACTGGATTACTGTAATTCATTACTCTCAGGAATTCCACAGAATGTAGTTAAAAGTCTTCAGCTCGTCCAAAATGCTGCAGCTAGAGTTCTGATGAGAATTAAAAAGAGAGATCATATCTCTCCTGTCTTAGCTTCCCTACATTGGCTGCCTGTTAAATTCAGAATAGTTTTTAAGATCCTCCTTCTCACATATAAAGCTCTTAATAATCAAGCTCCATCATACATCAGTGATCTGATTGTTCCATAAGTTCCTAACCGAGCACTTCGCTCTCAGACTGCAGGTTTACTGGTGGTTCCCAGAATATCTAAAATTAGGATGGGAGGCAGATCTTTTAGCCATTGTGGAACCAGCTCCCAGTGTTAGTCCGTGAGATAAACACCTTGTCTACTTTTAAGATAGGCTAAAAACATTTTTATTTGAGCCCCATTTGGGCCTATGGTTAAAATCTGATGTTAGCCTAAATCTGGACAATTCAATTCAATTCAATTCAATTCAAAAATACTTTATTAATCCCAGAGGGAAATTGATTAATGTGTGTGAAGTGCCTTGAGACAACTCTGGTCGTGATTTGGCGCTATGCAAATAAACTTGAACTGAATTGAATTTTCGTGTGTAACTTTAGCTCCTACACATACAAATCATTGCACGCACGCACGCACGCACGCACGCACGCACACACACACACACACACACACACACACACACACACACACACACACACACACACACACACACACACACACACACACACACACACACACACACACACACACACACAACTACTGTACATTACACGTAGATCAGTTTATAAAAATAATTTAGAGACTTTCCTCACCTGACTGATTTGTGCGTACATGGTGCGTTTGAATGCTGGGTGGAAGCTGGGAAATCTGAATTTCCTTTGGATTTAATCTAAACTTGTGTTGAAGGGACAAATCTGTTTTTCTGTTGAAAAGTATTGTATCTCAGGATCCTGTAGTTTTAAAAAATAAACCTATATTTAATTTTTAATCATCTAAATTTGTTTATTTAGACATGTGTTTATAAGCATGAAATTGAAAAGTCTGCCTGTAGGTGGGGGTCCCAGAATCAGTTTAACATTGACACAATCCAACCTAAAGTCTAGTTGGAATGTGCTGATTGTCTGCTCTCCCTAGCTTAGCTCCCAGAATATCTAAAAATAGGATGGGAGGCAGATCTTTTAGCTATCGGGCTCCTCTCTTGTGGAACCAGCTCCCAGCTTTAGTCCGTGAGGCAGACACCTTGTCTACTTTTAAGACAAGGCTAAAACATGTTTATTTGATAGGGCCTATGGTTAAAATCTCATGTTAGCCTAGATCTGGACAAGTGGGGGAGTAGAGGGAGGTGGAGTGTACAGTCGGTAGACGGCTCTCCCTTGCCCTGCCTCCAACATGCCTCCATCTAAAAGGCTAGGTTATCCAGTTATCTCTGTAGTTATGCTGCTATAGGCTTAGACTGCTGGAGGATACACTGACCAATTTCCACACTCGACTACTTTCTTCTACAATCTGCTCTTTAACTGTATTATTTCCTGCTATTTCAGCTGTTAACTTTATTTTCTCTCTAAGTGTTTTTCTCCCCAGAAGAAGCTACAACGATGTTCTGCTGAGCTGTGGTGGCCTCATGGAGGGGGCCATCGGCTAGCACACTGCTGCTAACCACTTAAACTTTCTCTAGGATAAATACAATAAAGTTTATCTCTCACTAAATAGAATATTTACTAAGAAATCACAATGTAACCATAGAAACACTACTGTGTGTGTGTGTGTGTGTGTGTGTGTGTGTCTGCTCTGTCTTCTCCATCCCCAGTGAGTCGTGGAGGATGGCTGCTTATACTGAGCCAGGATCCTCTGGAGGTTTCTTCCTGTTAAAAGGGAGTTTTCCTCTCCACTGTCGCTGCATGCTTGCTTAGTATGAGGATTGCTGTAAAGACTCTGACACTAGTCAGTGACTCGATGCAACCTGCTGGGTTCCTTATATAGGAAACTTTTTACTGATTGGCTTAACGAACTGACCTGTATTGGGATGTTTATTATGTGAAGTGCCTTGAGACGACTCTTGTCGTGATTTGGCGCCATATAAATAAACTTGAATTGAATTGCTCTAGTCTTAAACATATCAGCTGCAATTAAAGGAATGAGTGTTGTTTACGTCCATCTTTCTGAACATTTGCATACAGAATAACATCCTGACTCAGGTGTTTTAATGTGTTGTTGTACCTGGCAGCGCAGCTCGAGCTGTTTGCTGACATCAGCTAAAGCCTGGAGGGTCTTCACCTTAGCCAGCTCCTCCCTCAGGTCCTGGTGAATCTGCAGCCTGAGGGAGAAAATCAGAAATGTCCAAACTGGGCTTCATGCACTGTAAGCCTGAGAGGTCTAAAGGTATTATCTTATGCATTATTATCATTATCACGATTGTTATAATTGGCACTAATAAATGATCGCATGGCTTAGGTGTAAAATCATGTGATGGACTAAAAACATTTAAGACATCCTAAAGATAAGGACTGATAAACAGCTGCAGGTGTTAGTTTATAAACCTCGAAACGTCTGACGTGAGCTCAGAGATGTCCCTTCATGTGAGATGAAGCCGATTCCCACAGAAAGTTTATCTTTACTCTGTACGTTGGTTTGAAAGCGGTCCTATTAGAAGCGCGGCAGACTCGATTATCTGTTGTTTAGTAGGAAACAAACGTATTTTTTCCCTCCAGAACATTTGCAGATCCCTCATTACCACAAAGTTCTGATGACTATCTCGTTCTGGTCATGCTTCCTTTAATCTGACCCTAGTTTACTTGTAATTTTATAGGTCAACATCTGATTCCACTCATAAAGCGACAAACTCTTAAGCCTCTTCTCCTGATAGCGTTTGCAGAAAAGATAAGCTCATGTTTGGCTTCCTTTCCCCGTGTTTGATACGACTGTGGTTTAACGGTATCATCACACGTTGAGAAAAGAGATGAGTGATGTGACCTTTCCAGGAAGTCTGCAGTAAAACGGACCCAACAAGAGGCTAGAAGCTAAAAGGAGACATACGTGTGGTGCCAGAGCTTGAAGAGGTGGGCTCGTACATAAGAAAGCGAGCAGGGAGGGTACTGTTTCACCACCTCCAAGTATTCCTCAGCCATTTCCCACACGGGGGGGCTGCGGCCCTCAAACAGTGCTGGATTATGGAGGTTCCCTTCTAGAAATAATCCAACAACAAAAGAAGGTTTTGAAAACCATGTTAATCTCAGAACACCTTCTCCCCTGTTGTTATTATTCACTGACCTGCACTCATAACACCCTGCACTCCCGTCTCCTGAATGCAGCGTTCCACATCACTCAGATGGTGGATGTTTCCATTTGCAAACACTGGAATATTTACTGCCTTCCTGCAGCGTTTACACCAAACAACAGAGAAATCAACAACAACAACAAACCTGTTAGTGATCTAATTCAGAGCGGAGTTCAGCTCACCGGACAGCTTTGATGTGCTCCCAGCTGGCGATGCCCGTCATGGCACCTTTCTGATCCTTGGTTCTGCCGTGCACGGTCAGCAACTGAGGGAGTTCCAACACGTCGCTCTTAACCAATTACAGAGGCAGCAAAAGAGGGTGGCTAGAAGTCCAACTGATCTGATAATCCAACCTGACATCCAGCTTTCTCCAGCATTTGGGCGTAGCCAACGGTCTTCTCAATCTCCTCGAAGACACGGATCTTACACGTGATTGGCACAGAGAGCTTCTGATGAGCTAAGCTGACTGACAGACAAGGAGGAATATTAGATTTTGGTCCAACGTAAACAATGAGTTTCACTAAAACGATGCTGTGAAAATGAATAAAATGATCTAAATGAAAACTCTTGTGTATTTAAGATCAACACAACTTCTAGAGCAAAGCGAGGGCCACACAAACGTACCGATCTTCTCTAACAACTCCCACTCATCCTGTAGGAAAACACCGTAGTGTCCTTGAAGACCAACACATTTAGTTAGTGAGGAATGTTTGACAGTAGTGTCCCTTCTACCACCAGCTCAGAGATTTGTGTACCTCTCTTAGCGATCATCTGAGGACAGCCCAGGTTGAGGTCAATGGCATCACAGTAGTCCTGAGCCAGGAGCGCCGCCTGGAGGAACACCTCCGGATCATTGGCGCAAAACTAACAGAGATATGGAACCACTGATTCATGTCTGTTATTACACAAGATGAACATTTATGACACAATTTTATATTACTGCATTAGCAAGGAACTGCTAACTGTTAGCAACAACATCTTTTCCTGAGGTGAGCCAAACCTGTGCAATGAGAGGTCTGTCCTCCTCACACACTTCACTGTACAGGTTCTCTCTCCTGTAGTTGGCATCGCGAACAAACACTTGAGCGTGCAGCATGGGGGTGTAGCAGAGCTGAGCTCCATGTCTCCGGCTCAGCAGGCGCCAGGCAAGCTCACTCTGGTCCACCATGGGGGCCACCACATAACGTGCCTCATTCAGAGTCTTCCTCCAGAACTCAAAGGCCTGGAGCTTGGGCATCATGGCTGACCTCGATGAGATTAAGCATCCATTACTTACTGTTAAAGCTCCAATAGCAAATCTGGCAAACAAGCTAGCGTTTAAACACGAACACAGAACCCCCTGTCAGCTATCATCCCTAGGCCACATTCACCTGACACTGAAAACCCACATTATGAGGGGGGGGTGCAATTCCACAATAAGACCGGAAATGCTTCGTTTACCAGCTGATACATTCACTAGTTTTAGTTATTTTGAACTTTAATTCCATTTCTCACCTGACACAGTCAGTGTTTCAGGTGAGAAATGAAACTATTAAACTGTTACCATTTCCAGAATTACCTTTGGTAATTTTAATGAGTAAAACATGTAGCAGAGACCAGCACAGACCGTAGAGCATCTGAGCCGTGTCCTAGCAGCTGACATCCTCATGTAAACACGCTTCATCCGAGTCTACTGAGAGCTGGGCTGTGATGCTAGCTGAGCTAACACACGATGGTCCCCACCGCTACACAACGACCACACACGCGCGCGCCCGCACAACCTACCAGGGCACTGGCCTCATTCACTGGCTGTATGTTCGTGCGTGTGAAATCAGCTGGTTTTCACCTGTTAGACTTGGAGAGAGAGAGTTCTGCACCCAGCACTTCCCAACATGTGCACCGGTGAAACGGTACCGGGGGAAACTGGTTTGAACTCTTAGCTTTACCTACTTCTCCTTTTAAAAGAAGGTGGATACTGAACTATTTCTGTGTCTTAGCGCCACCATGTGGCTGTAATGTATCACAGCGGTGGAGAGGGAAGATTGAGGGCTCCCTAGACACGGATAGAAACGGAACTGCCATCTTTATTCCACCACAAACATCTTTATTCCACCACAAACATCTCATGTAAATTTTTAAAATAACAGAATATTTATAAAATGTGCTTCATTACAGCATCTCTGAAGGCCCAGAGGTCCTTATCGGACAGCTGCTGTAGCTTTAGTTATTACACAAGACTCACATGCTTTGTTCAACCACATCAGGCAGCATCATTTCTCCAAAAGCTGGTTTGAGGTGGATTCAGGGATGATGTTTCAGACATGTCACACAAAAGGAGAAACTGAGGTAGAACCAGGACCTGTTGGACCTCAAACTAGCTAGAGAAAGGAGGTCTGGGAGCTTCAGCTGCTGCTCCCAACAGTGTAAGAAGATGAATGGATGGATGGCCAGGAGGTCAAGAGTCTTGTTACCATAAAGAATTTTTAGACATGGCTTTTCAGAATATATTTATTATTACATTCAGTGGGTTCATTAGGTTTAAGACATTTCACAGCAGGAAAATACAGGTTAAGCACACATTTTCTTGGTCTGAGACACATCCAGCTCTGTTACAACAGTGACATATTCTGTCCAAAGTAAATTCAGTCTGAGACTCCGTGACAGAGCAAAGCTTATGTAGCAGGAAGAAATGTGGCGTTTTTCTCCCTCCTAACAACAATTTACCTGCAGCTCTCCAACCAAAGCTTTCTGTTGGCCTCCATCTTGAAGACCACCCATCGGGATGCTGACTGAGACCAGTCCGAGGAAGGTTTCAGACACTGATGCAGCATAACGACAGGTGTTTGTAAATATTGTTTCTGTTCCCTTTTATATTTGTTTGTGTAACGGAATGAAATGACTGTTTTCCACCTTAAAGTCATTTTTCCCCTCTCCTCTGACACAGAGCTAGTCTGCATGAGATATGGCCTCAAGGTCTCATGCATTTGCTCTAAACTGCTTCTTTTCCAGCCCAAGAGAAGAATGAAGAAAGGACTCTCTCCTTTAAATAAATCAAAGAACTCTGTTTTAATAAAGCTAATCAAACAAAGTGTTAGTCAATAAATAAGATGTGACCAATCTGTGAAATCAAAGTACTAATTACTTTATTATAATCCTATAGAATATAATAAGTAATATGACTTTTGTATGTTTCCACTAGGACTGATCTCACGTTAAGAGACGACACATTGCTTTACTGATCCAATCAGAATCTGCCAGATCTGACGGAGGCGTGGTTTTGGTGGTGCTTGGTAAATCTGTCACCTTTTCATTCGACCATAAATCAAAACATCCGAAGTATAAAACTATGCCCACGTCATCTTTAACGCCAGGTCAAAGCGTTCTAGAGAAGTTGTCGGAGTGGCCAATTCGTAACTTTCCTCTTCAGCCAAAAGAACCAACGACAAGCTGGAAAACCTATTGCCGTTCCACCTGCGGCAACGGTTCCTTTCAGAATAAAAGCTGAACCATCACAACCCCGCTTTGGGTCTTGTTAGATGCCGATAAACTGTCGTGACCCGGAAGTATCTCAAAGACTGGACTGGTCGGCAGCCGCTGCTGTTCTACAGGCTTCGGCTCCAGGAGGGTCCAAGCTGGACCTTCACGCCTCCTGATCTAGACGGGGACTTCCTCTTCGGGTACGTAGACCGACAGAATGGCGAATGTGTTTATGAATCTCCTAATAAAAGCTTAGCGTGAAGACATCACCCTCATTCCCATCAGAACTAACTGTTTCTTCGGATTTGCTGGTTCTGAACAACATTCCACATTACACCATTCTCCGTCTCATTCACCTTAGTTACACCATACGTTTAGTGTTAAAGTTAGTCTAGTTTTAATAAATCTTTAAACATTTAAAACCTGACTCTCTCTTCTGTTGTCTCTGAGTTAATACGAAGTGTTACATAATCCCTGCAATAAAAAGTCCCAATCTTCTGGTTAAAAAGTACCCACAGATCCATAAGGTTGATTCCATATTTCCTATGGAATCTTATGTCTTATGGCTCATTAAATAACATGTAAGTTGACTCATTATATTCGTTTCTTTGGTCTAGTTCCTGCTGCACATCAGGTGGTTTGCTACTGTCCCTTATTTGTCCTGTTGTGAGGTTAGTTGTGTCCTTCTGTTGTTCCAGACTTGTCTCAGCACTCGGTTTGTTTTTGTGTTGGCTCAGGCAGTGCTCTTTAGCTTTTCTTAGGCAATAACATTTCTCACCCTTTTGTCGTTTTGGTCCCTGAACCCATCATTATGGCAGAGAGTGATGTTAGGAATCAGAAAAGTGACTTTCTTCAGAGGAAAGGCCGGCTCTGGTTTCTACAGGAGCTGCAATACTTTACCTTTTATTGCATAAATCCAGTCAGAAGGCAGATGACCAAGTAAGTAAACTGAAATACTGTGTTTTAACTATGGATCTCAAATATATTTGATCAGATGAACTCAGACTGATGAATCTATCCTTTTAGTAAAACCTCAGCGATAACTGGTCATGACCTCTGGACCCACTCCGACTGAGGATCTCATCCAGATTTCTACATCAGAGTTTATCTGAGCATTTCTCTCTTTGCTCCACAGGAAATGTTGTGACACTAAAAACATTCAAAGTCCTAAAAGAACGGAGTCTTCTTTAATATTACGTTAAAGTGAAACACTTAGAGACAGTACAGACAAAACACTTATTAAAGGAACACGTCCAATAGATCTGCTTTGTTAAAATATATATTTCTGTTATATTTATTTATCACATCCTGTTATATATAAATATATATATATGTGTCCAGACTCCATACCAATCAACACTCAGTGCGGTGCAGCGGGTGAACTTTGAGGAGAATTACATGAGGCTGAAACAATTTGGACTCACTGTCACACGACTACATCAACACACATCTTTGACGGACTGAAGAGGGAGCTGAAAGGACCTACAAACTAAAACATCACACAAGTGATGCCTACGAAGAACATCTGAGGCGTGCTGTGTCGCTGGGAGGAAATCACCACGCTAGAACAAGAACAGCAGCAGCAGCACTGGACAGCATGCAGAAGCTGGGCAGCTTTGACCCGTCGCGCTGACTAGTGGGAGAGGCCAAAGACAGTCCTGCCATGTTTGACGGGAACATGGAGCTACTTACTTACAGCCACATGAGCTTTTTACTGACACTTTATTATGTATAAAAACAACAACCGTAGTCTCTCAACAACAGACCACAGAGATGAAAAAGAAACTTCCAGATTTCTGAATCTTAAGGGCCTTTAGACTCATAATGCATGTTTTATTCAGGGTTGAGGTTGTAATAATAGTACATTTGATTTGAGGTGCTGATTTAGAATCACCATGCAGGGTTAGGGTTAGGGAGGCTGGAGCCAGCAGTGTCCGGGCATGCAGGCGGGGTACACCCTGGACAGGTTGCCAGTCTATCACAGGGCAACACAGAGACACACAAGACAAACAACCATGCACAGACACACACCTAAGGATAAGTTAGACAGACCAATCAACCTGACAATCATGTTTTCGGACTGGGAGAACCCATGCATGCACATGGAGAACATGCAAACTCCATGCAGAAAGACCCCAGGTTGGGATGTGAACTCAGGACCTTCTTGCAAGGCAACAGCTCTAACCACTGTGCCACTGGGCAGCCCAGTCACCAAACAGTGAGGGGGAAATATTAAAAACAATCACAACAGATTAAAAAAGAATTACAGTGATTGACCAGCAAATCTAAAACCAAAATAAAATACTTAAATTACAGTTAGTTACAACGAGTAGACAATCTTGAACAGCTGGGTTTAAGTTTAGCTGTGAAATGGTGCAGGGTGGTGGTATTCCTGAGGTCAGCTGGTAAGGAATTCCACAGGGATGGCGCATGGGGAAGTTGGGATTGTGGAGGTTAATGGAAGCTGACGATGTGAGCGCGTGGGAGGGTGTAGACGTTTGTAAGAGCTGCGAGAGGTGAGGTGGAAAGGTTGTGAATGGTCTCATACGTGAGAAGCAAGATTTTGTAATCAACCCTGAATTTCAGTAGTATCCAATAAGCTGCTGAATAACGGGGGGGTCATGTGATCAGAGGAGGGTGTTTCATGATGATGCGAGCAGCAGTTTTAGACCCGTTGCCGTTTATGCGGAGGCTTCTGTGGCAGACCAACAAGGAGTGAATTACAATAGTAACTCTCCGGTGGAGTGAGAAGAGAGAGATGGGCGCAGGTGGTAGTAAGTGACAGAACTGATATGAGGGTGTTAGGACAGAGTCCAGAATTACACCAAGGCTCTTAATCGGATCAAGGCAGTTAATGGGAAGGACTTCCTTTTGTCAGAGTTCAGCTTATAAGTGTGGATTACTCGTTTAATCATTACATTTGCAATGGTCTCGAGTAGGAATGAATGCCTTGCAGGCAGAACTCAGGGCACAAAAAAGCCCACAGGACCAGTCTGCAACATCACAGCTGTACTTCAAACGGGAGGATTTGGGCCCAATCTCAACACTCGCACTGCGCCCTGCGGTCTTCGGCTAAGTGCACTTGGAGAAAGTGCGCTGTAAGGCTTCGAGTGCGTAGTACACAAGTGTGCAAATAACTGCAGAATTGAGACAAGGAGCATTGCGTCATCGATCGAAACGCATGCCGGGATGCTGGCTGCTGTGATACTTTTTTCAAAAACCTTTATTAACAGCTTTTAAACAAACAGTTAAACAGCTGTTTGAAATAAATTTGACTTCTTTGCTACTTTGTCTGAAAGTTTTAGAGCATCAACTAATCGTCCTAAAATTAACTAATTTCATTAGAAAATATATATTTTCAGAAAAGGAACTTGAGCCTTTTCTCCTGCAGCAATGACTTGTGGGTAATACCCTTGCCCGAGGTTCGCATCGCTGCGGACTTGGGTGAAGTGCAGATTAACGGTGCAATAGGGGCGTGGTCAACTTCCGCACTTGAGAATCGGGACGCCCTACGCACTCGCACCCCTGGCCGGAACGCGCAATTGAAGGGCACAAGTGAGAGTATTGGGATTGGGCCATAGAGTCTTATTTCCAGACATTTAGACATCTTGTCTCAGATTGGATAACAGCAATGCGACTAACACTAACTCTGTTTGCTCGGGGACATGGATGTTTTACCTCCACAAATAACAAGCCTGGAGGACCTTCAGCCATGTGATTGATTTGCTAATGCTAGCAGTTAGCTTCTGTTGAAAGAGACATTCTCTGCTGATTCTGTACGCTAAAGCAACAACAGCCTTGCCCATCGTGAGTCAATATGGACAAGTCCAATTCACAATGTGATGTAGATCTGTCAGGCTTTTCATACCCTAGAGTTTCACCATCTGTTTTCTATCAGAAGCTAATGCAGAAGATAGGTGTAGGAGACTATCTTTGTGTTCAGCCTGCATTAAAAACTCAGAGTAACCGATTATAATCACTAAAAAAATGTTTTCAGTCAATCACACTTTTAAGGAAGTTGGAAGTGAACCAGGACCTAATCTCTGTAAGGCATTCAGTGAGTGAGGTTTGCAACGGAACAAAGAAGTCACGGTTTGGATCAGATCACGGTTTTCGTTCTCGGATCGGATCATTTTCTTGTTCTTGTTGTAGAACACTTGATACAATTATTTTTTGCTCGATTTGCAACTTGCTACAAAAATATAAAATACGGAGAGGTCTGATTACTGATTAAATGTTAAAACGGCATGCCCTATTTAGACATGCTAACCCCAAATGCACACTGGAAGCATCAGCGGCGCAGAACGGCATCAGAACGTCACTGCTTCAAATAGAATCCATCTTTGGAGTGCCACAAACCAGCCGCGACAGCAATTTTCAGACGCATCCCAGAAGCGGCACACCGCGCCGCTAAAGATAGAATCGGGTTCTTTTTTTCCGTGAGCCGCTTCTGGGATGCGTCAATTACCGCAGTTAACATGGGGCACAACAGGAAATCACACACGATTTCAGTCTAAAATCCCCAGTAATTTTCAAAATAAAGGTATTGCAGTTATGCAAATTTCATATGAAGATCATGTCTGACCAAATGGCAGGGTACGAATTACATAGAGGCTTCCGGGGGAGCCCAGTGAGATGGGGGTGGAGGGTGCAACTTGGTCCCTGAAATGCCTTGATACGGCCCTGGGTGTGGGACTGAGCTTTGAAGGTGATCTGAATTGTATCAAATGTATAAATATTACAAGCTAATAAATAATTGCTTTAGAAAGTTAAAACATGTAGTGGGATAAATCTCCAGACATTTAACTTGTTTCCTGGAGAGTCCACATAAATAATGTAATATAAGTGGAACCAGGATCTTTATTTGGGCTCCCCCTGGGTGTGTAAGTTCAGGGCTTCCAGGGGAGCCCATCACCCTTTCTGATGAACCATGCTCCCCTTAGCTCCCCGTGATTCAAACCCTGCCTAACGGCTTATTTACTCACAACATCATTCCAGAAGTGCAGCAATGTGTTTTTCACGGCTTTAGTCATGGCAGTGAAGAGGAACAACATCATATGTGACATCAAAGTGCGATAACAACGTGATTTCTTTCTTTTTGGTTTAAGGGCGGAAGGCATGAAAAAAACGTAACCTTGGACGATCCCTGAAGTCTTGAGGCATTTGTGATCTTGTGAGTGGCAGAGAAGCTGCTTCACTGCTGAGACTCTCCAGGTGTGCACTGGAGTGCTGTGATTGTCGTGAGTAAACCGTTCCGCTGCCGTTGCGCTCCGCTGATGCTTTCAGTGTGCAGCCAGGGTAAACTCTCTGCGTGTCCCGCTTTCACTAATTTTTTCACCTTTCTAAAGTGCTGTTTATTTTTCTTTCTTCCTCTTTTACAGATTTGTCTGCAACAACATTTACAGGTTCCACCACGTTAATGTAATAATAGGGCTTGGGATCACATGTGATTTTGCGTTGCATTCTAGGATGTGCGTGGACATACAGATGGCCTTAAGAGTGTAAACAAATGGTGTAAACAAACAGTACGTCACAGATTTGGGAGACAGAACGTGTTAAACAACATGTTAAAATCCCCAAAAGTGTGCAGAATATACAGGGATACGTTAAAAAATGTGTCGGGAACTGGAATGTGGACAAGATCAGCATTATAAACGGCTTAGTTCCAAGTGAAAGACCAGAATGGAGCACAGACTAAAACTTGTTGCAGCTGCAGCTCTGCATAATGGATATTTTCAGCTATCTTGTTTGTGGTTTAAGCAGATATAAACATCCAGATGAAAGGAAAATATCTCATTTGCTGGTTTTTCTAGTAAAGTTGTGTCGCGTGTCACCGCACACGCATTAGCCTACCGGTATGTGTGTGTAGCCCATGTATGTGTAGTGTGTTTATGTCATGGTTGAAGGAAAGAAACTATTTATAAAAAAAAATGGACACCATCTGTAACATACCAGAATGAAAATACTCCAGAAGGTGATGTTTGGTCACCTCACAGCTGCAATCCAGGCAAACTGACTAGATTTTGTTATACTAGATACTTGATCTCCCTAGTTATACCCCCAAGCAGGAAAACATTGAAAAGTTAGCTAGTTTTCCACCATTTTCCTTGGTAATCACATGCTGCACCTCATAATTCAGCAGCGATTTACCATGGCTGCATAATATAACCGATCAAATCAATAATAGATTAAATTAAGCCCGCAAGAACAAGACTGATGATCTGTTGCCCCCCCCCACCCCCCCCAGAGAGGATGGTGGAAGCATTGAAGATAGAGCAGTTGAAATATAAACCTGGTGTCATCAGCGTAACAATGAAAGTTGATGTTAAATTTAGAAAAGTTTGAACCCAAAGGGATCAGATAGATTATGAATACTAGGGGGCCAATGACAGAACCTTGAGGAACCCCACATAAAACACAAGAAAGAGTGGAGGTAAAATTAGTCAAGCTAAGATGTGACTTGAACCAGTTAAGTGGAATGTGAGAATTGCCTATTGTGGATAGGGGGGAGTGACAGATGGTGTCAAATTCAGCACTGAGGTAAAGGAGAATGAGGATAGAGACCGAGCCAGAGTCAGCAACATTAGAAGATCATTAGTGATTGATCTCGTTTGAATTAAGCAGGCCATTCTGTTCTGACATGTATTTGTTCCGTTCATGTGTGCATGTTGTGGTCCCTCTGGACAGATGGTTGCTTGAAGGTGTAAGACGAACCCCGAAGCTAACACCTGACAGTGGAAGGTTATTTTAACTCAGAACGTGAGTCAGCAGTTAGCTGGTTAGTTATCCTGTTGAACCAGTAGGTCAGGTCAGTTATTCTTAATACATATTAATACATTGCAGTTATGGTCTGGTAACGCAGATCAGATATAATTTTGACAAAAATATCTAGATTTTTTTGGCTGGTGACTGTATAAAATGTCATGTCTACATTTGATGAGCCGTGTTCATAGGGCAGTACTGAAACTTACCTCCTATTTGTCATGAAGTCAATTTGCCAACATCAAATGACTTTACTGATGAAAATATGCATAATTTACATTTTATCTCCTTGCATGAGTCAACGAGAATCATGCCAAAGCTTTTCAACAAACAAGGCAATAGTATATTTCACAAAGCTATTTAGTTAGTGACCCCACCTGAATCCTCCCTGAGCCTACAAACAGGTCTCGGGACAAGCAGCCATGTTACCATTTGTCTGGGGCTCTTTCAAGAACCTCTCCACTTCCTGTGTGTCCACTGTGATGTTCTTCTGCCTGAACTCAACCCTTTCCTCCTTTTCCTTTATCACCATCTCCTGTTCTTCTCTCACCTTTTTCTCCTCATCATCGTTCACCTCTGCACTTGTGCTGCACATCTTTGAAGTACAATCGTCGGTTGCTGTGATGCTCTCTAGTTTGTCTGCTGGCTCAGGGGACCTCTTAATGAACAGAAAATTGCCGGCAGCTAGAACCACAGCAGACAGCACCACTTCACATCCCGCCAGCAGGAAGACATACATGTAGTTGTTGGTGGCATCAAGCAGCCGCCCTGAAACAAAGACAAGATCAAATGAGAGTTGTATTAACCTACATATTCGTTACATTATGGCTCAAAACATTTTTTTTTACGACCAAATTGTTTTTTTTACCAATGCAAAATTGCATGGGTAAAATAATTAGCTCTCAGGGTGCACAGTAAGCTGGCATGCACTCTATAAGTGAAACTGTCAACGTCCCGCTCTGTGCAAAGACAACTTGTTTAAATTGCCCTGTGGCATGAAACAGCTACTTCCGCGGCCACACACACAACACGTCACACCATTCAGTTCAACACAGCTTTATTTACTCCTTTCCCTTCGCTCTCCTTCTCCCAGCCCGCCCAGACGTTTCTCCTGGCTTTTCAGTCCCAGCTTGTCCTCCCCTGTCTTCCTCCTCCTCCTATAGTTAGAAGGCGAGGTCTGATTATTGATGCACTCCAGCTGTGTGGCAGCGTGCCCCCTCAGTTATGCCCGCTCCATCTGCCCATGGAGGATCAGACAGTAAGCTATCTGAAAGAGAGATGGTCATCCCAGAAGACAAGGGTCTCATCGGACTGTTTTGGTACCTCTGGCCCCAAATCACTCTTCCCCCGAACTGCACACAGTAGAGATACTGGCGCCTCCTCTCTTCGTGCTTTTAGGAGATTCAGGTGATAGATCTGAGTGGCTACTCCCCTGTCAGACTGCACCACCTCGTAGTCCACGTCCCCCACTCACCGCGTTACCTCAAAGGGTTCTTGCCACTTGGTGAGTAGTTTGGAGCTGGAAGAAGGGAGTAATACAACAACTTGATCCCCTGGGTAAAATTCTCATACCCTGTTGATGACGTTCCTGGGCCTGGAGCAAATGTCCTCGTGAAAGTGTTCCCAGTGTTTGGAGCTTTGCTCTCAGGTCCAGGACGTAAAGGATGTCATTTTTACTTATGCTTGGACCTTCCTCCAAATTTTCCTTAATTAGGTCCAGCATTCCCCTGGGGGGTTCTGCTAAATAACAGCTCAAAAGGGGGAAACCCTGTGGAGGCTTGGAGGAACCTCTGGGATTGCGAACAACAGAGGGTCCAGTCACTTATCCCAGTGACGTTTGTTCACGTGAATGAGCTTCCGAATCATGGTCTTCAATGTGCGGTTGAAACGCTCCACCAACTCGTTTGTCAGCAGGTGGTAGAAACTGGTTCCTACCGATGTGATGTCCAATAGAAAGAAAAGAAAGAAGAAAGAAAACAATATTTTGTACAGCGACTCTTAAGATAAAAATCACGAAGCACTTCACAAGAACAAAAATTTCTAAAACCAAAATATATATAAAAAAAAAAAAAAGATTTTCCTTTAAATCTGAGACCATGGTCTTGATTCGGGAAAGGGTAGAATTCCTTCTCCGGGTCAGGGATGAGGTCCTGCCCCAAGTGGAGGAGTTTAAGTATCTCGGGGTCTTGTTCACGAGTGAGGGAAAACTGGAGCGTGAGATCAATAGGCGGATTGGTGCTGCGGATTGGGACTATGTCTCTCACCTGGCCAGGGAACGCCTTGGGATTCCCCCGGAGGAGCTGGCCCAAGTGGCCTTAGGCTACTGCCCCCACGACCCGACTCCGGATAAGTGGATGAAAACGGATGGATGGATGGATTTTAAAATATCATAAAAAGGAGGTGAAAAAAATGTGATAAAAATGTAAGGAAAGGGATTGGGAAAATAAATAAGAAAAAGGTGTATTTACGGAATATTTTCGGAAAAGGGTAGAATTCCTTCTCCGGGTCAGGGATGAGGTCCTGCCCCATGTGGAGGAGTTTAAGTATCTCGGGGTCTTGTTCACGATTGAGGGAAAACTGGAGCGTGGGATCGATAGGCGGATTGGTGCTGCATGTGCAGTGATTTAAAATCCATCCATCCGTTTTCATCTGCTGATGTATATTTACGTCTTGTAGGTTTATTAATGGGCTGTGCAGTGGCGCAGTGGTTAGATGGGAAAGGTGGAATTGGTAGACAGAGCAGATAAGGAGAGGGTGGTGATGAAGGTCACACCAAAGCCTGAACAGGTGAGTTTTCAGCTGATTTTTAAAGAAGACCACTGAGTCCACGGATCTCAGGCTCAGGGGGAGAGAGGTCTAGAGTCTGGGGACCACAGCAGCAGATGTACCAGAATTATGTTAATCACATATTTTAGCTATCCTTGTTTTTAATTCTTATTTTGTATGTATTTTTTTTACCTTGTTTTAAATTGTAATGTCTGTGCTTTATGTACATGGGACTACGGATGGAAACTAGTTTTTCTAATTCTGGTATACGTCTTGAAGGGTTTATTAATGGGCTGTGCAGTGGCGCAGTGGTTAGAGCTGTTGCCTTGCAGCGAGAAGGTCCTTTCTGCATGGAGCTTGCATGTTCTCCCTGTGCATGTGTGGGTTCTCTCTGGGTGCTCGGGTTTCCTCCCACAGTCCAAAAACATGACTGTTAGGTTGATTGGTCTGTCTAAATTGTCTTTAGGTGTCTGTGTGCATGATTGTTTGTCCTGTGTGTCTCTGTGTTGCCCTGTGATGGACTGGCTCTCTGTCCAGGGTGTACCCCGCCTGATTGCCCGTTGACCGCTGGAGATAGGCACCCCCCCCCCCCCCCGCGACCCCGCGTGGACAAAGCGGGTTCAGACAATGGATGACGTTCATTAATATGCATTGTCCCATTCAATAAATAAATTCAAATTCAAATGATCTGTCACCTATAGCCTGGTGCTGCACAACCAGTAGGCTTTGGTCACTGGACCTCAGGGACCCTCTGGGGATGTAGTAAGTAAGTAAGTAAGTAAAAGTTTATTTATATAGCGCCTTTCACAGATATAAACACAAAGCGCTGTGGGTGTAGGGACTGAGAAGATCACCAATGTATGGTGGTGCTTGTCCATGTAAGGTTCTATAGACCAGGGGTCTCATTTATCAAACACTGGTAGAATCCTTACTAAAACCGTACTTATGTTCAGCAAAAATAAAGTACTTATGCGAAGTAGGTTTGTGATCTATCAAACATGGAGTACACACAGCTGCACGCAATCTCCGCTTCATAAATCGAAGACTAACGAGAATGTTTCTCAGCTGCTCTTTAGTCACATCCCGCCCTCACCACGCCCACTTACTGCCATAAATAGTCAATGCAAAGTGCCTTGTGGACCTCATGCATATACATAAGCCGGCTGTTGCAGCGCTCCACCAATGACGATGGTGACCGTAGATCAAGGCAGATCAAGGAAGCGATATTTCACAGAAACAGAAATTCAGGTACTTGTGGGTGAGGTGGAGAAAAGAAAGGAAGTGCTTTTGCAAAACAAATAAGAGAAATCCACGGAGTGGCACAGCGTTGCTGAAGCCGTCAATGCTGAGTTCTTCAGAGAGATCTGTCGCGGACATAAAAAAAAAGGTCCAATTGGGATTCGATCCCCAGACTCCAGGGTGAGAGTCATGTGCGCTAACCAGTCAGCCTAATGTGCAGTTGCAACAACCTGGAGCTCAATGCTCAGAAGACAGTGGAGATGATTGTGGACTTCAGGAAAGTCACAGCCCCATCTCTCCCCCTCGTCCTGACGGACACCCCCGTCACCACTGTGGACTCCTTCCGCTTCCTCTGACCCACCATCACACATGACCTTAGGTGGGAGCCATCTATCAGCTCCCTGATCAAAAAGGCCCAGCAGAGGATGTACTTTCTGCGGCAGTTGAAAAAGGCCAAGCTGCCGGCCCAGATGATGGTGCAGTTTTACACGGCCATCATTGAGTCCATCCTCACCTCCTCCATCACTGTGTGGTACGCTGGAGCCACGGTGAGGGACAAACATAGACTGCAGTGCATTGTGCGCTCTGCTGAGAAGGTGATTGGCTGCAGCCTTCCATCTCTCCAGGACCTGTACGTCTCCAGAACTCGGGGGCGTGCAGGTCGGATAGCAGCTGACCCTTCTCACCCGGGTCACAGACTTTTCGAGCCGCTTCCCTCAGGCAGGAGGTTACGGTCCATCCAGACCAGAACCTCCCGCCATAAGAACAGCTTCTTTCCATCTGCCGTTAGACTTGTGAACAGCTTATAAACACACAACCATGTTCGTCTTCTGTACTTGACATAACGTCACGTTATCGGCCATATTACCATTACCTGCCTTTTTTTGATAGCTGAATGTTTTATGCTAGTTTTATTATATTTTATTCTACTTATTCTATTTTTGAAATTTATTATTCATGTTATATGTAGCACATTAGTACCGAAGCAAGTTCCTAGTTTGTGAACTGCTTGTTCACTGACAATGGCAATAAACCTTTTCTGATTCTGATTCTGATTCTAATGGAGAACTCACTTAGCCAAGTAACCAGGGTGCATGATCAATCGTGTCACAGTGACAGGACACACACACTGTCACAGGCGCATAACATTCTGTCTCAATCTGTCGCCCTGCTGATATTCTGCATTCCGTATTCTGGCTGTGTGTGTGTGTGTGTGTGTGTGTGTGTGTACACGTGTGGGGGGTCTTGTTCTGTGTGAAAACGAAGCGGTACAAGTGATAATGCTGCAGGATTTCATAATTGTATCTTCTCAGCAGCAGCACTGCAGGAGCTCTCCATGTCCAACATGTGTGTAAGCCAGGTCCTTAGTCAACTTAAAGTTGTGCACATTTTTCCACTAAGTTTTCTTTCATAAATCCCAAAGTTTGCGTGGAAAGCTGCTTACGCAGTTTTCCGACCCCGTTTTGTGCTTAAGCAAGCTTGATAAACGAGGCCCCAATTAGTATTTGTTGATTTAACAATTTAATCTCAGTATATTCACACCTTGTTTTAATTGTTGAATTAGTAATTTAACATTCACTCCACACACACATGTAAGAACATTTTCACTTCACACTAAGAGTTAACCTCTCTGAGTATGAGTGAAGGCGTGACTTTCTGAGGACTTTGTTAACGCCCTTTTAAACGTGTCAAGTTCTTATTTGTCTAGAATTTATAAACAACATTTGATAAATACAGGAATCACTTCCTGATTCATTAGTTCTTCAGCTGCCATCTGGTTTGGCCAGTCGGGTGAGCCAGCATTTTGAGACCATCCTCTCTTTTGACCCCAAGGTCAAAGCCTCTCTGCAACACTGGCGAGTGATTTAAGACACGACGACTCTTTTAAGAGCCACCAGCACCTCAGACGGACATCTAACCTGCAGACCCTGTTGCAGCTCACGGCTGGACTAGAAATCTGAATTCAAAAGGGAAATGCGTCTCTTTGGGTTCCTGTGGTCTCGACGTCCGGTGAAACTCACCACTCGGGCCGCTTTCGTCCGGACCGCCGGTGGGCAACCGTCACACAAAGGGTGTGTCGACTCTGCGCGACTGCGTCGGACGGTTTTGTAAACAACGCTCTAGCTTATCAAACCATAGAGCCAAACAGATTTTCCCACCCAGACTTCACAATCTCTCTCTCTCAGATACAAGGTTCTGCTAAAACAGCATGCTCACATTCCACCATTTCATTCATCCTCGGTTACCTGCACAACCATCATTTCATTCATACTTTGTCATGAACAATCATTTAGTTTAGGAAATAGAATTAAAATCGATTTTATAAACTCTATTCTTGACTCTGTCTGGATCAGGCCCGCACAATGTGGCTCAAAAATTGAAGCAATCCCAGGGGTACCAAAAATTGCAGTTCCACCCTCATCCACTAGGGGCTGGTGTCAGAAGCGAGCAAATCCTCATTGACTCCCATGTTAAAAATACCAATTTCACAGCAGAAATAAACATGTTTACAGCCTGGTACCAAAACATGTTTTTGGTTTAAATGATCTAGTTTACACTCATGACAACTCTGAGGGAGGTGAATTTTTTTTCTCACTCTTCTGTTTAAGTGTATTAAAAGCCTAAAATTCTGTATAATTAATGAGCATCAGACCCACGTGACCACAGAGCTAGCTCCGTGGAAAGGCCTCAGTAGAGCCTCGGTCTGGCCTGGAAACTGCTCCGGGAGTTTGAGTCTCTGTGTTTGTTTATTCTTGTTTGGATATTTTTTTGTGCAATTGTTGGACAAAATGACTTGCTGTGGCATTAATTGCACTAATAGAGCGTCCAAGGAGTCTCCACTTCATTTTTTTCGGTAAGTAAAATTATATTTATGTATTTTAGGTCACTGCCGAGCTGAGCTTAGATTTTAACATGTACTGTTTAACCATGAAATTTAAATGTAATAGGGTAAAACCCAGTGCATTTAACATAATGCTGCACTTTAGAAAATGGGTTGAAATATAACATGTTGGTGGAGCTGGGTTCCGACTATCGGCTTGTGGAGCTCTCGGGAGACCGATGTTTTCCACCCGGTTCTCCCCTCCCCGCAGCTCGGTGCATCTCTGTCTGATCACGGCGTCTGTCTGCTGCGCGGGCTGCCGGCTTGTGGAGCTCTGGGATGGAAACCTTTCCACCCGGTTCTCCTCAGCGGTCAGCCCGGCGTATCTCTGACTCAGAAGCTCTGGTGTTGTGCACAGTTAACTCCGGTTGTAGCTAGGTTGCTACCTCCGTTAGCTTAGCTCCCACCTCCGCATTAGCTTTGGGTTAGCTTCAGGTTAGCTTGTAGCTAGTTCGACCGGGTGTCGTCAGTTGATCCCAGCCTTACAGCCCCACCCTCAGCTCCACCTCTCTTCCCTTTTGTGGAATTGTCTGGGCTTGTTGGAACCTGTGACACGGTCAAAATGGCGGTGGTGGCCACCTCCCATTTCTCCTCAAAAATGTGTTATTGGAGTCTATGGAAACCCATTGTCCAATATTTATATGTCGATGGTCTGGATTAATGGGAAGGGTGTGTTCCCTTAAAAGTCAAAGAAACTAAAGTCTTCTGATTAAACATTCAAAAACCAATCAGATTGATATTTATATGTAATATCACATCTTATTGATCATTTAATAAATAAGTAGCCAATCCTTAACTCTACACATGACTGTATTTTCCTTCTAATCTAATTCTGACCACATGGGTAAGATTGTTCCTACTCATGAAATATGCACAGGTCTGTGCGTAAGTATGGCTGATGGATAAGGGCCCTAGTGATTGCACTTTCCAGTCTGTTGCACCTCCTTGCCTATGGAAGGAGCTGTCTTTACCTTTACGTTGCATCCACGGTCTGGACGCCTTTAAAAAGCAGCTAAAGACCATTTGATTTAAAACTGTTTTTACTTAAATCTTTTCTGTTTTTTTATTTGTTTCATGACTTTTTCCATCTTCAATCTTTCATTTGTTTTATGATATTTTCAATGATGTTTTTTTTCAATCATTTTTTAATTTTTGTGAAGCAGTCTGATTTTATTGTTTGTGATTAGTGCTATGTAGATACATTTTCTTAGACCAGTAAACCCATCCATCCATCATGAAGTTAGTTTAACATGGTAGATTACTTTTGCTTGGCAAAATCCATCCATCCATCCATTTCATCCACTTATCCGGAGTCGGGTCGCGGGGGCAGTAGCCTAAGGCGAGAGGCCCAGACTTCCCTCTCCCCAGCCACTTGGGTCAGCTCCTCCTCTCTAAGGGAGAGCCCAGCCACTCTTCGGAGAAAACTCATTTCAGCCGCGTGTATCTGTTATCTCGTTCTTTCGGTCACTACCCAAAGCTCATGACCATAGGTGAGGGTAGGAACGTAGATCGACCGGTAACTCGAGAGTTTCGCCTTCTGACTCAGCTCTCTCTTCACCACGACAGACCGGTACAACATCCGCATCACTGCAGATGCAGCACCAATCTGCCTATCGATCTCGCGCTCCAGCTTTCCCTCACTCGTGAACAAGACCCCGAGATACTTAAACTCCTCCATTTGGGGCAGGACCTCATCCCTGACCCAGAGAAGGCATTCTACCCTTTTCTGAATCAAGACCATGGTCTCAGATTTAGAGGAGCTGATTCTCATCCCAGCTGCTTCACACTCGGCTGCGAACCGCTCCAGCGAAAGCTGAAGATCACGTTCTGATGAAGCCAACAGGACCACATCATCTGCACAAAGCAGACACCTGATCCTCAGGCTATCAAAACGGATGCCCTCCACACCTTGGCTGCACCTAGAAATCCTGTCCATAAAGGTTATCAACAGAATCTGTGACAAAGGGCAGACTTGGCGGAGTCCAACTCTCACTGGGAATGAGCAGGGGCATCGTTAGGCCCGGGTACTTGGGCTCAAGCCCCGAATGTTTTATGAAAAGCCCCAGATCTAAAACGCGGAAGTAACATGCAGTACCAAAGTCCAACAGAGACAGAGCAGCTGGCAGTAGTTTGTATACAGCCTGCCTGAGCCTCCACCACTGAAGAAGAAGCCCTTCAGCAGCCGGCTTCTTTTACACTCTGTCTGAAACGCATGAGTGAAGATGGACATAAGGACGTTTTTTAGACAAAAAGTACGGCAACAGAACCCCAGCTTTGATGATACTGGTGTTGACTCAGGTTTGTGAGTCTTATTTGAAAATATTTGTTGTGCTGCTGGTTTGCCTAAAGTTAGCTTATCAGGTAAAGTTGTTGGAGAAAGAACGGGAATATTTACTATCATCTCACACTAAACACTAACAGGAACAATACTCTGCCCTGAATATGCTTAATATGTAGCTTCAGATTAAAAATTATGTGGTACAAGACAAGTGTGTGTGTGTGTGTGTGTGTGTGTGTGTGCGTGCGTGCGTGCGTGCGTGCGTGTGTCTTCTTCAGTCCTAAATCCGCCCCGGGGAATGAGCCCGACTTACTGTCCGCAATGCGGACCAAGCTCTGACACCAGTCATACAGGGACCTAACAGCCCATATCAGAGGGCCTGCTACCCCGTACTCCCGGAGTACCCCCCACAGGGCCCCCCGAGGGACGCGGTCAAACGCCTTCTCCAAATCCACAAAACACATGTAGACTGGTTGGGCAAATTCCCACACACCCTCCAGGATCCCCCTAAGGGTATAGAGCTGGTCCAGTGTTCCACGGCCAGGATGAAAACCACATTGCTCCTCCTGAATCTGAGGTTCAACAGTCCTACAGACCATCCTCTCCAGAACCCCTGAATAGACCTTACCAGGAAGGCTCAGGAGTGTGATCCCCCTGTAGTTGGAACACACCCTGCGGTCCCCCTTTTTAAATAAGGGGACCACCACCCCGGTCTGCCAGTCCAGTGGGACTGCCCCTGATGTCCACGCAATATTGCAGAGCCGCGTCAGCCAACACAGCCCCACAACATCCAGAGCCTTAAGGAACTCTGGGCGGATCTCATCCACCCCCGGAGCCTTGCCACAGAGGAGCTTTTTAACCACCTCAGTGACCTCAGCACCAGAGATTTGAGAGGCCAACTCCAAGTCCCCAGACTCTGCTTCCTCACTGGAAGACACGTCGGTGGGATTGAGGAGGTCTTCGAAATATTCTGCCCACCGATCCACAACGTCCTGAGTAGAGGTCAGCAGCACACCGTCCCCGCTATAGAAAGTGTTGGTAGCGCACTGCTTCCCCCCCTGAGGCGCCGGATGGTGGACCAGAATCTCCTCGAAGCCGTACAGAAGTCTTGCTCCACGGTCTCACCGAACTCCTCCCATGCCCGGGTTTTTGCCTTGGCGACCACCGGAGCCGCGTTCCGCTTGGACTGCTGGTACCCGTCAAAAACCAGCAGAGCTTACTGACCTGCACCTGGTGGTCCCACCAGCACAGCAATCGCCTCCATGAGTAGAACCAGGCCAATGGCACTGGAGAATTTCTCTGTTCCAACTATTGCCATCAGAACCTCAAACTGCAGCGCACCCACCATGCCATAGGAGATGCCAAAGAAGATGCAGAAGGCCACCAGTGATCCATAGTCCTTAGACTGGGAAGAAATAAAGACATTGTTCAGGTAGAAGTCTCATTATTTACACTGATGGTTTCCATCAAGCATTCACTCACCTGTGAGCCAATTAGATCTGCGATTCCATTGAAAATCATAGCAAAGCTGAAAAAGTAGACACAGCGTGGCCGAACCCACTTCAGCCCTGCAATCACGCCACATGTAGGTCGGGCAAAAATGTCAATGAAACCCAGGATGGTGAGCAGCAGGGCAGACTTGGTGTCTTCATTTCCAAGTTTCTTAGCATAGCTCACAACAAACACTGGAGGCACAAACAGCCCCAGCACCATAATGGAGGCTGCCACGGTGTAAATGGCAAAGCCACGGTCCTTAAACACAGAAAAGTCTAATAGTTTGTGTTTAGCCCTCTTCTTCGCTACCTCTGGCTCCGTCTCATAATCTTCAGCCAGCTCCTTGGTCTTCAGAGGTTTGGGAGCAACTAGAGGCTTCATGAGGGCTCCACACACACAGCAGTTCAGTAGAAGGCCACCAAGAATGAGGAAGCCCCCCCTCCATCCATACTGGTACTGAAGCACCTGTCCCAGAGGTGAGAGGCAGCACAAGGCCACGGGGCTACCAGCAGCTGAAAGGCTATTGGCCAGTGGACGCTTCTCACTGAAGTAACGGTTCAGCATTATTAGAGATGGCTGAAAATTTAGGGCTAATCCCAGACCTGAGGAACGCCAAATAAATCCATTAGATCAACGTTTTAATCATTAAACGGGCTAACCAAAAGAGTAAAGAGTCAAACCTGTGATGACTCCAGTCGAGAGATAGATGTGGATGATACTGGTAGAGAAGGAGGCCAAGATCATCCCAAGGGAGGCAAAGAGGCCTCCCACCATCATCACTGGGCGACAGCCGAAGCGGTTAACCAGCACACTGCAGAGAGGACCTGCACAGGGTGTGTGTACGTGTGTGTGTTTGGGGAGGTCATCACCATCAACATCTAAACTCTAACACTGGAAGACCTCCACGTTTTTACTGGAGTTTGGGAAGTCACTCTGTGTTTGATCTAACAACTAAACTCCACTCATTTTGGTTCAAAGTTGTAGTTTTCTTCACTCAGAACAAAAGTCACAGCTAATTCCAATGATTTTTACACATTTTTGATTAAAAAGAGAAAACCAGATGAATGACCTGCTCACTTTGTTAGGCTTCAGGGTTTGGATGGATCCGTTTTTACCTTCAGTAGCTTGTTCAGAGCAGATAGGGAACGTGATCAGCACCCAGGTCTAACCTCTGACCTTCTTAGTCTTAGCCACAGTTCTTAAGTCAATAAAGGAAAGAGAACAGAGATCTCGTAATGCAGAAAGACTTAATGAGTTATGACACAATGGTCCTTCAGGAGCTTTGTCCCACTCCTAGATTGATGTTGCCAAGGCAACAACCTAAACACTGATCCTATCTGACCAAATGAAAAAGTTCCATTCACATGGAGGATTGAGTATTGAGGGAGAGATTTGTTAAGGCTCATGTTTAAGGTGTTACGTTTAAAATGTTGTCTTCAGAAGGTACAACCTCTAAAGGTCTGAGAGGAGTTTAGGATAATCCTCCTCAGCTGGTACCACTTGTATGTTTGTGCTAAACGATGAGCCTTATGTCTGATGGCCACAACCATCTCTTTGTGAGGAAAAGCAACGACACATCGTAGACAGGAGAGACGAATCTGTGTTTTCCAACATTCCCTACTGCTGTACATCTGGTTGAGTCTGGATCTACCCCACCAACGGGGCAAATTTGACCCAGATATTCAGAACAGCAGGTTTTTATTCACCACAACCAGTAAACCCATTGGAACAACAGTTGTCTTTGATGTTGTTTATTCCATGACAACACCACCCGTCAGCTTCAGTGTAGAAGTTCACCGGATCTAGATCTGCACCAACAGGGTTGGTCCTTTTTATCGTGGAAACTCAAGATCAGGCTTGGTGTTGGAAGACCAGTCCTGCTTTATAGCGGCAACCACTTAAACCCTTTGTGTAGCCTGACACTGCACCTACACTTCACTCCACAGCCCGTCTCAGAAAGGTCCCAAGTTGGGACGCATCTGAAGTTCAGTTTGAAAAATTGTTTCATCCAAACTCCTAACAACAGATTCTGACCCTGAATTTTCCTGTAGACTGACCCTCGTCACTGTTGAGTCCAAAGCAATTCCCCTCTCTGGAACTGACCTCCACAGAATCCCACGGTATGGGGACTACCACAAGATACCCAAAAACATTAACATTTAAAGGCCAAGTTCACTGGAAAATGTTCCATTTGTTATTTTTGAAATCTGATTGGTCACTCTGAGTATAGAGAAGCAATATAACAGCTCAAATGCTCGTGTAGCTACAGCAGTCCTTTATCTGTCAGACTTGTGTGAGTAATGTAAACAGAATTCACCTCACCTGTTCCATAAAGCATCGCCAGCAGAATGGAAGAAATCCAGGCTGTGTCGCTGTATCCAACACCAAATTCCCTGATGAGCTCTTTGAAAAAGACGCTAACTGCTTTCGGGAAAGCGTAGGAGAAACCGGTGATAACAAAACATCCAGCCAGTACAGCCCAGCCCCAACCTCCATCTGGAGCCTTCACACCTGTTGAACCCTCGTCCACCGCAACACCTCCCATGATGCTTTATGGCCGATTCTCAAGGAAGGTGGTGAGATCAGCTGGAATAAAAGATCATGCAGCAAAAGTTTGGACAGGGTTTTCTAACCAGGGTATCTGCAGGTTTAAGGGAGCCACATTTAAGACTTTTTAAGACCTTTTTTTAAGTCCATTTGACCAAATTTAAGCTATTTTTTAAAATTAAATTTAAGCTATAATTTCCAGCTATTGCCTGGATCCGGTACTAACCACGTCGTGAACGTGGGATTAGCCATCCAGTTACCAACGTTACTAACGTTACACTTCCCCATGGCGCAAACTCCCACTAGCATGCTCATCTAAAAATAGCCCACTTTCACAACCGACCGAATGTGTACGGTTCCGCTTACGCCAATATCATACACAAAACATGCTGAACACCAACTAGAAATTCACAAAAATTTTATAGAAATAAAAGAATCTTGTTTATTGGGTCTTTGGTAATTTAAGACCTTTGGAAACTATTTAAGGTTTATTTGTCATTTTTAAGGATTTTTAAGGTCTTAAATTTGGAAAAGCAAATTTAAGACTTTTTAAGGACCTGCATATACTCTGTCTAACAAAAACACAAATACAGATTCCCAATCTGACTTCCAAGCTGCGCATGTACGGAGGCAGCAGAGACCCACATGCAGCATGAAAACGTGCAAAAGGTGATTTTTGCATGTGTCCATTCACAAAATCACATTATATAAGGAAACAACACAGAACACAAACAGTGGGACAAAAACTGTCCCAAGGCTCTGTCCTTGGCCCCCTTCTGTTTCCACCATACCTCCTGCCCCTGGGGGGGGGGGGGGGGGGGGGGGGTCCTCCTTCAGCTCCATGGTGTTCAGTTCCATTTTTATGCAGATGACTGCCAGATCTGTTTGCCTTTTTCTCGGGGAGCAGAAGACTCTGTCTGCGTTATTGGGAAGTTAAATCATGGATGGGCTGCTAACTTCCTCTTCCTAAAGGAGTCTAAAACGGAGGTTGTAATACTGTTAGAGACGGCTGTCCAAGATAAAGCCTCTCCTGTCCAGAGTACATCTGGAAACAGTAGCATGTTCTTTTATCGTGTCCCGCATCGACTACTGTAATGCACTGTGTGCTGGACTGAGTCAGGCTACGACTGCACGACTCCAGCTAGTCCAAAACTCTGCTGTGAGGTTTGTGACTGGGACCAGAAGGAGAGACCATATCACGCCAGTGCTGGCTTCTCTGCACTGGCTTCCGGTGTTTCATCAGACAAGATTTAAGATCCTCCTCCATGTGTTCAGGGTGCTGCAGGGCAGGGCTCCCCCAAATCTTGCTGAACTGCTGCAGCGGCGTGTCCCCACTCGGGCCCTTCGTTCTGCTGAGCAGGAGTTGCTGGAAGTCCCCCGCTCTAAACTCCGATCAAGGGGGACCGGGCCTTCTACACTCTGGAAGGAGCTCCCTCTGGCAGTGCAGCAAGCTCCTTCTCTAGAGGAGTTAACTCGCTTTTATTTACTAGCTTTCCCCCAACATCGTTAACTCTGGCTTTAGTACTTTTACCTTTTGTACTTTATAGTTTTTAATTACTTTTATATTTATCTATTTTTCGTTAACTTCACTCTTTTATCTACTATGTTTTTTTATCCTCGTTTTTATGTGCTGTTCAGCACCTTGGGCCTCTGATAAGGTGGAGATAGGTGCTATAAAAATAAATCTGATTGATTGACTGATTGAATCGTTTCTGACTGCTCCTGAGGATTATACTAACCATCACACAGGACTGGTACCCGCAGCGTAAGGTGATGGATGGTTTTCAGGAGCAGTGACCGCAGCACACAGAGAAGACTCCACCGGCAACGCAGCACATCATCATCATAACTCCGTTGTGCTGAAATGAGTTTCGGTGATACTGATTTAGGGATCTGACACCAGACCAGTGCCTAGTTTTTTTTTTTTTCCAGGGCTGACGCTAAAAGGTTGCTGATTGGTTACCACCTCCTGTCTATGAAGACACTGATGCACTGTGTTTTTCATCTGTGCAGCATGATAATGAGAGGCCTGGGTTGCCGTGTTCACCCGGTTACTACCACAGCAAGAATGAACGAACTGCTTAATAAATGGTAGTTTTTCCATCCTTACGAGACAGCTACACAGTGTTTATTTCACGGCCCCTGGATGAATGAAGCCCTTTAACCTCTGACCTGTTCACTACTCATCAGGTGTCTCTGCTGAAGGAACAGAGGTCTAGAGGATTCCACTTTAGTGGAATGTCCCACAAAAACCTTTAAATTAGAAACAAACGACACCCTCGGCCATTAGCTGATGTTCACACCGCCTCGGCTACCAGAGCAAGTGTGATTTACTGACCCCCCATCCCCCCATGTTCTTTTTTCAGACTCCTACAAAACAACGCAGTAAAACGGTTCGCTGATGCTGACATCATGGGTGTATAGGGCACTCTACCTCTGCTACAAACAGGAGGAATGATGGTGGGGATGTCAGAGGGGCGGAGCTTAACAGAAATCAAGGGTTTCTGCCAAACACAATAATTTCCAGCCTGTTGATGGGACTTGATGAAAAAGGTCAGTCTTCGTTTCCACGTGCTACATCGTCAGACCCGTAGCTGGCTAAATAATTTTACTCCTGTTTGCCTTCAGGCTTTACTCTCAGGGCTCAGGTCAGCATGAACACCTGTCCAGGTGGACCAGCAGTGTTTTGGGATTGTTCCCGAGCTCCTGGTATGAGTTTTGATTTTAAACTCAAACCAAAGTCACAAAGAAATGAAACACTTCCTACTTTATGGCCATATGGGTAATGATGATGAAGTGTTGTATTTTAGTGGGATATCTCACATTGATCTAATCCTGTACGGGGTGTACCTGCAGTGGGTTGCTGCTGGTCATATTATGGCTAAATGATGGAACATGTAAACACTCCTCACACCAGAGGTTGATCATCACGGAGGAAAGGTTACATCTCCGCATGAGACGTTTGTTGTTCTTGTTGCTTAGAATTAAAAATGTTCCCAACTTTCGTGTTTTCTCAGGTTTTAATCAGGTGAACGAGCCAGAGGTCGTGTTTAGCAGGCTCGTAGCATCCCACCCTGCACAGTCAGGGCTTCACCTGCAGAGGGACCAGTGCCCGACCCATCCTAATGACTGGCAGCAGGACTACACCGCTGCTGATCGTTACGCATCCCGCGCCATCTCAACGGTGGCTCCCGGGATCAGGACCGGGATGCTGCCGTCATCGCTGCGGAGCGTTTACCGGTCTTCTCCCATCAGAACCATGAGGATACACCCACGGGTCGTGGTGATCCGGGCATGTACAGCAAACTGTTGAGCGTCTTACCTGAGAGCCGTTCCTCCCGCAGCTGAGCACCGCTTCAAGCCGCACGTCCGTCTGCGGAGCAGAGGGGCTACGCTCCCGGGTCCTAGTGCCGCACCGCCTCCCCTCCTCTCCTCCAGTGGCCGTCCATCAGCTGGTGCTATAATTAGACTTTAGATGACTGAGATCGGGTAACACCCGGGCGGTGTGGGGGTTAACTGCCATGGCAACAGCAGCATCCAGAGTCACGTGTCCCGGAAGGGCCGGAAACAAGAATGATTTATCCATCTGCTGATATCCCTCAGATTTAATCACCTAGGTGATAACGTGTAGATTATAGAGGACATGACGTAAGTGTTCATTCTGACCCTGTTCCTACCCAGGTGTTTACCCACACCGCTGCTTCAGGATCCTAAACAAGCAGCTGGATTTTATTATGATGCGTTTGTTCTGAAAGTCCTCAGCATGACCTCTACTGTAACCTTAGTTCACCACAGCGCCACTAGATGGTGAGATGCGTTATTACACTCCATGACAAACTTTTACTCAGAAACTGGAAACATCACCCCATGCAGACTTCTCCATATGTTCAAGAGGGAAGCCCTCAGAAGTCCATCTGTGATTAGGACTCCACCAGACATGACCTGTGTTGTTGGCACAGTCCCATAAGCTCAAGTCTGTCACTAGTGACTTCTGCAAAAAGTACTTCTACTCAACATTACAGGTGCCTTCCATTAGTCCATGTACTGATGGGAGTAATGGAATTACATTCAATCATTGAACAGCAGGGTACTAAACTAGCCAGTCTCTCCTTATCGAACAGATAATCCTCTTCAGCAGCGAACATGTCTAAATAATGTGCTGATGCACTTCTCAGTCCGAGTCAAATGATTAACAACATACATGTACACACAACCCCATTAAAATGCACACATACAAGTATTTATTAATTTATTTACACAATTTTAAAACACAGATACAGCGGCATTACAACTGAAAGAAAAACAAGGGACGGGAGTGAAAGAAACATTTCACAAGAATCCACAGAACGAGATGAGCTGTGGTGAATAAACCATGTCCAGCACGCAGCTACAGGTATTGGGGACATGTGGGACAACAAAAAGGACAGGACAGAACACCTTTCCCATGGAAAGTCAGAGCCACCAGTGAGACGTACTACTTTAATAGTCGCGTCGTTTCTCAAGCCAACAGGCGAAATAGATCCAGACAAAATAAAATAATAAAAAATTCTTAGGAGGCCTAACTGAGTAATCATCGCCAGTCCCTCTGTGCAAGTCCTGGTCCGAGAGCCTTCAGCAGCTCCCCTGGACCCAGTAAACAGAGCAGACATCCTATTCACAACAGAACAATCATGTACAAATTACAACTACAACCCACTCCCCACTCAACTACAGAAAGTGACCTAAACCCTGCGAGGCTCCAGCACACTGCTGTCGGGGCTGCCTCAGATGAAGCTCCGGAGACTTCACCACCACCACCACCGTCAAGCTACAAGTTACAACCGGTCCATTTCCTACCAAAAGCTTCAGGCTTAATCTTTGTTTCACCATTCTCGTGCTCAGCTCCGGGTCGTTTGAAACCACGAAACAGAAGGCTGTGCAGTAGATGTACAGCAGAACGAGCATCCACTCACATCCTTCAGCAAGAGCACGGTTTAGCGCCATCATCCCAGGAGGGACTCATTACACACATCTACAACTATGCAACGTAGTCAATAAAAAAACTAGCTCCTCAGGTTTGCTAGTAATAACCTTAAAACTAAACTAGTCCTATTGTGTACAAAAACGGTTCTTTATTCCGCCACCAGAAGCATTAAAAAAGAACGTCCCATCCACGTATTTAATCACCAGGCAGGACTGGGGCTCATGTGGCGTCAACTAAAGCACCTAATCTAAAAACAGCCTCAGTGTTCAGCTGGATACCGTCAGAGTAGGCTGTAGGTAGAAAACGGACAAGTAGTACTTGAAATAAAAACGGTTTAGACTCAACGTGGAGGCAGATGGACAAGTGTGCAACGAGAGTGAAGATGCAGGGAGTCGAAAACTTACAAAATCCGTGTGAGAGCGTATAAATGAGCTTGTTCACCCTCCACCCTTTAGTGTGCAGACCCCTAAGACAGAACCACACCAATACTAAAGCAACAACACTACCCACTAGGCTAAAACTCCTCGTCTGTCGGCCGCAGACCGACCATGACGCTCGCTCGCGGTTTCATTCACAGCTTTTTCCACCGCAATCACAACGTGAAGACAAAAAACGGAGTGTTTCTCTATCTATATCCGTGTCCTGTTCCAGTACTCCTGAGGACACGGACACAAACCTAGCAGTCATTTGATCAGATATCCCGACACAGGGCTTCTGAGGTGAACGTTAAGAGCTTAGACACCGGGCTAAACACTGCCATGGCAGAGCTCGTGTCCACCTGACTGCTTTGTCGTCTCCACCTAGCACTTCCTTCTTCATCACAAGGCCCTTTTAATGTCATACAGCTGGTACAGCAAAGGTTTGGATGCTAAAACGATAAAAACAAGTAAAATCAAGAGTTGACAAGAGAAGATTCCAGAGATATATGAATTCATGGCTTCATCAAAAGCAAGGAGGATTCTCTAAACCTTCCACAATAAGGAAGGGTTGTTGTGGCTGCTCCTTAGCCAAGATGGTTGTTAAGGCAACCAAACTGGTCTCCACCTGCTCAGCAGTCGTCCTCTCACACTCGCAAACAAACACACACAATCCACTCTTGTGCATCTGTGTGGCTGTGCATCTCTTCTGTCAAAGTGAACAGATGCACAGCCAAAGTTGTGCACTAGCGGGTCATCCTCTAGTCACTGAAGAGTCCTGATGTAGATTTCTGTGAGAGCGTTTGTGCTGCAGGTGGTGCACGTTCAGGCCTTCACTGTTGATGGACCAGTTTCACCGAGGAGTTGCTGACTGGAGAGCACTGGATGTGATCCGGGACAGAGCCTGAGACACAAATAATAATGTTACTTCATATCAACACCCCAAGATCTTAAAATCAGCAACACACACACACACACGCACGCACGCACACACACACGCAGAAAAGGGAAACACACTTGAGGACCTCTTCAAACTTTCCCACAACTTGTTTAGCTTCAAGGTGGGAACCTAGAAAAAGTCACTCAAACTACCGTATTTTTACGACCATAGGGCGCACCGTGTTATAGGGCGCAGCTTCAGCTACGGGTGTCTTTTTGGTATTTAACACATACTAAAGGCGCAACGAGTTATAGGGCGCGGGCACGGTAAAACGTACCGGTAAAACATCTGAGCGGGGTAGAGACACTTCTCCCAGCTGTCCTCTGCTCGTTAACCCATTCCTCGAGGCGGTTTTCCGGCTCAGGCCACCTGGCTTTGTGCCGGCGGAAACACAGCTGCGTCTTCTTTACTTGTCGGAGTTCGTTTTCCAACTTCCTCCACTTGTGAACCATGGACTCATTAATGCTGAATTCTCTCGCCGCTGCTCTATTCCCGTGTTTCTCCGCGTAGCGGATCGCGTGCAGTTTAAACTGTGCTTCATAGGCGTGTCTCTTAGCAGGTGCCACTCTCAGGGTTGTCAGAACAATGTTCAGCATACCGCGCATACCTGCCCTTTTGAACTATTCGGGGTCTGTCTTCGCTCACGTCCGCACGTTCACGCCACGCCCCTTGTCTTCTACTACGTTCGCGTCTCACAACAACACAATAGGCGCACCGCACCATAGGGCGCGGCATACATTTTGGAGAAAATTTAAGACTTTTAGGTGTGCCTTATAGTCGTGAAAATATGGTACGTATATTCAGGGTAACTGCAGGTTTATGGGAGCCAAATTTAAGACTTTTTAAGACCTTTTTTAAGGCCACTTTGACCAAATTTAAGCTATTTTTTTTTATTTAATTTCTGCTATAATTTTCAGCTATTGCCTGGAACCGGTGCTAACCACATCGCGAACGTGGGATTAGCCATCCATTTACCATTAAACTTGCACTTCCCCATGGTGCAAGCTTCCACTAGCTTATGTGCTAGTGGGAGCTTGTGCTCATCTAAAAATAGCCCCCTTTCACAACCAACTGAATGTGAACGGTTCCGCTTACGCCAACATCATACACAAAAAATGCTGAACACCAACTAGAAATTCACAAACATGTCATAGAAATAAAATAATCTAGTTTATTGGGTCTTTGGTAATGTAAGACCTCTGGAAACCGTATTTAAGAATTATTTGTCATTTTGAAGGATTTTCAAGGACTTAAATTTGGAAAAGTAAATTTAAGACTTTTTAAGGACCCGCGGATACCCTGTATATTGTAGACAGACACAGGGCCACTTTGTTTTACCAATCCTTCTTTAGTAGAGCTGCTGAGTTTAAACAGGCACAATCTGCAGATATCCAGATAGCAAGTCTCAACATCCAAATCAAAATCAACTAATTAAAACTGATATATATATATATATATATATATATATATATATATATATATATATATATTAGATCCAAAGAAGTTAGCTATGGTTGTATAACGTCCAGCACTGGTCAGTTTTCCCCTACATGCCACCGGTCATCTGCAGACATAAATACCATTCTCTAAAGTGGATTTTACATCCTAGCTTCCTATTTATATTTTTGTTGATAAGAATAGCTGTACCTCTGGCCTTGGCATTAAATTTGGAGTGGAAGACCTGTCCCACCCAATTTCTTTTTCATTTTAAGTGATGCAAGTTTTCAAGGTGCGTATCTTGCAAAAATACTACGTTGGCTTTGAGGTTATCCAAGTGAGAAAATATCTTATTGCATTTAATTTGGTTGTTCAACCCTTTCACATTCCAGCTTATGAAGTTAGTATGGCAGCCATTACTCATACCACAGAAATTATCTGTTAATGCCACCATCCCTATATCTAAAGCTGTAAATTTTCCTTGCTAAGTCCAACTGCCCTAATTTTATGTGCACAGAGAAAAAAGGAGAGGAACATAAAATAAAATAAATAACAAAAAAATAAAAAGAAATAAAAATAAGTAAACAAACCCTTTAAATAATTTGCACAAACGATAACTTTTTCTTTAACACTTGGCTGGCAGAAGAGGTCCGTCCTGTCCAAACCTAACAGAGAAAAATTGGACAGGCCTCTCCATAACATTAAGTGGCATGAAACACGCATCTTATTTTAGCACAAACATTGAGTTGCTTTGAGGACGATTTAACCAAACGCTGCATATAGAATTAAGGCAGAAATGTAAATTAAATGTATATTAGCAAACCACACAAACTCGTACATTCCTGCATAGTATGAATTAGTCCCTCGGGTTACAATCACTTGTCCTTACCAAACCTGGAATCGATAAAGCCTTTCACGTCTTCGGGGGAGTTAAACACCTTTGTTTCTCCTCTAAAGGAGATACGCATCCTGGCTGGGTAGAGAAGACCGTACCGCACCCCCTCTTGCTTCCGAAGGATCTCCTTTACCTCGCTGAAGGCGGTGCGGCGTCTGGTCAGGTCTGCACTGAAATCAGGGAAAATGAAGAGCTGTCCATCACGGAAGTCGAGCCGGCTCTTCTCTCTAGCGAGACTTTGTATCAGTTCCTTCTCCCGATAGTAATGGAAGCAGACAATGAATGGACGCGGTCTCCCTCCCTGGGGTGGTTTGGGAGCCGGCGCCCGGTGGGCCCTGTCCAGCGTCGGAGGTTTTTCCAAGCCGCCGCCAAAGACCTCCTGTAGCAGAGCAGCCATGAATCTTGTCGGATTGCCCTGCTCCAGTCCCTCAGGTACGCCCAGGACACGTAGGTTATATCTTCTCGCGCTATTTTCCAGGTCATCCGTCTTACGCTGCAGTTTTTCGTACCCGTCTTTCAGCTCTTGGTAGTTGGCCTCCATGGCTACCAGGCGAGTATCTAGCTCAGTCAGGCCTTGATCGTGGTCGCGCAGTTTCCCGCCGTACTCCTCTAGGGTTGTATTGATAGGGGGAACAGCCCGGATGATTTCTTCCCGTAGACTATCATTTTCTTCTTTGATGACTTCTTTGACAATGTCACGAAAAGCTTGAAGAGTGTTGGTATCAATAGCAACCTTGCTAGCATTAGCTTCTGGAACTGGACTCTCCTCTCGTGTAGCCGTTTTGCTGGCTTGAGCTTTAGTGAATTTCGAAGGCATTTTACCGCACGAAAAAATTCTGAGCCACGGAGGGAACAGGTATCTTCTCTCCTAACAACCAGAGTGTATGGTTTTCAGCTTATTGTGCTATTTAATAAGTATTTCAAATAGAAATGTCGGGACCTTGTGGATTGCGCGTCTACCTCATCATGCGCCCCCTGCTGGCCTCAAAATATACGCAATTTAAAAAGTAAAAGGCTCGTTATATATTTACATTGATGTTATCTAACCGGTCACGTGACGTAACGTGACCTCCGTGGAAGCCGCAGTCACGTGATTCAAGTCTGTTCCTTTTAACTGTTTTCTTTGACCAAGGAAGGACAGTGTCCTCGTAAGCGGCCAGGCGCCTTCACATTGAGAAACAACTGTCATTTGTTGTCCATGACTTCAAATGGTGTTTTTCTTTTTGGGACTTTGGTAGTTTGTCCTGAAGTTGAAGGGGCAGCCGACTGTTTCTCCAAATGCGAGAGAACCACGTCCCGACAATATATTTATAGCTATACTGCCAGAACATTTTTAAGAGGCATGAAAAAAAAAAGAAGTTTTAAACTAATTAGTTTTCCAAATTTTCCACTGCAGCGTATAAGAACTATGGGTAAAAAGCAACTTTAGATGAAGTGTTGTAGCAGGTTACTGTTCACCAGTTTTTTTGTTTTTATTAATATGCTTTTAAAAAAAATTTTTAACCGATATCCGATATGGTCTTACTCTTAATTTCCGATACAGATTGATGAAAGGCCCCCCCTAATAAAAAAGCAAAAACATAAATCATTTAGGTTGCTAATAGAGATATGTATTGGTGAAAATTTGGCAATACGATACGTATCACAATACGGGGGGACGATGCAATGCATCACGATATGTTGTAGTACATTCAGTCAGACGGGAGAGGCTCAGGGTAGAGCCGCTGCTCCTCCACATTGAGATGAGTCTGCTGAGTTGAGACGTCGCTGTTAGAAACTGAGTTTTCTGCACCATATCGCTGCTGGTCTATGGCAAGTCGTTGTAGTATGTAATTAACAAACGGTTCCATCTTTGAACATAACAATAATAAAAAAATAAAAACACGACAAGCCTCGGCAAACAACCGCAGCGTTAAGCTTAAGTTTGGGCATCCTCGTTAATCTTCATGATTTTCCTGTTGTAAAAAAATATTGTTAAATAGATCACACACACACACACACACACACACACACACACACGCACGCACACACACGCACACACACGCACACACGCGGATGTTTTGAGTTCCAGTGATTATTCCTAAAGGTTTTGAATCAACAGAAAGACACCAGAAACCAAAAGGATGCACTAACTTTGTTTAAATAATTGTTGCACATTTTCTCCTATAAACTTGGTTCAACTTCTTAAACATCGCTGTGTTTGACTCCTATATGATATTTTTAACTGAAAAGTTTTGAAAGTCATGACGATTAACAAGGTTCCCCAAACGTTCGCGTCTCACTGTATAAAGGCTGAATGGAGGTAAACCTACTTAAGTCCTCGACAGAACTGTGTTTTAGTGGTGATTTGACAAACCTTGAACTCAAAACCGCAGCGAGAAGTTGAAGCAACCAGTCATCTTACTGTAAGCGCCACGCTGCCACAGCGTCAGTCATTTGTCTCCGCGACTGATTTGTCGAATGACGATGCACGACTGACGCTTCAACAAAGATAGTTTGTAAACAAGATCCTTTCTCTGATCGATTCTCATAAAGAGCGACTAAAGCCCAACAGAAGATCGCTCCCCCAAAAGTAAAAACTCTTTACATCTATACGATTCACATGAACGCCACGCTTTGGTTCAAAAGCAGACATTTTTGCTGAAAAGCAACAAGCTTGCAGATATGTGACTATTGCATTCTGAAGGAGAGTGTCATTAAAACCTTCATTGTCTAATTGTCACCTGTGAATTAGACATGCGGGACGTGTCCTGACGTGCTGTTAGATCTGAGGAGGAGATGTTGACGGGTGCTCCACGATGAAGACGCATGCACACCTTCCTCTCCTTCTCCAAACCTGGAAGAAAATAAGAGTAATTACTGTTACTGAGCTACTTTGAAAGTCAAATCACAGGGAAACTGTTCTCATAACTTTTCACGATGCAGTTAGAACCATGGACAGTTCTTGGTTTTAAGCTTCTTTTTCAGTTTCAGTATTCAGAGATGGGGAATTGTGGCATCAACAAGTCATCTCCAGGTCGTGTTTTTCTTCAGTTCAGCGACTAAACCAGATTATTTCTATCAGCACAGTGAATGAACCTGGCTCAGTTGCTGAGCAGAACAACATCATGGCGTGGAGTAGACTTGCCGAGTGTTACAGGAAAACATGCAAACCCCTTTTCCTTATTATCTGATTGAAATCCAAAACTAAGCTCAGGGAAAATAGAAGACTGATCAGTGTCGGGCTGGATGATGAATCGATTTCATTAGTAATGTCGTCATTGCTGCTCCACCTTCTGTACCAATCATGGACTGTGGAAATGTTTGTTTTATTAATAAACTGAAAATGCCAAATGGAAAGGGTTTTTTATTGGGACTTCTGTGCTCACCATGGGTTGTCCATAATGAACACCACGTGCTCCTGGCACCAGGATACCTTTGGCCGCAATTCGATGATCGATTTTGTAGTTTTCAAGCCATTATCGCCCAGCCCTGGTCTTAAGCTATCAAGTGAGCATTCTGACCTGTGTGTGGGGCCGGGTTGAGAGGGGATGGGGCCGCGGTGTCCGGAGCGGCCCTGGCTCTACCTGAAAGAGATGCCAAACCCCTGGCACCAGGATTTCTGCTGTGTCTGAGCCTCTCCTCACGCTCTCGGCGCTCCCTTTCTGCATCCTCTGCAGCCCTGTTGGCACCCTGAGAACCAATATTCAGCTTAATACTCAAGCAACAAGTGGGAATAGGCTGAAAAAAATCCAAATATTCTTCATCTAGGTCAACCCTTCAACATACAAATTTGAGCATGTTCCAGTCGAAGACATAGTCGTAGGAGAATCCCTGTCGATGGAAAAGGTTTCTGAAGAGTTGGCGGAGGTAAGAGTAATCAGGCTTATCGTCAAACCGCAAAGAGCGACAGAAGTTCAAGTAGGTTGCAAACTCAGCTGTGGGAAAATAAGAAATAAAACAGCTTATTAGTAGAGTTGAGGTTAGAAAAACCTTTATGGTTCTGGTGAAGCACCTTGAGATTTTTACTTTGAGGAAATAAATATCATTTATTTTTCTTAACCTATGAACACAGGTTGTAGTATGGTAAACTTACATGGGTAGCCTTTGCAGAGAACCTCAATGGGTGTAGACATTTTCTTCTCACTGATGCGCTCGTACTTCTGCCTTTTGGTTGCAGCTTTGAGGCCTTGCCATGGAAGAGAACCCAGGTTGAAGTACATGAGGACATATCCCAGTGACTCCAAGTCATCCCGTCTGGACTGTTCTGTGGGAACAACGAGAGGGCTCGGTGCTCTGTGAGAACGACTGCATTAATCCGTTGAGGTCCTAGTCTTACCGATTCCCAGGTGCGTGTTTATGGAGGCGTAGCGGGCGGTGCCTGTAAGATTCTTGTTCTCACGATAGGGGATGTGCTGATGCGTACGTGCATCTCGATATTTCTTTGCCAGGCCAAAGTCAATGATGTAGACCAAGTTACCCTTCTTTCCTAGCCCCATCAGGAAGTTATCAGGCTTCACATCTCTGTGGATGAAATTCTTGGAGTGGATGTACTCAATGCGGCTGATCTAAAACAACGATAAGTAGCAGACAATCGTCAACAACCAACCACAGTAAAGATGAATCGGCTGCTTTGGGAGGAGCTGATTTCATAACAGAGGTTTCAGATTATGTGTAAATAGTTTTTTATGGAGGTTGTTAGGAGGAACAACCACCAGCTTCTTCTCTTCCTCCAAGCTGAGATGGAAGTGTGAAAGGTGCAGTCGCGTGTGGGTAGTGTTGCCGCTGTATTTTATTTCGTTTAACGCAACCTTCCTTTAATCCTAACGAGAAAAACCACACTCAGTGGCTGAAGCAGAGCAACAAGCTGCCACTGCTGGTCCATCCCCGCAAGTGTCCGGGTGGCGTGCACAACTTTCATGTTCCTGCCACACTTTGCAGCTGTTTATCTGCATTTATTTGTTTTCGAATATTTGCAAATCATTATTGAATTGGCACGTGTCCCATCACAATGCATCAATTAAATGTTGAATCGGCTCACCATTAATTCACACAAACATTCACACACTGGTGGTGATGAGCTACTGACAGAAGCAAGGCGCCCTACTCAGGCACCACTGGTCCCATCGACCACCACTCACTGGCAAAGAGAGTGAAGTGCCTTGCTCAAAGACACAATGACTGACATGACTGCGAGAGCTTGGGTTTGAATCTGTAACCCACCAATTGCAGGGCAAACTCCTAACCTTGAGTCCCCCTTGCACTATTAAACATCATTAGAAAGCTATGATTCTTGTGATTACTCTTATACTGCATCTCTGTGTGGTTTGCTGGCTGCTCTGCTACAGATAAGAGTCCAGAGATGATCATCAAATCTGCACAAAAGATCACTGATGTCCTTCCCACTCCTTCCCACCTCACGCTACATCAGCAGGTTCGAAATAGGGCTGCAACGATTCGTCGGCGTTGTCGACAAATATCGACAATAGAAATAGTCGACAATGAATTTCATTGTCGACGTTGTCGCCAGCCGTGTTTTTTCCGACCGAGTGAGGCGTCTCACTTCATTAGAATCTCTGCAGAGAGTCGCACATGCGCAGTAGCTTCTCTGCTGAGCGCCAGCTAACAGAAATGGCGGCATCCAACACAGCAGCTACGCGTACCAAAACATCTAAAGTTTGGGAGCATTCCAGCCTGGATTCAGCGAATAAAAAATGACCTGCATTTTTTGCAAAGCAGTCCTTGCGCATCACGGCTGCACCTCGCTGATGCACGAACACTTAGAGAGAAAGCACGTCGGACAGTTGAATGAAACTGAGTCTGACTCACTTCGGTAAGATTTAAATAACACGAAAGCCAATACGTTTTGTTTGGATGTTCATTTTACATTTTTAAACATATTTTCACTTAAAAAGAAAGAAATTTAATGTTATGCCCGACTAAAGTATTTTAATTTTATTTATGCATTTATGTCTGTATTGACTGAGCACTGTGCCTAATTGGTGTTAGACAGGGCATTTTTATTTACTGTTAGTATGAATTTTCCTATCAGCAGCAAAGTCCAATAAAATATGCATTTTCCATTGAAGTACCCATCTTTCTTGTTTATTATCATTTTTCACAGAATTAAAGCAATCTCATGCTAAATTTAAGAAAAATTTAATGATTATCCGATTAGTCGACTAATCATTTCAATAGTCGGTGACTAGTCGACTATTAAAATAGTCGTTGGTAGCAGCCCGTAATCATCATCCATGATACGTGTATGTATACATTTCATACCTACCTTTTTATTTTATATTATTAGTACTGGGGTGGGCAATATAAACAATAGAAGGTAGAAACGATATAAAATTGGGTAATGATAAGTTTTTGGCTCTACCGCAATAACACATGATGTCACTAAGATGTGCACCCGCGCCGACATTGGAACAACAGAATGGCAGTGACTGCAAACATGTAGCGGGAGGAGGAGCAGCATTCTACACTTTTTGGACGTCTTTATTCTGCTGCAATATATTTTCCATATGAGGATTTTTTAAAGCATGTCATTTTGACATACATAAACAAAGGAAAAAATATATCGCAATATATATCGTAATCGCACATACTTCAGATTATATCGCAAAATGGATTTGAGGCCATATCGCCCAGCCCTAATTAGTACCATTTTCTCTTTTTACGTCTTGTGTTTTCTTATCTGTATGCCAAATACACAATTTATGTCTCGTGCAGTGACAATAAAAGCTTTCTAACTGTGATATGTGGCAAAGATTAGATATAATGATAACTGTAGACGGTAAACACTTGGTCCAAGTCCAAAGTAATAAATAACTCACCAGGTCAAAGCCATTGTCATTGACAGAGTCCAACAAAAACAAGTCTTTTTACATCCTCAAGGGTCTCGTTAAGAGTCCACAACAAGTCTTTTGTCAAAAATCCAACATATTTTAACTTTTAGCTTTACATGTCTGACTGACACCTTTCTGATTAAACAGGTAAAGCGTTACATCCTCTGTTATTGGCAGATGGGTCAGAAGCACCGCCCCTATTGTCATGTGTGTAGCCTGAGCCAACTGCAGCACCGTATTTGTTGATTGATTCATTTAACAGTGAATGAAATTCGTAACAGTGAAACATCATGTGGACCCCATGTGGCCTGCTTCCACGGGCTGCGTAAGAGCAATAACCATCGGTGGGTTCATCCATGCTAGTGTCAGAGTCAGACCCACAGAGTATTTAAATATCACCTGCACAAATATAATCGGCCATCTTCGTTTTTCGCACTGACGAAAACCGCTGAGATTATTTATAGATTCCCCATTCTTGTAGAACACTTCTCATTCTGCATATTTGATCTGAGAAGGTGTACATGTCGTTCTTTCAAAGCAAGATCCTGGACCTGACATGCAACACATTTGGGCTGCAGCTATCGAATATTTTAGTATTCGAATATTCAATCAAGTTTTTCCCCCAGAAAAGTGTCCAACCGAGGCGCACGGGGTGGAGGGGGATGGGGACTGTGAGCGAGCGAGCGTGGACTGTTTCATTGTGTGCAGAGTGTTCCCCTTCCGTGTGTGTGTGTGTGAATCTCGTAGGCGTGGCGCTGAAATTTCAGCAGTGCACAACACCTGAGCCTATGTAGGGGAAACACTGTATCCTATCGAATCATCCATCGATTAATCGAATATTCTATTTGACGATGTTTCAAGTGCAACGAAATTGGAGTCTGCTGCTAAAAATATGAAAATTAAACAAAATTCTAAAACGATCAAAAATAGGTATAAATTGGTGTTGTCTAGTTCCCTCTTTCCCAGCTGATAATAAATATTTTATGGAACAAAATTTAACTTGGTTTAATTCTAGTCATCCTAGTCTAATGAGATCTAAATATATTCACATGTGATCAGGAATTATTTCATCACCATGTTCAGTAGTAAGCTGCTGGAAATGCTACCAACATTCAAATTCTACTAGTAACAATGTATTGGTGGCATATATATTACTAAGTACAGGTTGGCAACATAACCCAGTCTAAATTGTATTTAAATATAGAAGCGTGTGCGAATTACATGCTACAACAGATCTGCTGCAGTGTGTGGAGCAGATTCGAGTCGCTGACTTTCAGCAGCAACAACCTGGCTCCAGGTAGCAGCTGCAGAGGTTCTGCTCCATACTGCTGCAGCTGCAGAGGTTCTGCTCCTTACTGCTGCAGCTGCAGAGGTTCTGCTCCATACTGCTGCAGCTGCAGAGGTTCTGCTCCGTACTGCTGCAGCTGCAGAGGTTCTGCTCCGTACTGCTGCAGCTGCAGAGGTTCTGCTCCGTACTGCTGCAGCTGCAGAGGTTCTGCTCCGTACTGCTGCAGCTGCAGAGGTTCTGCTCCGTACTGCTGCAGCTGCAGAGGTTCTGCTCCGTACTGCTGCAGCTGCAGAGGTTCTGCTCCGTACTGCTGCAGCTGCAGAGGTTCTGCTCCTTACTGCTGCAGCTGCAGAGGTTCTGCGCTTGTTTCGCTACCATCAGCCATCCGTGACAGCAGAAGAGCGGCGCCCGGCTAGTTTTCCTTCTGAGTCGTCCGTGACCGTGGGGGAGGAGGAAGGGGGGTGAACGCTTGGTCTGGCGGTGGACCAAGCAAGGCCTGGCAGCCCGTCTGACTGTCCAGTCGCTTTCCACTCGAAGTGCTCTTCCACTAGCTTGGACTTTTCAATGACCAGTTTTAACATTGTTACATACGACAAACACAGAAGCAAAGCTATAAAGACTTAAGCATTAGGAGAAGCAGTCCTGCTGGTATCTTCCCCTCACCATTTGGTCGGCCAGCAGCAAGACCGTCTTCAGACTGAACTTCCGAGAACAAAAGTTGAACAGATCCTCCAGACTGGGACCCAGCAGCTCCATCACCATCACATTGTAATCACCCTCAGCTCCACACCACTTGATTGTTGGAATTCCAACTAAAAGAACAAAAGGAAAGAACCTTATTACTCAAATATCCTGTTAACTGTGAAACATGTGTTTAAATGTTAATGTTTAAAGGCAACTGGTCAGTCTGCTTATAGATTCATATTCAAGATGTGATGAGGACAACTAGATGCGCAAACACATTTTAGATCAGGATGCTCGATCACGTGATCGGAAATCGGGACAAATTTTCAAAATAAACCAGAATCGGTGAAAAAGATTGGATTGAACTTTAAAAAACAACAAATATGACTTTTTTTAATTCATCCTGATAGAGATTTTTAAACAGAACAACAATGGCTTCGTTTTTATCTCAACAAGTTTCTCTACATCAGTATTCTTTATTTTTATAGTACCTTGGTCACCATCATCTTAACTAATTGACTGTTTAAACTGGGTATGTTTAATGATGTACCTCCTCCCTGCATCATCTTGTAGATCTTGCTCTCTATGTGGAGCTGTGGATGTTTGGTCTTCACACATTCCAATTTGATGGCTACTTCTTCTCCGACAGAGATGTCAGTACCTATGAAGACAGGGACAGGAACGTTAGCAGGATTTTAACACAAGCTACAATGGTTTTAAAGCAGATAAAATATTTATTTCTATTACACGTAATTGTTGAATTAGCACAACAGAGGGTGGTGTCGTGATCATGTGGGGAGTTACGCCGAGCTCTGGTTGGCTACATTATTGAAAGTGAAAGTAAACACAAATTTCGTTTTTGCTAACAGAATCAGCTGAGATGGTAAACTGGAGCGATGCAGAGCTCCAAGGGCTTCTCTCTACTAGAGCTGGAGCTCAGATCACTAGAAGCTGCACAGGGACTGTGGAGAACAGACCGCTTTAGGGGGCGGCTCGTAAAAAAAGAAAGAAAAGGAAAAAGGAAAGCGTGGCTTCGATCACAATACAAAGCACGTTATGTCCAACTTTGGTATGTTCTTGCTGTGTCTGATTTCTAATTCCATTTTTGGTTCTTTTTTAAAACACAGAAAAGGTTTTGTTGCTTGCTGGCAGTTTTGTTCGCAGCTGCGAACAAAACTGCCAGCAAGCAAGGTTCTGTGTTTTAAAAAAAGAACCAAAAATGGAAGTTATATCCAAGTTAAAAGAAGTCTGTGACTGAAGAGACCGCTCCCATACCCCCTTTTACCAACATTGCATTTTCTTGATTATGAAAAAAAACAAACAAAACAAAAAAAATAACTATTGCGCCACATTACCACCCTGGTCTGACCACTTATAAACGACCTAAGGCTCCCAGATGCCAGGTCAGCTTTGCAGCTAATTAGCAAAATTGCTTTATATAAAATAGGCTTTTGTAAGACACTACAGTGAGCAAACTATTAAAAACAGCGCTGTTAAAGAAAATCTTCTGTTTCCCGTGTGCAGTATCCTGCACCTCTTTCATGTAACTACTACATCTGCACATACATACGGCACCTCTTTCATGTAACTACATCAAGCCTAAATTCATTAGCATCTTTACATTTCATATTCCCTTTCACAATCAAGAGGATTCTGGGAGCCAGCTCTTAACCAACACGTTTAAATGCTGCGTCTACCTTCTTTCTAAACATGGTAACAGGGTCTGGTTGGTTCACTCCGTTTAGAAAGCTGATACCAGCTTATATAATCATCTCAAGTGTGTGCACACCGTCTCTTAGAGCCAGCTGCTAAACTGTGCAGGTCCACAACAGCAATAAAGGAGCAGCACCTATTTCCTTGTATATCACCTAGCTGTGAGAGCATAGCAGGGCGGGGTCAAATGTTACCGACACCATTGTGTGCCTGTTGATCCACAACATGCAAGCAGATGTCACAGAAATACCAGGTAACAGGCTAAGCAAGCAGTTGATAATATTCTACATTGTGTATGTACAATGTCCATGTAACTATAAATACACATAACTTGCAACTTAATTTACATGTAAGTTGAAATCAAAGCATGTGATAAAGTTATCAAACACCAGTGGGAGTAAGCTTCCGTTTGTTTATTTCTTCTGGAAAACTCCATGATCTTGGCAAGTCCATTTCCTGGAGTCGGCTCTGTTGCGTCACAGGATTGTGATTTGTCTGAACAGATTTTTCTGGGGAATGCAGCAACCTCCTCTCGCACAACGCAATGTTCAAACTTTATGCTGGGTGTGTTTTTCATCTGTACTTTGTTGCTGGTTAAGCAAGTACAGGCAGATTCTTCTACCCAGTTTAACGAACAGGAGCATGTCTCCAGGAACAGAAGCTTACATATGAAATTATCCAAGTACATAAAAAAACAGCAAAATATTGACAAGTGTTTTAATGTGAATGTCACATAAATTTCAGAATGTCAGCTGTTTAGAGTAAATCTTCATTCCAGTGTGTGACACTATTCATTTATTTATTAACTTGTAGGATAAAGCCTCTTGAGATGTAACATCTTGTTTTCGAGAGGGTCCTACATAATACTGCACAAAAATAAAGACAGCAAGATGGCTAGCAGCTAAAAATAAATAAATAAACATAAATAAAATACAAAAATAAAACAATTACTTAAAGGGAAAAACAAAACAGTAACCTGAAAATATGCTAAGAAAAACAAATGTATCCAAACCAAAATACCTTAGCTTAGCCAAACTCACATACCTCCAAGTTACAGAAAATAACTTATAAGCACTTAGACGGGTGATGCATGTAAATAAAGTGTTCTGAAGAAATCTAAATAAGTAATTATGTCAACAGGTAAATTAATCCAGTCTAGTGGGGCTTTAACACTTAAAGCAAGTCTTCCCACCTCTTATGTAAACTTGGGTACAACAATATAAATGTTTATGAAATCTGGTGTTATGCTGACAACTAGAACACACAAAAACATTTTTAATATGCTGGAAAAATCAAAGAATATACATTTAAAAAATAAAGATTAACTAATGAAATCTACATCTGGCTTTTAATGAAAGCCAGGACAGGCTTTCGTACATAATGCATTGGTGTGTTGTAAAAGGACATCGTAAAAAAAAACGACAAATTCTGTTATAAACAACATCAAGAGGATGAAGACAGGACGCTGTAGTAGTTTGATAGACTCCATCTGTGTAATCTAGGATAGGAAATAAAAGTTTAGCAATGTGATTTCTCACTTTTAAATCAAAACAATCGATATTTTTAGTTGATAATTGATCTTATTAGTGAAAATGACTTTTAAAGGAAAGATCAGACTCAAGCCAGACACCTAGGTATTTGACTCTTTCCACACATTTTACCCATGAAGAGTCTAAATAAATTAAGTTTTAAGGTCCCATGGCAGCTGCAGTAGACATGTCTCTGAAAAAGTACGATTTCATTTTAATAGGAATAATGGAGCTATATAAATAAACTGAATAGAATTTAAAGTGATCTTATTTTGTATTTGCAACATCAGAAGGTTGAATTTGCGAGAAAGAAAGCCTACTTGAGATGTGTGGAAAAGCCCAGATCCAGACCAGGGAGATACTGAATCAGGCAACTGGGCTTTAGAAAGGTGCAGAATGATGCCCTTCACAATCTTGTCAGGATCATTGGGCGAGACCACCACTAACTCTAAAATTACTTGTTTTATTGTGAGACTTGCCACGTAAATTATTTAGTGTTCTTAAAATCAATATTCAAACATTCCCTAGAGTAGTCAGATTTTGCCTGTCTTGTTTTAATGGTACATTCATTTCTCAGTCTTCAATATTCAGCCCAGTTATCAACATTGTTAGTAGTATATCACCATACCAAGTTTATTTGTATAGCACATTTAAACACGGCATGAGAGCCGACCAAAGTGCTGAACAAAAACACATAATAAAAAATCAAAAATAAAAACTAAATCCATTAAAATCAAGTCATTCAAATCGAAAAGAAAAGGAGAAAGAGAATAAGTTAGACTGAATTAAAAGCCAACGAATAAAAGTGAGTTTTTAAATAAGACTAAAAAAGGGAAAGAAAGGAAGAGAGTCTGATCAGGAGGGGCAAGTGGTTCCAGAGCTTCGGTGCACAAACTGAAAAGGCGCGCTCCCCGCGGGATTTACAGCGGGAGCTAGGGACATGTAGGAGGTGCTGGTCGGCTGATCGGAGGGATCTTGTAGGGACATAAGGGTGAATGAGCTCAGAGAGGTAGCCAGGTGCTAAGTTATTGAGGGATTTAAACACAAAAACCAGGATCTTAAACTATCTGGAGAACATGGCCAGCCAGACTCCTCCTCTGTTTAATTCTGCACTGAGAAAGAGTCTGGGAACTCTCCTACTGAAATAGCCCCACCCCCTGAGAATTCTAACCCCAAAATTCCACCATCTCCGCTCCGCCCCCCGCTTTGATCGCTCGCTTCCGAACTCAAATTATACTATACCCGCTCTACAACGGCTCCGCTCCGGTGCGGAGACCTGAGGTGCGCAAACAGGCATGCCTGGGATTTTCGAGATCTTGCGATACAGTCCGAGCAATAAACGCGGAAGTTAGATCCAAACACCCGTTGTGTGGGAGAAGCATCGAAATGAGCTGTTTAATCTACCCATCATTTGTGTTGAGAGATCAGCAGTGTTTGGATCAACAAAGTGTGACTACTTTGACAGTAGAAACTGGATTTATGGCTTATTTTTGTGCATTTAAACTTCAGCCGCCATTGATAGTTGTTAAAAGTTGTTAAACCTGTGCATACGAAACAAAAAACGCCTTTTTATTTATCGATTTATTGTGAAATAACGGAAGTTGTGCTTGCTCCTTTTCCTGTTGGGCGGTTGTGATTTCTGTCCATTGACTGCGGAGGTGCTCAGGCGTCCGGCAAAAATAGAATCGATCCTATTTTTGCCGGATGGCGGAACGGCGGGCGGCGCACTGCGCCGCACGGCCGCAGTAGTGGAACAGCTCTGACCGACTACAACGGGACCGTTTTTTGCAGCGGAGTTTGTGCCGGAGCGGAGATAGTGGAATTTTGGGGTAACTGAGCCAATCAGCACTGAGTAGCGTACGTCACACAAAATAGCGCCGAGTTTGTCGAACATGGCGACTGATGCGGAGTTCTCTGCGGCTCTTTCCTCTGTTCTAAAGGACTTGGCTACAGCTTCCAGGCCTCATCTCTCCTCTTAAAAATGTGCATTTAAGTGACTGTCAATCCAGGGCAAATGATTACCCATAACTTTTATACTAATCTATGGAGCATGCTCATCCAAAATACGAACAAACTTAGAATAAAAAAACTTTTGCATTATCAATATCAGGAATAAAGATTGAAAGTTCACCAAGAGTCAGAAAGACGCCAGCTTCAGAAATGTAATTAGGCTGAGATACCATTATCCAGTCAATAAAAGCGCCATTACTGAGGGGGACTGGTCTAGCTAATTTGTTAAAATCCCCGTTAAAGCCCCAGTGTGTAATATTTTTACCTGTTTATCATCAAATCTTGTGTTTCCAGTTCACAAACTTATCCTTTTCCAAGCGTTACAGAGATGAAGCACTTCTCCGACTCGGGAGAGCTTCTTCTCAAACGTTAACTTTAGACTTGGGTCTCCTTTGGCTGGGAATCCGTG